TTCAAAAGGTAAATAGCTTATGAAATGGTACACTTCATCATCCTTACCCGCAGCTCTTTGCTCATCTGAGACAAATGGCTCAGGCCTGGCAAAACTGTTATGGGCTGTGCGAATAGAATCACTGTTGTTAATAGCAAGGCCCTTCATGTCAGGTGCAAAAGCTCCTGTGAATTCCTTCAAGTTGGATAGTTCTGGACCTATGTCAATTTCTGGGCGATTCATGAGGATTGACAGAATAGCTTGAGTAGCACATGCATTAGGGATGACCTGGCAGTGATTGATTTAGTTAGATCAAATGTTAAATCCAATTCTGAACAGAGGTAGCTAACGGAGCAAAATGGAACTAACCTGGCTAGCAAAGAAAAGGTTTGGGTTTGGATCTTTGACGACAGGCCGTTCATCCTTTTCCCCAGCCATCCACTTGAAGAGAAAAATTAGCCCATAAACTGGCCTATGAGAAGTGGACAACAATGTGTTAAGGCCATCCAGAGAACAGAGACGCATGACAACAAAAAATTGAAGAGACTCACCGCAGTTCACTAATAGAGTCCACATCAAGAGAGTAAAGTTCTTCCACCTGTTTAAAGATACAATAGCAATGTAAAAGGCAGCTAAGAGTTATTTAATAAAGTCATAAACTGAAGCTAAATGACGGCCTTTTTTTCTGACAATGCCAGGTCCATGGCCATCTGTTGCAATTTTCTAGAATTTCCTACCACTAACTATAAAAGGACAGGGCACCAAAAGTGGAAGTATATTAGATTTGCAAGTATATACAACGCCAAAATAAAGGTCTTTTCCTTTTGTAGCTGAGCTAACAATATTAATAGACATATCGCACTGATCTGTGATGTATATTCGTTAACCCTTACTAGTTGGCCACCATATTCCCTTCAGAAATTATTACTACCAAACAGGTATTGTCCTACTCCATATCCTTCACAAGGGTATTGTTTATTACATTCAAGCACACAGCTCCATGGTATATGCAGCAATATGTTTTCCCATAAGCGTTGTTTAGCATACACTCTGCTGATCATAGAGATATATAGTGTGGTAGTTACTTAAAGTGAGTTCAATCAGGTTAAGGTTAGCTTCACAACACAAGCAAAGCATATATCTTCAGAAGATCAGTTAAACATGTATTCTAGAAACAGTAGAATCAACCAATAGAGCCAACCATCCAATTTACACTGTTTTACAAGTAATAATTAAAAGCCTAAGGACATATCAAGAACACTTGATATAGATTTCGTTTCTAACAATTTTTCATGGTAGGAAAGAAACAGGCCCTGGAAGCTAACCTGAACACCTTTTACTTGCATCTCCTGGATCAATTCGGTGAAAACACCTACAGGTCATATACTCAGGTGAAACAACAGGTATATTTTGGAAAGGCAATGGTAAGAACACTTGAAACGTAAAAATAAGCACTGCGATAATCTGTGATGTACTCAGGATAGCATGATCAAAGCTTTATTTTCACTCAATCATTCGCAATGAAATGTGTAAGGTGAGATCACAGTATTTTGGTACTTCATCCATGATTATACACATACCGAAGGACCCCAAGTGGATATTAGTCAGATGAACTAATGGAGTAAAGACTTTACACATCAAAATTACTACTAGAAAGTAACCCTCGGCTTACAGATACTAGTAACAAAGTAAAAAAAAAAAACTAGGTAATATATATTCCCCACAGTGCTCAATCGATGGAAAACCAAAGGCAACAACCATCCTTCCTACTAATGAATAAACACAATACATTGGCTAGCATCCAGTAAACCTCCCATGAACAACATGCAACTAATGATATAGACAAAGAGATATAAACTAAAACTCACCGGGATCAGACTCAATCGTGCACCACGACATCCTCGCGAAAACCCTGAAAGATTACGGTGACAGCCAGGGGGCGCGGATCCAACCTGGGACAGAACCACCCCCAAAACCTTTGGGGGCAAAAAACAAACTGTTACTTATATTAAAAGGAGATTAAAGCTCTGATGAAATTAAGAGAAAAAAGCTTCTTCCAGATCTAGAAGAGAAGCTAGGGTTAACGCGAGCAAGCAAATTCGAGACAAAAGTGTGGGTGAGACTGGGAGGGAGAGAGAGATGAATGAGAATGAGAGAGAGAGGATGCGGATGCTCACCGGGATGAGGATGCACAAGGACGGCGGCGGCGGCGGCGCCCCCTCCCCTGCTCTGCTCGCCAGATGCGCGACGAGCGGAAGGCGGCGGGGGAGAGAAACTCGAGTCGAGGCGCAATGATTTTGGAAGCTAAGATAAGATTTCTTTTTTTATTACTTATTTATTTACCGATAAATTGGTCCAACTAAAGGAGGAATTTAAGTATTTAATTATTTGTCACTGATAGGTTTGGCGAACTATTTAAATACCCCTTTTTTTAGATTTATTTTTACTTTTTTATTACACATGAGAAAAGATGATTTATTAACTATTTGCCACTTATGTCAACGTGACATGCCACCATGGCTTGCTAACGTGGATGGAAGCGTGGGCCCAACAAGTCAGCCTTTCAATCTCAGTATAGTTTCAACCTCACGACACGGGTTTGAGATGCTTGTGGCTATGGCTGGGGAAAAGAGCGGTGAGGTCGACCGCAGCGAGGCGTGGCGGAGCCTAGGCGAGCAATTGTAATTGTGCCCGGCAACAAAGCGGGGAGCTAGGGTAAGGACGAGCTTGTCCTCGCCACTGGGGAGCCTCAGGAGGTGGCGGGCGAAGCCGTCGATGAGGATGTTGGCCGGCCACTGACACCTTCGTCTCGATCCAAAGGGTTATCCTCCTCCTCCTAAAAGCAACCGAAATCCCTCGCCCGTTCTCTTCTTCAACTACAATGTAGCAAGCAACACTTTTCTTAAAACCCCATCGTTTGTCCCGTATTACAAGAAACGTCTAGGAGTCTTCCGCCTAACTTTACGAGGTGGTTGTCGGAGATATGGGCCTGGGGGTGTCAGGGTTACGGGTTAGGCATACCCTTTACCCTTCGATATACGTTACATATCGATATGGCATACCCACGCGCATGCGGATATTTCCTGTATATTCTAAGGAAACCTTTCACGGAATCTACAGATGGGAAGAATCCTACTCGGGCAGGACTGGGTCGTTGGCGTATCGTATAAGGTCTGATACCTCCGAGTTCTATGAGGAGACCTCCACATCTGCGATATAAAAGGGGCCCCCCGGGGAGGGTTTAGGCATCGAATCTCAGAGCTAACACAACCTCCACAGCCTACGAAGCCGGAGCTTATAAGGAGCCAAGTCATCGAGAGCTAGTCGAATCAACTCGACTACAATCTCGCCGGATCCGACAAGTTCCCTTGTTCTCTTTGTAACCTGTGTTTTCTATCATATAATCTCACATCAACTGGATTAGGGCTATTACCTATCAAGGGGCCTGAACCAGTATAATTCTTATCTTTTGTTTGCTTGATGTCGTACTACGTAGATCCTTGTTCCAACGTACCCCAATACCCTCTATATCCAGTCTACGGGTATCACCCGTCGACAGGGGGTATATGAAGTAGAGGGGAATTACTTTCCCTCCGGCCACGTGACTCTGCAGGCTGGCCCCACTCACGCGTCACACGAGTCGTGGAAGCGGCCGGGGGGGGCTCGGGGCATGACGTCACCCCCTCGGGCTCTCCCACGGCTTCGCCCCGAGGCCCTCACCCGGCTGCCACGCGGCGGAGGGAGAGAGCGAGAAGGGAGCACAGGCTGAACAGCCATAAATGTGCGACGCCCCAACTGTCCCTCACCGCATTTAATGCGGTAAGGGCAGACGTGCGGCGCGCCTAGCTAACCTCTGTCCAACGGATATGACCGGTCTGTGACCGTCATATCCGATGGATAGGGCAACCATGTCCTCACGTCGCCCTTGTACCCGGCGGAGTGGGGGTGGGTATGACCCGTCACATCCGAGCGTCACTCGAGGAAGGGCTATCGCAAGTCATCGTTCATTTATGAGGAAATGACAGGGCTGTCCCCCGTGTCAGGCGGGGGGCGGCGCCGGGTTCCACTCGAGAACCGGTTATTGCTTAGCTTCCGGGAGAAGGCACGGTTTGAAGCCCAAAGTGGAGTGGGATCCCCCTCCGATAGAGGGTAGGTAGAGGCGGTGCATGTGGTATCCCCTTGAGCTATAAAAGGAGGACCCTGCCCACTGAGATAAGGGGACGATGCCCAGAAAACCTGAACTCCAGAAGAGAGAAAGTGAGCGCGCTTTTTAGAGTGAAGAAACCTTTGTAAAACTCATCCATAATCGCAAACACAGGAGTAGGGTGTTACGCTCCATAGCGGCCCGAACCTGTATAATCCGATTGCGTGCAAGCTTGCCGGTAATCTTAGGGACGAGCGAGTGATTTCCGAGAGACGAGCCTCCGCCCCCGGCCGAACTCACAAATGGGGGGTCTCACGACTCCCCGCTATTGAGGATCTTCCCTCGACAGTGGTGTACTAGTCAGTTTGGGTTCATGGGTTCGAAATCTCAGACATTCTATTTATTTGATACTACCTCTGCCTCAAAATGTAGCAACCTAAGATAGGACGAGACCCATCCTAGAACAATGTATCTAGACATATCTCATGTCCAAATACATTGTCTTAGGATAGAATGTCATGTCCAGATACATTGTCCTAGGATGAGAGTTGTTATATTCTGTGACGTTGGGAGTATTAGGTTTTTCTCTAATATTTGCATTTGTTCCATATTATTGTTTACCCCAATAGGAAATTAGACCGCTGCGATTGATAGAAAATACTCCCTCCATCCCAAACTATAAGCATTTTTGGCTTTACTGGCTGTTCGATGGAACACTAACGGTCCAACGGTCCGGGTCGGATCGCAGAGGAGAGGAACGTATCAATCTTTCAGATCCTTGAATGAAATGCAAATACGAGCATCTTATTTGGAAAAAAAAAAAGATGAAATGTGTATGAGAATTTTGGATGGAGGGAGTAAATCGCAATAAGACACATTAGCTGCATCGATAGGGGCATGCATTTCATTGATTTTCTCTTCTCCTGCCTATACAAATTATTCGACTTCAAAAAATATATATGGATTACAAGTAGAATGCTGAACAAAAATATACATTTCCCTTTTATGATCCTTGCTACTGCAACATATACATCTTCTCCCCCCAATATGAACTAACAAATGTACAGCTCAAAAAGCCTCCAAGCACCATGATATCCGTGCTTAATTCCGAGGCAAAGATAGACATTTTTCTTTTATCCCACAATTGAATCTTTGCAGAAATACAATCGACCTGACCTGAAAATTCACATTCTTTTTGTACATGTCCTGATATCCATGTCTTCTTCATATATATGTTCTGTACCATTTTTCAGTTGCTTCTGATGAGCAGTAGGCCAATCCCGGTGACGATGAGCGTCGCCGGGAAGCCGAACTGGAGGTGGCTGAAGAAGGAGAGGGTGTATCCGTACTGCTCCGACCTGCGAGCTTGCTCGCAAACGATCAAGTTCGCGGCGGAGCCAAGGAGGGAGAGGTTGCCGGCCACCGTGCTGACCCAGGCCAGGATGAGCCAGGCATTGGTCTCTGCTGCAGGGGAGATGGCCGCTGCTGACGCTGCCACCCGAGCACCAAGCAGGAGAACTGCAATGAGATTTGTCAGGTATATACATGAATCAGGAAATCAAAAGAAAGAATGCCCAACTGATTTTTGTACGATTTTTTTCTGGTCACTGGAAGAAACTAGGACAGAGCAATCTTTAACTGATAAGAACTTCATGGTTATCAGCTATGACATTCACACTTTGTTTAGAACCAGCCCCAAATTCAGACTCCAAAATGAACCTATTGTTCTTTGATATCTTGTTCTATTAACTATCATGAGTAGGTGAGTGAACCTAGTGGAGATTTTCTGGTTTTTTTTGGAAGCGAGAATTGCGCAAAGTGCAGGATGACAGATAAACTTTTCCTCTCATATGTTGCTTCATTGCTAGACAACCATGGCACATATGGCATTGTGAGCTTCCATTAAAAAAAGAAGCAGCTTTCCTTTCTACTCTTGACAAGCATAGCATGGAAAGTGCGAAGCACATGTATCGTTAAGTCTACGCTGCTTCCTTGACTTAGTTATTGTTTAAAATCTGGATGGATTAGTAACAACAAGGATGAAAATTTCTACATGTGCCATGTGAAATTATTGACCATGAACAGAGGGCAGAACTAACCAGTTGGAACATTTGACGCCACATTTGAGAGGAGAAGAATAACCAGGGCGAGGATTACTATCCCGGTCGGTGTATCGATCCGTGCATAGGGCTCCATGAATTCCCAGAATGCGCTAGGAATGCCCGTCTTGTTGAATCCATCCACAGTGATGAACATCCCACAGAAGAAGAGTAGAAGTGGATAGGAAACCTGAAATTTCATTCAGCAAAACTACAGTTAACAACTCAAGTTAACATCAGTTAGGTATCCAAAACCAACACTAAATACAACAGCAGAGCCATTGGTGCACACAATTACTTCAATTTAGCAACAACACAGGGATGTGACAGAACCAAATGTTATCGAAAATCAAGACCAAAGTACTATCATCAAGGTGACAAGGAACTTGACAAAGTAATCAGTGTAGTTCGATATGTTTGGATTATCAAGTAAAGACTCTTGTTTCAAAATGAATGGCAATCTACTGCTATGTGAAAAAAACAGAAGTAATAAGAACATAGTGCTACATGATTGGATTGTATACTGAAAACAAATTTAGTGTAGTTCAGTATGATTGGATTATCAAATACCAAAGTAATGACTTCTGTTTCGCAGAGAATACCAATCGAAGTGATTGGATTGCCTGTAAACAAATTCACCCAAGGAAAAAAAAGGTGCCAAAATTTCTTTTTTCATACAACCTGCGTCAATTCAGCTCCAGAATTCAGAGCGAGTGAGAGCGACAACACATTGGTTTCCAAAATAAGAGCAAGAATGAACATACTAGTAGCAGTCCATAAACAACTGAAAATGTACCGAAATTTCGTTTTTCACATCAATTCAGCATCAGAATTCAGAGAAATTTCGTTTTTCACATCAATTCAGCATCAGAATTCAGTGAAATTTCGTTTTTGACATCAATTCAGCATCAGGAATTCAGAATTACCTTCTCGAGGCAGGGGCGGGCATCCTTGAAGTCGAGGACGATGAGGGCGAGTGCGGCGGTGATGGCGCTCCATGACATGTTGAGACCCAACAGCAGCGCCACCAGCATGCTCAATGTGATGACGTACACACCCGTCTTCCACACCGTGCTCTTCCATTGCTCCATGGCCTCCTCCTTCTCCTCCACCCACCGGAACGCATGTTCCTCCTTCATCCTCACGCCGCCGCCGACGCCGCCGCGCCTCTGGTGGATCCCGACGACGACGGCGGCGTCGGCGGCGTCCGGCTTGTTGTTGGAGTCGCCATTGCTGGTGACAGGGACGGGCTTCACTGGCTCGAACACCTCGCAGTCAGGCGACGACAGCGAGCTGCCAGGCTGCTGGTGGTGGTGGTGGTGGGAGGAGGAACGGGGGTGTGACATGGTCGCCGGCGAGAAGCGGTGGGAGGTGACGTCCTCCTCTTCGACGACGTCGGTGGGGACCGGGGCGACGACCTCGACGCACTTCTCGTCGGAGAGGTGGCGCCAGTAGAGGCAGAGCAGGATGGCGGCGTTGACGACGGCGCCGACGAGGGTGGCCGGGAGGATGCCGAACACGAACTGGCCGAAGGAGATGCCGCTCTGGACGGCGATGACCAGGTTCTGCGGGTTGCCGATGGGCGTCGCGGCGGAGCCGATGTTGGCGCTGGACGCGAGCGCCAGGAGGAACGGCTTGGGCGGGAGGTTGTTCTGCCGCGCGATCTTGAGGATGAACTCGGTGAGCACGACGCAGCAGGTGTCGTTGGTGAAGAGCGCCGACGCGAGCGCCGCCACGACGCAGGTGCGGACGAGCAGGTCCTTGCCGCCCTGGCTCCGCCATGACAGCAGCCTCCCGAGGTGCTTGAACATGTCGGCGCGCTCCAGGTAGACGCTCACCACCATGGTGCCGAACAGGAGGCCGAGGATGGGGAGGTCCACGGCGGCGTACGCCTCGTCGGCGGACATCACGCCGAACAGCACCATCAGCATCGCGCCCAGCAGCGACCCCGCCGTCCTCCCGATCGGCAGGAATGGCACCGCCGGGAACACCGCCAGCACCCAGAAGATCCCGAACGCCGCCGTCCCCAGCGCCACCTTCACCGTCGGCTCCATCGCCATTGCCGCCAATCAAGAACAGCACACAGATGGGTGGATGGATATACCTCTTTTTCCCAAGATAAGATTCACAAGGCCTCTTCTTCTCTACACACTACACTGGAGAAAGTATGGATCTAGCTAGGAATTTTCACCAAGAAATCTGAACAAGAAATGGGATTGTATTGTATCTACAATAAATCTGGCAAGAAGAAGATCTACCACTCTCTTGCTCCCAAAGCTAGCCCAATCTGCAACATGGCTCACATGGACAGACCAGCTCCAACTCCAAGAACACAAGAGAAGCTAACTAGAAGAATGGTCAACTAATTGTACATGGAGTCTCTGAACAAGCAACCAGAGTGGAATGAGCAAAATAATAATTCAGCAAAGAAACAAGCCCAATTCAGAGAGAAATGGGGTTGGGGGAATCACTGCCAGTGAGGAGGAGGAGGAGGATAGGATTGTTGAGCAGATGAGCCAATGTTTGAGAGCAGATAATTCTGTGGATTTCTAGCTTGGGATTCTTTCCAAGAAGGTAAATGCTCACACTTGGCGAGCTCCACATGGCCTCTCCATGATCGATTTTTTTTGGCTCTCTACTACCCTCTACTCTTCTCTCTACTCATTGATGAGGATGATGTGTACACCCAAAGAAAAAAGAAAAAAACATTCTTGTATTTTCATGTGCAGAAAAATGGTTGGCGCATGTGAGCTCACTCGCTGCGGTCTGCTCACCTCATTTGTTTACATGAACATGATTACTACAGACATGTCTCTATTGGATCCTAGCTGCACAAGGAATAAAATGTTTGATTTCTGGGTTTATATTTGAGAATTTCTCCTGGAAACTTGACAATACGATCATGTTATTACCACAGAGTTTTTTTTACTTGGTAACGATGATTCACCGCCACATGTAAGAATGTTGCTTTCATATCAGCTGATTTTTGTATACTATTATTGTCACTAATTGACAGGCAAAGAGATGCATGGGTGGAACGTTTCTCACCCTCTGCTGAGTCTTAAAATATCACTAACTACTACTAGTAACATATTCAGATGAATTATTACCTCATGCCTCTTCATCAGCTTGTTCACCAATATAACAAACTCAGCTAAATTGTCTACGTGAATATTATATCACTAAATTCACACTTAGGGGCATTTTATTTATACTCTAATATAAAGGCATTATACTTTCTCTGTTAATAAATAATTGACGGATCTCAACACAAGTATTGTACTTCCTATGTCCATTTATAATATATATAAATATGATTTATTTTGATATGACTTGTTTTATCTTTAAATAAACTTTAAGTATAACTTATATCTTAACATATCTATATTATTCCGTTCGTTTCATATTGTAAGTCGTTTTAACTTTTTTTTAGTCAACTTTATTTGAGTTTGACCGAGTATATAGAAAATTATAATAGCATATTATCAAAATATATTCAATGCTAGATTAAATAAAACCAATTCGGTATTTTAGATTTTCCAAAAATTTAGTCAAACTTAAACGAGTTTGACTAGGAAAAAGCCAAAACGACTTACAATATAAAATGAAAGGAGTAAATTTTTAAATAATGCGAATGATCAAACATTATTTCAAAAGTTAATAACGTTATGTATTAAAAAAACAAATATAGTAGATGAATTTCAACAGTTGCTTCTAAGTGATATCAAAGCGAATATATTTAAATGTAAGATAGTACTAGTAAACTATTTCTGGTTACAAATCTAATGGCATAATTTTAATGCTAAATAGTTAAATTATTAAAAAAAATATTGTTCGAAGTAGAACAACTCAAAGTCAAAACTAGCATTTATCTATAACCAGATGGGTCGATAATGATTATATACGATTGCATCTCATATAGGTTATAGAGAAATAAAAGATATGGTGCTATGGTAGTATAACCTGTGACGACAGTTCCTGTTACTGATTGGTTACCACAAGTTTGGAAGTTGATCACTTCTGCTTCGCCCTCTCACAATTTAATTAGTGAGCATGTTTGATATGGGCAGGCAATGATTGATCAGGGAGAATATTAACCACGCAGCGGGGCCCATTGACAGGGACAGAGGCCGGGCAATCGTGGTCAGCTTAAGCTCACCGGCGGTGAGACGGCGGCGGCGAAGAGAGGCCTAAATTATTGATTTGTGAGGTGAGAGAAAGGGGCCACAAGGGGGTTTGGTGATAGATCAACGTTATCCTCACCATTGTGGCATTGTCTCTCTCTCTCTCTCTCTCTCTCTCTCCCTCAGCTATGGCCTCAAATCTTTCTGTTCCATTAATCACCCATGCTTAATTAAGTTTATCTCCGTGCTTAATGCGGATTTTGACTCAAGCTGCATTTTTCTTGTTTCCATTTTTAATAGGAACAGTACTATGATATTTGCTGTTTTGTGTTTCGTTTTCATCGGTTTCAATTGGACGTAGATTGATTTTGACCCAAACAAAAACAAATATCAGGAACACCCTCTGTTCTGTTTAGTTCAAGCTCTCCTGGATTGACATTATTTCATCCAAGCTATATAATTCCAATCGTACTGATAGTTTTATTTCGTGGATAATTATGAGAAGCAACACAAGATTGATAGATACGCATATGCTCATCTCTTGCGAGAATGCATGGGAAAATATTTTCGTTAGCGATGCGTCTCTTGACAAGCATTGGGGTCATTAAATCTTGACATATCAGTGATAATTATTGCTCGTCGGGTTTCTCTATGTGCACGATCAACGTCTCGTGATCTTGATGTAATCTCTGGCGGGCCATCAATGAATTTCGTCCAGAGTTCTAGCCAGCACAACGTAAGAGCTCTGATTGATTTTTTTTCCAGCTCTTTTGTTCCTATCCAGGCTCAGCAACTACAACAGAACAATCCTCATACACCATTAATTATGAAAAAAATGACGTGATTAAGTTAAGGGTAGAATAATTCTCATTTCAGAATGACCATGGGTAATCAAACATTCAAATATAAACAGTCAGCACTTGGCCCAATTTAATATACAGAGCACAACAAAATAGTGTTGCTTACAGAATTTGTGATAAGAGATGTGACATCACATATGCCAAGACAGAATTGAAATTCTTGCCGAACTGGTAAGCACGACAGAACAATATTTTCAAGTTTCTTCTGCTAAAGCCAAAGCACAACTAATTGAAGAGGGGATCAGAGTCATTTGCTTGCTCCACTCTGACAATACACTGCTGCTAGGAAGAGTTCTACTCTTTTCGCTAGTTTATTATGTACATAAACAGCATCAGTATCAGAACAGCCAGTCAGTTAAGGAGGATACAACAGACGCTACACCATGGAAGTATTATGGTTTTATAACAACAGGTTCCAGAATCTGCATCACCTTTAGTATCTTATGATGATATTAGCTGGACACTGAGTTACTAACTAACTCCAACTTACCGCTAAAACTGGAATATTTTGCATAAGTTTGCATCTCCTGCAGTTATGATGATGGTATCTGGGGAACTGAGAAACAGCAGGAGCAAAAATGACAGAAGCTTATTTCTTCATCTTGTAAGATTATGGTCAGTGCAACTGTTAGCTGACCCCTGGCTGTGCCACTGGGAAGAAGGACCAGCTTTTCCTTGGCTCTGATGTGATCCCAGCAACTTTCTCGTTTGCCCACCAGTCTGATCCAACGCTCGGCTCCACACTAGGAGCATCAACATTGTTGAACTTGAATTCTTTAGCCTTACGAAGGGACAAGGAGCGCCGTGCTTTCTCAGGCAGATCATGGTATGTTTCATCAACACATAGCCCTGCTCTTGTATCATTCGATTCTCTGGGATGAATGTGATCTCCGTTACCGGTGGGCACAAGGCGAAAAGAAGCTGCAGCAGACTCCCCATTAATGTTGGTTTTCTTCTCAAGACAGCGAGCTACATCTTCTACTGTTAACTCAAATGAAACCCGATGATCCATAGCATGATCATTATTTTGAAGTCGGGCAGAGAAGTCTACGACTGGTACAGCAGCAGAAATATGTCCATCCAAGAGAGAACCGCCATTGCGCATATGGCGAGGTATCAACTTCTGTGTTGCAATTCCCTCGCCATCCAGTATCTTTGGAGGCTCACGAACTGGGAATGAGGGGAATGTGGAACGTGAGGAAGTCTGCACCTCAGGGTCAGGAAATGGAGAGCAAGTCCCTGAACAAGCTGAGCTTGGAGATATCAGACGTCCTATTGGGCTCTCAGGGTAAATCTGGTATGACTGAAGCTCACCTGTTTCAGCATTTTTGCTGTTGTTGATTGAGGTAAGTAGCTTTGCATATGGCACCTCTGGTGAGGAAGGGGTTGTCAGATGCACAGACTCTGGTGGGGGAGTGAAAGGAGCTGTTGAAGGTTCAGTTGTGAAGGCTGAGAAGACAGGAGGAGAGACTAGCTGTGTCTCATGTGCATATGGTCCGATAGCAAAGATGGACGGTGGCCCAGTGGGGGATGGAGAATTTGGCGAGAGAGGCGAAAAAGATGGAGCACCAACAGGTGATTGTACAATAGATGCACCTCCTGATTGGAGAAAAGAAGCAGGAGAGGATGGAGGTGCGACAAAGGGGAATACCGGGGGTGGCGGATGGATTGGAATTTCTGGCATAGGTGCATCTGTCCTCGGAGGTAAAGGTTCTGGGACAAGAACAGCATGGCTGATGCGTCGGCCATTTTTCTGTGATCCAAAGCAGAAGTACACACTCAACCAATCAGCCCATTTTCTTCGCTGCAAAAGAACAACACTATTTAATTCAAAAGGAAAGTCTTAATCCTCCTGAAATGTGACTTAAGAAGATTACTATTGTAGCATAAATATTTGGCACATAAACAGCATAAGCACAGTCGAGTACAGTAGCCTGCACCTAGCTTTTGTCAGACATGCATTCTATAGCGATTGTATTGCAGAGTTAGGATGACCAATAACGTGAACATGTAAACAGGTTGGCAATAGAAATATAGCATCATCGAGCTATTAGGCTCCATGTAACCGTAACGAAAAACTAGAAATGAAATTCCACAAATCATCAAAATTACGTCATAGATCCCCCATTAGCCAGGTAATGACTTTCCAGTTCAAAATAAAAGCATTAAGAAGGTTTCATAAATGATCATAGCCACGAGATAACCCGAACTAAATAGCCTGGAGAGTGGCTATCATGAATGAGCACCATAGTGCTGCATTTCCCTATGAGAGGTAATCTCAGAGGGAAATTAATAATATACAAAGATGAAAGCCCAAACAGCAGGCCATGTAATAAAAAAAACAAGAATGACCAAGGCCTCAGCAAGTTAAAATAAAATAATGGCTGGTTGCATACTTGCATATGGCCAGCACAGGAAGAATCTTTTGGTCCCATCTATTCCTCTGAAGAGTTCAAACTGACAGTTTCAACAATTCCCCTCCTTTGTTCTCACAGTATTTATAATGGTAATTTATCCATGCATATTTTCAATGTTTTAAGGTGATACATAGGTTTCATTCAAGGTCAAACATGGTAATATATACCGGGGATAAATGAATCATAGATTGCAATAGCTAGAAAAATATACAGCAGGAACTAATCCTGGCAGCATTTATGTTATATTTTCGATTTGAAGTGCTAAAAATTTCTGATATATTGTAAAAGTTAAAGACGGTGGACAAGAAATTAGTTGCAAGTCAACAAGTGATGAATAAGCAAAGAAAATTTGCACTCATAGATCCACTTACGCAGTTTCTCCCTAAAAATGCAAGTTTACTGTCCAATACATCAACACTCTAGCGTAAAACCACATCTAAGACTACAAAACGTACCTTGCCTATCAGTTCTTCAATTTTGCCTACTAAATACAGCAACCTTAACTAAAAAACAACCGAGTAATGCTCCCACCACCAAGCAACCAAGAACGCCGTCACAACAATATCATCGAAGTAAGCTACCTAAATGACCCAGCTGAATCACGCAACGAAGATATCATACATGAAAAAAAAAATCATGGAAGCAGGGAGTGAGGCACGAACCGGCTCTGCCTGAGGTTGCGTGCGGCTCTCGGCTGTAACAATGGCAACAGCAGCCGCGTTCACCGTGTCGACACTGTTGTGCACGGGTCTCATCTCGCTCCCACTCTGCATCTCGCAGAGGAGCTATCCCACGACCACGAGCAAACGATTGTTCCCACTCCAGAGATTGAATCGAGCCTCCGAGATCCAAACTTTTATACCCAAAGAAGAAGCATGACTCCGTCTGCTTAATCGATGGAGCGCTCCAACCAACGAGTCAAATCAACCTGCAAGATTAATAAACGTTTTAATCGAGAAAAAAATCATCCAGTAATGAATGGATCATCAAAAAAAGAAAATTCCAAGCCACGTAACGTGAGGCACGGGGATTCCCTCTTTTCTTTTCTTTTTTCTTCTTCGAAAAAAAAACAAACTGCTATTACAACTCCACTACCACTACGCATGAACAAATCCCGAATAAACGATGGTTTAATGGAAGGAAAAAAAATAAATCAATCAATCAATCGACCAAACAAACACCGATGGATTCCCAATCCACGCCACGCCCGCTCATCAAGCCACACGCGGTGGAGGAGGTGCCTCTACGAGAAGGAATGATACCTCCAATTCGATTCGATTCGAGGCGGCGCCGTACGTGGCTCTCCCCAAACCAGTTCGTCGCCGGCGGCGGCCGAGCTTTACTCGCAGACCAAGAAGAGGAAGCACCGGACGGGATCGGGAAGGAGAGGATTCCTCCGCCGCGCCTCCTCGCCGGCGACGACCTCCCGCTCTCGCTGCAGATCGGAGCAAACCAAAGCGGAGGAGAGGAGAGGAGAGGAGTAGAGAGTAGTATGCTACTACTTCGATGGACGCGCTGCCGGGGAAGAGAGAAGCACAAGACACGGAAGGGGATTAGGGCATGGGCATATTAGTCATTTCGTATTTTACCGAAATTAATATTGGTTTTTTTCTCCGTGTGTCACCGCTGTGAAACGAGAATATAATGGGAGGAAAATGGATTTGGTTGTTGACCTCAGGTGGCAGTATCGTAAAATGGAAGGAGTTCGCGAGGGCATTTTGGTCAGGGAGAGGGCCCGGTGGCACTATCCCACGTGTGCGTGTGGAGGCAGCCGATAATAATAATCGCACGCACCCCACATCGTACGCGCTATCCGTGCGCTCGGGCGGTTCCCGGGCCCACCTGTCATTCGCACTACGGCGAGGCGGGTAGGGCTTCTGAGGTAGCCGGCGACTGCACGCCCCCTCGTGCAGCTGGAGATGGGTGGGGCCCACCTACCTTTTTTTCCCATTGGAAAAACAAACAAAAACATTTTTCTCTCTCTTTTTTTTTTCTTCAACTTTTGCTCGTGAAATCATCACGCACAGCTTCCATTCCGTTGCTTTCTTTATTGACCAAACTCCACCGTATAACCATTCGTACGCGACGCATACGGAGAAATTATTATTGTATTCTACTGTAATAATCTTTTCAACGCCAAACTTCAAAATTCAAAATCTGGAATTCCGTAAAAATTCCATTCAAGTCGTACGAATGTGAAATTCGTATATTTGTGTTTGCAGAGTTCCGTGAAGGTTTTCTCACGCGTGCGTAACTCAAGTCTTTAAGTCAACTGTTTGACGAGTTCAAACAAATTTTGGTAGATACAAACAAAAGCGATTGCTTTTCATGGGGGGAGTCAGATGAGAGAGAGTTTTAGTGGAGTGGTCTTCTCGTATTTTTTTGGTTCTGTTCTAACGACGTACACGACGGGCTCTCCTTTTGTTTATCTGTATTTTTTTGTCTCTTTTTTTTGAGAGAGAGAGGGCTCGTTTTGTTTGTTGTTATTGGAGGAGAAAAAAATAATTAAAAATGATGGCCTGGTTGCTTAACGATAGGACTGGGTACTGATGAAGTGATTAGCCAGATTCCAATGCAAGCGGCTGTTTAATGAAATACTAGTTGGTTTATTTAAGAACTGTGTATCTGTCTAATCAACTTGATAGTAACATTTTTTTCTCTTTAATTTATGTATTTCCCTTATTACTGTGAATAAGTTGATTGCCACTGCATTGTATTTCAGCATAGAAGTCCATTTGTTTCAACGTAGACTTGGTCATCGCACTGGAAAAGAACATAACATCGTTGATGCATACTTCTTGTCTACTGAAAAAAAAGGATAGGAAAAAAGGATGATAAGTAATAGTATGTCCAAGAAAAAGTAGGTGCTGATTGCAGTCACTGTGAGTGACCACTGTAATTTGTTGTTCTAGAAACACACACACACACACAAAAAGAAGAAGATGAGATGCTGTGTTGCAGGTGTAACAACCATGCAGTGATAATTGGAAGATGAGAAAAATCCAGCTAATGCTTTAGGGTGACACCTTGGTTGCTGTCAGTTGTTAGCATCATAATCCTTTTTTCTTGCAAGGTTTGGGGTTTGGTTGGTTGTCCCCATCAGAATCATCTGGGGATGACACCAACACCCACATGTGCTGGGGCTATCTCCAAACTCTGGTTTTTGGCTACTTCTAAAGTGTTAAGTGTGGTGTTAATCAAGGTGTCTCACTCTCCTCCTAAGTATTATATATATAATTGCCATCATTTTGTACTATTATTATCCTCTAAAGAAGCCTGCAAGCTTGGTCAGTTTAACACTGCAAAAACGCGTCCATGTGGTTAGGATAGGAACATGATTGAAACAATCTTCTTAAATCCATTGCAGCAATTCTTATTTCGGCCAGCCAGCCACCACGATTGGGGCAAGATTATTCTATGCTAATACTAACAGACAAGGAATAATTTCCATACTGTCAGCCAATGGGTACCCAACACATTCCTCAAATGGAGTTGTTTTGTCTTCTTCAATGTAAAAGTGGGGTAATTATGTATTTATTCATGATATGCTAGTAATACAAAATGGAATATAGCACAGTTTTAAAAAGAGACCCAGTAGTGGCTTCAGACAATACTACAATATGTGATGTAATCAAAGCTTTGGTATCTGAAAGCCTGACTCATCGAGTTACAGCTTCTGCTAAACTGTTCTTGGGAAATCAAACGTAAGTGTTGACAATATAAGCAGGATCACACAACACAGACAGACCAAAAACATCATCAACCTAAATGATCATATATATATATATATATACAAGTTTTCTGCAGCAACCTGAAAGGGCACTGCAATTGACAAACCAGGAGCAGTACTCTCAAAAGAGGAAGAAGATGAATCACACTAAACACATAAATACAAATCCAAGGGGGGGTTTGAATCAATTACATAACTTCAACGCATAAACACCCAGACGATTTTCAGTATTGAGTAGATGATGCCCCAGTGCATTCATTCTTCACTGATGATGATGACTCAAGTGGGTACATATTCAGGAGATGTCTCATAAACTGAGCATGTTGGCGGGACTTGGTGAGCATAATCAGCTCAATCGAGCATGTCCATGGATAGCTGGAGCTGGGTGATTGTTGGCAACAAGGATGTCCTTGATGCGATTCAACGGTCCTACAGCTTGGTTAATTTTCTGAAAAGCCAACAGAAGCCTGCGTTAATTAGAACTCAGCTGATAGCAACCACTTCATAACCAGTAAAATCAGAATTGCCGCAACAAGCATCAAACATGCTGGATTTCAGCAAACCATGGAGGCCAAAATAAACAATCTTATCTTATATCCTGTATTCCTATATAATTAGCACCAAATGCTCAAAATGCATTGAGCCACATCACCTAAAAAACATAGGCCACTGGATCTCTCTTTGAGTTTAATCTCAACCATCATTCATGCCTTCAGTTACTTGCTCCCTTCAAATGTAATATACTATGAAGACTTTCTGGCTTACGCTGCAATGCGAGGGGAATCCTCTAGTTACTTGAAAAAAGGTGTCCCTCACCATGTGTTTCTCACTTAGCATTACAACCTAAGATACTTATCAGAACAGCATTTGTTTGGATGGGCCTCAAATACAGGATCCACATGTGTTGACCATGATTTCGGCCTACCCAAACAAGCCCTTAAGGTGTAAAGGGATATTACAGTATGTGCTATAAGACATCCTTGTGATAATAGAAACCTTCATATTGGTCGGGGGGAAAACCACAGCATACTTCCCGATCAAATATCTAGGCCTGCCCCTGTCCTGCAAGAGGATGCATATGGTTTGATTCTAACTAAAGATGTCTGCTACTGGTCAAGTCCGTCCTTACATTCCTACCGACCTACTTGTTGACCATAGGAAAATCCCTCACGTTTTGTAAAAGAAAAAAAGGAAGGCATTTTTTTTCTTAAAAACAAAGATGTTCATTCACAATTACCTCATTGCTGCTGGGATACAATTTGACCGGCTGATGCTGCAACTTGCCCTTCTGCCAGCGCCTCCAAAAACATGTGACTCCCACCAAAGCAGTAGCAACAACGATGGGCCAGAATTTGTTGCTTTTCCTCACATTCTTGTACAGTGATAAGAGTTGCTTCTTCCATGAAGCTTCGTGTGGAAATTCAGAATCATCAGGTTTGTTTTGTTCACTAGATGCAACAACCTTGGATGAATCAATGACACGGTTCACATTTTGCACAGTTGGCTCCTCAGTTTTCTTCTCATTGTTAGCATCAATTGGATTGTAACGAGATGATGAGAACCCAAGTGGTTCCTCACCAACCAAACCCATCCCTTGGAATGCTTTATCAAACTCCATGTCAACCAGGGAAAGGTTTTTCCCTTTGTCAAAGGATGGAATCCAGTGAAGGTCATCCTTCAGTTTATGCTCACAGGTGTCCTGGAATTTTTCGTCATCACCTTCGGCAGAAACTGCATCTTGGCCAGAAAGCTCCTTCTGGTGCTCTTTGCCGTCAGTGCCCCTAAGGAGACTCTCAACCTCACTCGGTGAAACCGAGAAATGACCAGACATCAACAGTGCTGCAGCTGAATCATCCCCTTTTGTGTCATATCCCTTGACTTCAGCCTCATCAGAAGGCTCAGACATTCTTGGTCCAGGTGCAGATGCATATGTTGATGCAGTAAGTTGGACAACTTCCCAATCATTCCCACGTGGAGAAGTCTGCTCAGCACCACTCTGATCAGGCTCCATCTTCCTGTAATCAAAGTCAGAAGACTCCATTATTGAAGACCATATAACAAGAAAGTTAATTTAGATGGGGTGATGTCTTTAGATTTGATAACCTACGAAGGCAAGTATTAGAAAGAAAAAAAAACTCAAAGCAAAGGACAAGGCAAAAGAATGTGCTAGTTTGGTTTGATATCTGGTGGGTAGCAAACCAAACACCCCCATCAAAATTTCAAAATTGAACCCTAACAAGATTTTGGCATCGCCCGCATATTTGTTTCTCACAGTCACATTTTGGCATCAATCCAAACAAATCATTCTAACTCTACCCTACCAAAAATTTTGGTAGTGACAAAACTCGCCCCCAAGCTTTTGGTAGGGCATAAAACCAAACCAGCCCAACATGGCAGGTGTACTCGAATAGTTCCGAGATGGGCATACAGTATGTGAATTCAAGCAACTAAAACAATACAGAATTAATCGCTACTTATATTTCCAAACTGTGAGGTGTATAATATACAGAAGAGACTAGGCAGCAAACAAGCCATCGATGTAGGTAAACAAGCAACTCATATAATGGAAAGTGTTTACAATTCGACAAAGAAGCTAGCAACTGTTAACCAGAATTTCACTAGCCATACTAACGACAGAGCCACTTATACCTAGAGACACAGGGATAAAACTGTTGGGGTGATCGAAGCCCGACTGAAGTATATACACCAACTGAAGCAAGCCTATATTACACCACAGTAGATGTAATAATACGAGTCTTGCCAAGTCTAAGTACTTGCTACTAGCCTACTAGTAGAGAGCAACTAATCAAACTTGACTGATGAAGAAATCGCTACCCGAATAACAGCACGGTGAATTAAGAAATCGCAACCACAACAACAATCACATAGGGATTAAGAACTGATCGTCCCAACTCCCAAAAAGCTAGTCGCCAGCGGTTGCCGAGAAACGCGAGGAGAAACCCGGAATCGCAGATCGGCAGAGGGGAGAGGAAGATCGGCCTTACCGGCGACGAGGAGGGGGGGAGTCGCGATCGCGAGTGAGGAAAGCAGGCGAGAATGGGAACTGAACTACTCTCTCTCTCTCTCTCTCTCTCTCTCTCTCTCTCGCGAGAAGAAGGGGAAGGAAGGATTGGCGTTGCGTGCGGAGATTTTTCTACTCTCTCTCTCTCTCTCTGCGCTTCTGAAACCGCCTCTTTCTCTCTCCTCTCCACTGCGTCCGCGAGCGGTTTTCCCTTTGGTCCAATGGGCCGCCTAGCCTCTCTCTTTCTTTTCGGCCCAACAGAGTTCCACGTGCACCATTTTCCTATATATTACTCAAAATATACTCCTGGATTATTCCTTGATGATTCCTCTTTTTATCACTCTCCCTTAAACCACTTACAGCAGCAGGTTTTGCTGCTACTTTAATCCATTTATGGTTGCCCAACGGAAAATTAAATCAAATACCGTGGTAGGAGTTGCCATTGCGTGAAACCTACCAGCACATACAAAGCTTTTGCTAGTAGCACATCCATGATGATTCGTGATGACATTGTGCCATATGAAATTAAGTTGGCCGAGAGGATAGTTAATCGGTAGCGTCGATTCAACCAATTTCAACTTCTCTGTTCGCGGTACACATGGATTGCTGTAAAACCAGCAGCAGCATGAACTAATTAAAATAGCTTAAGCAAAAACGCTAACGCTTATAAAAAGTTCTACTAGTACATTTGAGCTTTGACCGCAGATGGCCGTATCCTTAAATTAAGATGTGCCCTTTTGCTTCTTGGGCATCCTGTAGCCACCAACGACGCAGGCATGGTCACGCTCGAAGGGCTCCAGGGTCACCTGCTCCGACGGCTTGAACTGATCCGCCTTCAGCTTCTCAACCTCGCTAGCGAACACAGCCTCAGCTGGCATGGTGGAGTCGATACAGTTCGCCTGTTCAAACAGTTTGTCAGTCCAATGCTGCTATCATCTTCTGTCTCCGCAATCTCAATAAACGTGATTAACTTCAGGTTTCAGGAGCGAGAAAAAAAGACCAAAAGTACCTTGATTGAAATGACAAAATGCCCACCATTCTTCAGGAAGTAGGATGCGTTGAGGGCTAAGATCCTAGCCTGCAGGGTAGTAGAAGATTAAAATTGCAAACGGTTTCAAAACTGAATTCTGTGAGAACCTTCACGATTTTTAACACAGGGACATGCCAAGGAAGATTCCATAAAGGTAATTTTATGGGATACAAATTATCTCTTAACTCGAGCAGCAACCTTATAGAAACTACTGCAAGTATGTTTATTCAGTACAGAAATATGAACCGTAAACTTTTATCTCCACAGTATTCATTACTCCTTACAAAGCAAAAACATAACAATCTGGTCCTAACTAGCACTATCAAAGAGGCATAAAACATAATAACAATAGGAGAGAACGCTATACCAGGAAACCTATAAATTCCTACCACAGCTGATGTAGTCAAGAAAATAAACAAGATCATGCCAAGGAAATGAATATGGACAAAAACATGACTATTGGCCACCAATAAGGCACGCATCAACTTCGATACTGAAGGTTTTACAACTAACGAGAGAATAAAACAGGCATAAGGCAAATTGCTAGCACAGTCAAAATATTTTATTCAGAATACCCATAAACGCAAAGGAAAGAAACAATGAAGGCACGGCGCATTGGAAACTCGAATTTGCATCATCCAATTTGATGTCCTGAAGGGGAATCCGAGTAAGTTCCTCATTTGCTAAAGCCCCTATCAAAACATTAAATAATGACGGACAAGGTAAATAGTGATGGCACTAACATGCAAATCTGCAGATGCGTAACACAGCCAGACAAAGCAACACAAGTGTACAAATTAATAGAAGACATTGAGGCCACCAAATGCTCCAAAAGAAATCCATAACCATGGTGAAGGTGAACACTTCAAAACCAATTTCAAAAGGATGGGTACAAAAAATATGTCAAATAAAAGAAGTGGTTCGATAGAAAGAATGAAGTGGTTCGATAGAAAGAATGCAGCTTCCTGTCACAATATACTCTATTATACTACAGAAGAATACGGGATTACTACTCAACATGTTTGAATCACATTGAGATGGAAATTAAACACAAAATGGAATTCGAACAGCTAAGAGATATGAAAACTGCAAATATTGAGATGGAATTATAAAGAAGGTTGCATGCAGCAATGCATGCTGACAACAAAGATGGTTAAAGAAAGCAGCACATAAAGAACAGGTGATAATGGGCGTTAGCGCATCAGGAACTCGAATTTGCATCATCCAATTTGATGTCCTGAAGGGGAATCCGAGTAAGCTCATCATTTGCAGCCCAGAAGAAGCCAAAGAATGCAAGTAATGCAAACGGTTAATTAAATACAGGTAATCATATAATAAATCTGGCAATCTCATGGTACTGAAATCATAGTGTGAGAAAGGTATACCTGATCTGGCTGGGCAACATCAGAGAAGATAACATCAACCATGCCAACCAACATCCGGTACCTTGCTGGGTGCCTAGCATCCTCAATGATGGGGATCACATTAGTCCTCTTTTTGGCCATGTTAACAAGATCCCTACCACTCCTGTGCGAGAACTCAACAGCGTAGACCAAACCAGTCTGCAAAATGACACAATTAGCAAAGGCAAATTGCATATGTTGCCTGAATAAGAAATGAGGATAGCAAATGACATCTCACCGGTCCAACAATATCGGACACATGAGACACTGTTGTTCCTGAGGCAGCACCGAGATATAACACACGAGTACCAGGAGCCTAAATCATGAAACAACGATTAACACGTGATGCTCTTCTAAACTAAAGATCTGACAACCATACTGATGCATTAGCACTTCGGCCTAAGCTACTGCGCACAGTGATTCAACAACAAAAAAAAACTTACAATCCAGATGTTGTCGACACCACCAAGCACAGCAGCAGCCAGCTTAGAACGGAAGGGGTTCCACACCCTGTATTCAACCTTAGTTCCATCCTCATTCTGTTCACGCAGAAACATCAGCAATAAGCATAACTTGCAGGGTACACTACAATGCAACAAAACATACAGACTTCTACAGAACATTATCTTACAGATTCCTACATATACAAGATAGCTTATAGTAGCTCAGTAGAGAATGGTGCACAAAAGAGAATTTCTACATGTAACACTATAGCTTATATCTCGAATGATGCACAAAAGAGGAACAAAAAAATGAGAGGAGGAGAAGGTAACAGCAATGGACCTGGACTGAGATACGCTTCTCTCCGTAGACGGACTCGCCGGGGACCATGTTCTTGGTGCAGAGCGCGTCCTCCTTGGCCTTGGCGATGAAGACGCCGTTGTGCTTGTGCGGCACCACGACCACCTTGCTCCCGCCCTTCATGCCACCCCTCCCGCCACCGCGGCCGCCGCCACGGCCCCTTGGCGTCCTGCCACCTCCCCTCCCACGGCCTCCTCTCCCTCCGCTGTCCCCGCCCCTCCCGAATCCCCTCCCACCGCCGCCACTGCGGCCGCCGCCATCGCCTCTCCCTCCCCTCCCGAATCCCCTCCCTGAAACCAAAGCATATATCACGTAAGATTCAAAACGAGCCGAGAGAGCGCAAGACCAACACGGGGAGTAATCCTAGGGTTTCGGATGCTTACCTCGCGGTGGCCTCATGGCGTCGACTCGACGATGTTGCTCTCCGCCGCCGCCGCAGCCGCCGCAGGTGAGGGGGTGGGTGTAGGGTTTTGGAGGGGGATTAGGGTTTGGAAGAGGGAACGAGGAAGGGAATGATTTGTAGAGGGGGAGGCTAGGGTTGATGTTCGATCATGGCCGTTGATGCGAGTGACGGGTAATGGACGGTCAGATCGTGAATACTCCCACATTTTAAATGGATTAATAAGCTAAAAAAGTTAGAACGACAGGACGGTCAGGATGGCCGAGTGGTCTAAGGCGCCAGACTCAAGTTCTGGTCCTCTAACGAGGGCGTGGGTTCAAATCCCACTTCTGACATTATATTTTTTCTTCATGTCTGACATTATTAACAATTTATTTTTCTTTTTTTTCTTCATGTCTGACATTATTAATAAATTATTTTTCTTCATTCCATTTTATTCAATTTATTTTTCTTTTTTTTCTTCATGTCTGACATTATTAATAAATTATTTTTCTTCATTCCATTTTATTCATTCTTAGGGTGTGTTTAGTTGGGGAAAAGGAAATTTTTGGGTGTCACATCAAACGTTTGACTGGATGTCGGAAGGGGTTTTTGGACACAAATGGAAGGGGTTTCAGACACAAATGAAAAAACTAATTTCAGAACTCGCCTGGAAACTGCAAGACGAATCTTTTGAGACTAATTAAGCCATCATTAGCACATGTGGGTTACTGTAGCACTTATGGCTAATCACGGATTAATTAGGCTTAAAAGATTTGTCTCACGATTTCCTCTATAACTGTGCAATTAGTTTTTCTTTTTATCTATATTTAATACTTTATGTATGTGTACAAAGATTCGATGTGATGTTTTGGGGAAAATAATTTGGGGAACTAAACGGGCCCTTATTGTTTCAACATTTCAGCTTGGTTCATTTATCCATCTCCATTTCATTTGATTTCGTGGGGAATCCACGGCCGTGCTGCATGAGCGAGCCTGGAGTATGATGCTAGCACCGATGGCATCAACGCCCATGGCATGCATTCCCAGCACCGATGGCGTTCTTATTGGTCAGACGTTAGAAAATCAATCTGCACATCATCGAACTGCTACTTTCAGGTCGAACCGTCCAGTGCAAAGAATGAGCAATCGGTACAGAATTTGTCACAAGTGTATGACTAGTAACGGACTAATTAACAGTGTACAAGAAACCATACTGATCGAGCCTAATGATTAATTAGTTAACCATCTTAGTTGCGGCCTATCACTAATCCTACACATATGCGCAGTGTGACTGCAAGCTAGCCGATTCACAAAAGCCTAAAAAAAATCTCACTCCTCAATCCCCTTCTCTTCCATGGATACTCTCACCTATGAACTAACCTCCTAGCTAATTAAACAGCAACAGCGGTAGCAAAAAAAAATGAAATGAAAAATTGGAGGCATGTCTATCTAGATGATCGTCTCCTCCGGCTCTGACGTCGGAAGCTTCTCGTGCTCCGGCTGCCCTCCCCATAATCTAACCCTCTCCAACGCTTGCACTGACTGCAGGAAGTAAAACCAGCATAAACATGGCAATTATGATGAGTTTATTATCTACTACGAGTAAGAATATAACGTGAATAAAAATGCTGCTGTGATTAACACCTCTGCTTCCCAGTCAGTTTTGCAGACCATGTACATGAGGATGGCCGTCTGCATTGCCGTCCCACACAACATGCCAGCCCAAATGCCCTGCAAGTTCCGTAGAATTTTCGAAAACGAAAATTAAATATATATGCTCGACTGCATGATTCATTTATGTAGTAGTAGTGAGACGATTTTGAACTGAACTGAATTTTACCTTCACACCCCATCTGAAGAGGTAGCCAAATATGAAGCCGAGAGGGAGGCCGAAGCCGTAGTAACACGCCAGATTAATGTACGCCACCACTCCCTGCCATCCGCCGCCGACCGCCACACCTAAAAAGAAGTAGACAATGAATTCTTCCAAGGATCAGTTCATCGGAATTTAGTTAGTCAATTATATACTTCCTCCGTTTCAAAATGTTTGACACCATTGACTTTTTAGCACATGTTTAATCGTTCGTCTTATTAACAAATTTTAAATAGTTATTAATTCTTTTCCTATCATTTGATTCATTGTTAAATATATTTTTATGTAGGCATATAATTTTACATATTTAACAAAATTTTTTGAATAAAACAAACGGTCAAACATGTACTTAAAAAGTTAACTGCGTTAAACATTTCGAAATGGAGGTAGTATATGATGAAGTGCTGAGATGTGAATGGTTGCCTGAGATGACGGGCTGGATGCTGTTGAGCACCATGGTGACGGCGAGCATGTAGGCGATGTTGGCCACCGCCTTCTGCAGGTGCCTGTCTCCGGTGAAGATGACGGCGAAGTGGTTGCGCGTGGCGAGGATGAGCACCATCGCCAGCAGCCCGAACGCCAGCGACTGCACCAGCACCACCACCACCGCGTGCATCGTCGCCCTCGGCCTCCCCGACCCGAGCTCGTTCGACACCCGCACGCTGATCGCCGCGTTCAGCCCTATGAACAGCATCCCCTCCCATCCATTTATATTCATACTGCATCAAACATATGTATATTTATCATTCATATCGATCGCAACATAATCATTGATGGTAGTGTTTTATACTACCTTCATTCCAAAATGTTTGACGCCGTTGACTTTTTTTAAAATATTGTTCGTCTTATTCAAAAAATTTAAGTAATTGTTAATTCTTTTTCTATCATTTGATTTATTGTTAAATATACTTTTATGTATACATATTGTTTTACACATATCACAAAAGTTTTTAAATAAAACGAACGGTCAAACATTTTTTAAAAAGTTAACAGTGTTAAATATCTAGGGAAGGAGGGAGTACCATATAGATATGGAGTCGACGGCGATCTCGGCGTCGTCGAGGTGACCGGTGAGGACGACGAGCACCATCATGTACCATATCTCGAGGCAGAGCATGACGGCGGAGGCGAGGGAGAGCTTGACGAAGGCCCAGAGCTCGTTGAACGCCTTGCGGGACAGGCCCGTCCAGCCGTCGCGGCACCAGCCGACGACGTAGGCCACCTGCGCCAGCGCGGTGAGCCAGGAGGAGACGTCGTACGCGGCGGCGGCGCCGGCGATGCCCCAGCCGAGCGCGGAGACGAAGAGGGCGAGGAGGCCGACGTGGGCGAGGAGCGCCGCGAAGCCGATCCAGGCCAGCACCGTCACCTTGCTCTGCGCCTGGAGGAACTTCTGCGTGGGGAAGTTGATGGCGAGCGCGAACATCTGCGGGATGATCCGCACCGTGAACTCCCCCGCGGCGGCGGCGATGCTCTCCTCCTGCCCCAGCAGCCGCAGGATGGGCCCCGCGAAGACGTAGAGCGGCGAGAGCAGCGCGGCGGAGGCGGCGAGGATGATCCACGAGCGCTGCATGTAGATGCCCAGCATGGCCACCTGCCCCGCCCCGAACGCCTGCCCGCACAGCGTCTCCAGCGCGCTCCCCATGCCGAGCTGCCATTGCCATTGCCCAAATTACAATCTCTCAATCCCATCGATGGATGCGCATGGAGGATTTGGAGGGAGGACTCACGAGGAAGCCGAAGGAGAAGTTGGAGACGACGGAGAGGCCGATGGCAACGGCGGAGAGCTCGCGGTTGCCGATGTGGCCGACGAAGATCTGCGTGGTGGAGTTGGTGCCGTAGAGGCAGATGACGTTGAAGGCGATGGGCGCGCCGATCGCCCACAGCCGCCGCGACTCCGCCGCGAACACCTCCCACGCCCCGCGCGCGGTTCGAACCACGGGCGCGTCGTCCTCGTCCTCGTCCTCCTCCCCGGCGACAGCGTCGTCGTCGTCGTCATCCTCATCGCCCTTGCCAACAGCGGCGACGAGCGCGCCGGTCTCGTCGTCCTGCACGGCGACAACCATACGACCGTCAGCGGCGGCGGCGGCGGCGTGGCGGGAGCGGAGGAGGTGGTGGCGCGGGGAGGTTTGGGTGGTGTGGCGCGCGGAGAGGAGGAGGGGCTCGGTGTAGGCCATGGCGATGGAAGGGGTTTGGTTGCTGGATTGCCGCACTTCAATCCCGGCCTCGATTTGCCGTTCTTGGCGTTGCCTACCTTGCCTCCCCTCCCACCCCCCCCCCCCCCCCCCCTCTTTTAGCGCGGATGGCTCTACTTTTCCACGTCCCTCTCACTCTCAACTGATTTATGTTTGTTACTCCATCCGTATCAGCTTATAAAACGTTAAATTTAAAGTTTAAAGTTTAACTAAGTTTATAGACAAGTATAATAATATTTATATTATTAAATTAGTTTCATCTAACCAATAATTAAATATATTTTCATAATAAATTTATCTTAGATTAGAGTTGTTATTATTTTTTCTATAAATTTAATCAAATTTAAAGTAGTAGTCAAAATATCTTATAAACTGAAAATGGAGGGAGTACTTCTCTTAGTTTTCTTAGGCAAAAAATAAAAAAAAATGGAGATCTTTGGCGAGAAGCCGCAGTGGCAGTGAGGCTGCAGAGCCTTCACAATTCCCTATCGCCGGCGACGACCACGGAGACCGTTGTGGCCCGTTTACTATTCGTCGTCGGTTTTGTTGCGCTAAACCCGAGGGCCGCAAGGGAGTCGCGGCCCACGTGAGGCCCGTATGTTTGGGCCGGTTTTTCATGGGCCGTTCGCACTCTTTCCACGCCACCGTCCCTCCCGCCGACGCTGGCAATGCGGTTCGAGCGTTCGACCGGCGGTCCGCCGTGATTCTGAACGAAATGGCTACAGATTTTTTTTTCGAGAGAGAAAGGTAGGAGTATTATTTATCTGACGTGTACATTCAATTGGATATATACAGTTATTTAAATTAAAACTTAGCCTTATAAATAACCCAATCTAAAATTCGCTCCTACTATGAAATGACTACTTTTTGCACCCTGAGAATGAACATAGGTTCACTGCGTTCGGAGCTAGAAAGCTGAAATTATAGATATAGTAGTAGATGTTATATAGTATGGGATGTTTATTTTATTGTCAAGATTAACCCTACCAAAATTTTGCTGTATCAAAATGGTAGTAATAACAATCAAAACATTGCTAAAAATTACTTGCACTGGTAATCCTAGAATTTCACAAAAAAAAAGAACGTGGCAAAGGTACGGAACATAACTTATACTACACGTTTACCTTCCTAAATATTGACAGTATCAAATTTTGGAAAGGTTTTATTGAAATTTGGCGCTATGTGTGTGTTTGTTTTGTCCAATTCTGGTTCAGCGTCTGTCCTGTCTAAATCGCCAGCGAGTCATTCATCATCAGACGTATACAAAAATGATTTGCCCGGTCTAAGATGTCTGAACCAGTGTGTTCAATCTTGTCCGGGTCAATTGTTTCCGCCTTCAGAACATTTCTCTGAACTCGTCCTCTTTCTCCCCTTTTAGTTTCCTCCTTAATCTGCTTCTCTTTGAAGTTTGAATGGTACTCCCTCCGTTTCGTTTTATTTGACACCGTTGACTTTTTAGCACATGTTTGACCGCTCGTCTTATTCAAAAAAATTAAATAATTATTAATTCTTTTCCTATCATTTGATTCGTTGTTAAATATACTTTTATGCATACGTATAGTTTTACATATTTCACAAAAATTTTTGAATAAGACGAACGGTCAAACATGTGATAAAAAGTCAACGGCGTCAAATAAAACGAAACGGAGGGAGTAATAATCTAGTTGTTGAAGCCGGTGACACAGTTACCTGCTGCATGCTTAAGTGCCAGCTGGAGACATGGTTTAGCTGACGCTGTGACGCATGTTGCTTTCGTTGACAAATAGAGTGAGCTCTCAGGATACGCGTGACTAAATTAGCTGCAAAAGGGCTATAAAAACTTTACGGACTTGTTGCGTGCGTGTGTGCCCATGGATTTGAACTTTGAACATAGGTTATGGATTATAAAAAAAAAATGCGATTTGAAAGTTGCTGCGAACATACGTGATGACGCGACTAAAGCTTATATACGCTGAAGAGGGAGATGTTAATGATTCAATTAGTGTAGTTGGCCGATCAAGATCAGTACCTTAACATTTGCTATCACACTCTTGTCTGCAGCAACAAGCCAAGTCTGAAGAAGAAGAACTAGTCATCGCTTGCCAGGTCCACCTCAAACGCCGCGTCTCACTGGCAAGTGGGCCCCAGGACATCACCGGCCCCACAGACAGTGACACTGATGTTTAACTGGTCGGGTCCCACCGGCTCGCGCTCGCCGGCGTTGGACATGGTCGCGCCCCTTGACTTGGCCGAGCTTAGCTATATGTCCACGCCGCGCGTACGCGCCCCCTGGTGGCCGGCGCGTTGGGAGCTCTGAGCGGAGGCGGGCGGCTGCGCGGCCATGGAGGGACGCGAGCGCCGCCGCAGCATGTCGTCCTCGTCGTCCGGGAGGCGCACGCCGGAGCTGGAGAGGGAGCGATGGGCGCCGTGGAGCCCCGCCCCCACGTGGTCGCGGCCGCTCTCCGTCGGGGGCGGCGGCAGTAGGGCGGCGTCGCTCAAGTCGCTCTTCAGGACGATCGGGTTGTGGTTCAGCTCGCTCTCCACCTCCTCCTCCTCCTCGTCGTCGGCGGCGGCCACCTCCGCCTCCGGCAGCAACGCTAAGAGGAGGAGCAGAAGAGAGCCCAATGACTTGATCAAGAAGCCGCCATGTAAATTGTTTCTCTCGATCATTTCTTCTCCATCTATTTCATCCTTGTCCTTAATTACCTCGATTTGAATTGCTCAAGCAAACAGGATATAATCCGAATTATTTGCCCAATTGATGCAACTGTTCCTGAACTGTTCAAGAAATCAGTCAATTATCACAGTCCAGTTGCCGGCTGCAACTACTCTGAATTGGAAACAGTCAATTATCACAGTCCAATTGCCGCAACTACTCTGAATTCTTTACTTTCTGGAGCAGAATTGCTAGTGCAAAGCTTACAGAATCATATTTATAAAATCTGAATCACAGAAGACTTCAAACATTTTTTTCAAAATTCAGAGCAGCAATTAAGCAGTTGGGAATTAATTCTTGATAGATGAATCTGTTTGATGATTCCAGTGCCGGGGCCTGGCAGTGATCAGGGGAAGGCGTCGATGCGCGGGCTGTACAACAGCAGCAGGGGAAGAGGCATCGCGACGCAGTTCCAGAGCTCGGTGTTCTCCATGGAGGAGATCCTGCGCGCCACCAACAACTTCTCGCCGGCGCTCAAGGTCGGCCAGGGCGGCTTCGGCGCCGTCTACAGGGGCGTCCTCCCCGACGGCACGCTCGTCGCCGTCAAGCGCGCCAAGCTCCGGGACCAGAACCCGCACGTGGACGTGGAGTTCCGGAGCGAGGTGAAGGCCATGGCGCGCATCGAGCACCAGAGCCTCGTCCGCTTCTACGGCTACCTCGAGTGCGGCCAGGAGAGGGTCATCGTCGTCGAGTTCGTCCCCAACGGCACGCTCCGCGAGCACCTCGACAGTGCGTGTGATCCGCCATTGCAGCTCGAGCTCGAGCTCGATCGGATTGGTTACTAATGGAGGTTCTTGGGCGCAGGGTGCAACGGGAGGTTCTTGGACATGGGCGCGCGGCTGGAGATCGCCATCGACGTCGCGCACGCGGTGACGTACCTGCACATGTACGCCGATCACCCCATCATCCACCGCGACATCAAGTCGTCGAACGTGCTGCTCACCCCGTCGCTGCGCGCCAAGGTGGGCGACTTCGGGTTCGCGCGGCTGGGCGTCGGCGAGGCCGGCGCCGCCGACGGCGTGACGCACGTGACGACGCAGGTGAAGGGCACGGCGGGGTACCTCGACCCGGAGTACCTCAAGACGTGCCAGCTCACCGACCGGAGCGACGTCTACTCCTTCGGCGTGCTGCTGCTGGAGATCGCCTCCGGGCGGCGACCCATCGAGGCGAGGCGGGAGATGCGGGAGCGGCTGACGGCGCGGTGGGCGATGCGCAAGCTCGCCGAGGGCGCGGCGGCGGACGTGCTGGACCCGCACCTGCCGCGGACGCCGGCGACGGCGCGCGCCGCGGAGATGGTGATGGAGCTGGCGTTCCGGTGCCTCGCCCCCGTGAGGCAGGAGAGGCCGAGCATGGGCGAGTGCTGCAGGGCGCTGTGGGCGGTCAGGAAGACGTACAGGGACATGGTGGTGGCCGCCGCCGGCGACGAGACGCCGCTCTCGTCCATCTCCGACCGGGCCAGCTCGTCGTCCGCCGGCACCGGCGGCGACCGGAGCGGCGAGCTCTGGAGGAATTAATCAACGTTTTGCTGTAAATATGCAAAAGCGAAAGTATTCGTTAAAATTCTGCTCATGTGTTGATGTTGTTTGTGAATTGTGATCGAGCTAATCGCTGACACGATACGGTTGGAATGTGATTTTGCCTTCGTTACTTGTCCATCTGGTTTTGTTCATCACGTTCTGGATTTACTATTAGATTAAAAAAATTTTGGGGGCCATTTGTTATTACCGATGTTTTGTTTTGAACCACCTTTTAACCAATGTTTTCACTTTTAATCGGGTAAATCTTACATTTGTTGCACTTTGAACCACCTCAACTCTCTTCTCATGCATAGAATGACCTTAAGTACAAGTGTATGGCGGCTCATACTTGTCAATAAACTCCATCAACCATTAGATTGCTTCTTTGACATATGACAAACTGAATGTAGAACGATAAAAGATTTGAGGGGTGGCCCAAAGTGTCACAGAGGTAAAATTACCTGGTCTAAAGTGAAAGCATTGGTTAAAGGGTGATTCAAAACGAAACATCAGTAATAAAAGGTGTCTTAAAGTAAAATTTAAGGCATGTTTAGATTGTAGCCAAAATAAACCTTACCAAATTTTGGCATTGCCAAAAATTTGGCAGGATTTCTTTTGTATTTAGCAAATTTGGCAATAAATTAAACGTAGTCATTTTTTAGCAACTTTACTAGAAAATGGTATGGTTGAAAATGGTATCAAAGTGAACATGCCCTTACTCTTGTCATTATTTTGGATGGGCCAAAAACCACATGTATGGGCCAGTCTATTCGCGTGCCACGAGCTTCTGGGATAGGCCTTGATGGGCCGTAGCGGCACGCAAGGAAGTGAGAATTCATGGCCTCATACCGCTTCATGCAACACTAGTGGTTAAAAACTGAATCTATCTTCTCTTCTTCTGCTTTTTTTCTTTTTGGGTAAACTACATGATGACATGACTTGTTATCAATAAAAAAGAAAATGATGATGTGGAATAATGATATATATAGTCAATAATATAGGATAGTACTATGTATAAGAAAAGGTTGAACATGTCATATAGCGTAACACAATATATTACTCCTATAAAGACTCAACAACAAACGCTTCCAAGCACAAGCTTACAAAAGCACACTGCAGGTAGCTAAGCCACCACCCTCGATAAACTAGAGGCCAAGAACCAGTCAGGTCGTTGCAAATGAAGGCCGGCCATAGCTGAACAACTCAGATTAATTAGTTAATTAATCAATCAGCTAATTAATCAAATCAAATCAAAATCAAATAACACGGAGACAAAAACAACTGTTGCGGCCGGCAGAATGAGCAAAAAAGAAACATAAAACAAGGCTAACATCCAAATCAGCGAGAGGTAATCTCTAACACAATGGTCATGGGAGCTGCATAAAAACTTCATTGATTATTGTGCACTTGCATTTCTCTATCTCGCTTGACTGTACATTTCATTTTCACAATCGGCTAGCTTAGATTCGATCCCAATAAGCAGCTAAGCTCACTGAATCTCATCAACAAACCAGTAAACCAGTAAACCCTAGCTCTCTCTCTCTCTCTCTCTCTCTCTCTCTCTACCTAGCTTAGCAGAAGCAGATGAGTCAAAAAACCAGCAAGGACGAGGTGATCGGTGGAAGGTCGCCGAGCGGCGACGGAGACAAGGCGGAGGAGGAGCTCCGCGAGGCCCGCAGCGGCGACGACGACGACGACGACGAGGCCGGCACGAGGCAGCCGTACAACTGCACCTTCTGCAGGAGGGGCTTCCCGACGGCGCAGGCGCTCGGCGGGCACATGAACGTCCACCGGAAGGACAGGGTTGGAAGAGCGACGCCGTCCTCCTCGTCGTCGACGACGGCGGCGGCGGCAAGGCGAAGCGTCAGCTACGATACGCTCGTGAGGTTGTTTCGTCCGCCGGCGAGCGGAGGAAGCGAGGATGCGGCGGCGTCCACGGCGGCCGGCGGCGGCGCGAGCCTGAGGTCCCGTACCGCCGAGCCGGCGCCGCAAGAGCTAAGGCTGTTTGGGCGCGGCGCCGGCCGTCGGGAAGAAGGTGGTGGTAGAGATCGACGAGATCGCTACGGCTGCTGCTCCAAGGATGGGGATGGCAATGGTGGCCATGATCATGGGGAGGAGGAGGAATTGGATTTGGAGCTGAGACTTGGTGGTTCAGGCTCTGCAGGCTCATGATCGAATCAATACTTAAATGTGTGTCAATTACGTATTCTTTTTCATCATAATTGAGTTGATTTGAAGGAGTATTTGGTTCAATTTAGATCTCTAGCTTAGGTAGCTTTCTATGTACTTCACATTTTACCCCCACAGAATATATCTGAAACAATATACTTCTTGTTGCTTTTATTATGGTAAAATTTCAATGGTGAAGAATGCAAATTTCCTCAGAGCTGTCATTGAACATATATTGCCATGGATTTTTTTCTATGTTGCAGTCATCCAATAACAAAATGTATGTACTATTTGCTTTTCATTTAGTTTAAATTTACACTTTGTAAGAGATAAAATATACTCCCTCCGTTTTGAAATGTTTGACATCATTGACTTTTTATCACATGTTTGACCGTTCGTCTTATTCAATTTTTTTTTGTGAAATATGTAAAATTATATGTCTACATAAAAATATATTTAACAATGAATCAAATGATAGAAAAAAATTAATAATTACTTATATTTTTTGAATAAGACGAACGGTCAAATATGTGCTAAAAAGTTAAAAAGTCAACGACGTCAAACATTTCGAAACGGAGGGAGTATATTTTACAGTGAAGACATATATATGTGACAACAATCTATATGCACTGATGATTGGTTAATTAGCTACGGAGACAGACACTAGTAATACGTTCCCATTGTACATTGGCACCAAATAAGATCTAGAAGGAATTTGTACTCTGGTTCTCAGGTAAGTACGAAATCCAAAGGCATACAACTATCGGTTATAGCAGCAGATGTTTTGAGCACACTGAATTTGATCCCCTGTTTGTTCACTTGTTGTTACGAAGAAATAATCATGTCCAGCTACTACTTCACTTTTGTTTTTCCCTGAATACATTAAGGTACAGAAAGTTGGTTTCAGAATATACCAGTCTCTGGAACCAATTCAGACATGGATCAGCTCATCAACAAGTGGTAGTATACATAGACCTTGACACGACTAGTTAGTTCAACAGAACATACTATCCCTGATATGTATATGCTGACAAGTGTGTGATTTTAGTAGCTAAAATCACAAGTATTTGGGAACATATTCTCGCCATATGTTGTGTGGATGAAAAAGATAGTTGTACTGAATTTTGTTCTGGTACTCGAGAATCGTGATGCCATCCTAATTGTTTTGGAGAAGTTGTTGTACCTACTTCATTTGATAATAGGGACGAAGCCAGGAAAAATAGTCACCGGGGTCACCACTAACTGACTATAGCTTATAATAATCTTAAGATAATCCTAGAATAAAACTATCGACCATATAATATGATAAAATAAAGTTTTTTTTAAGTAAAGTGGTTATGTTTTACATGTTACAAACTTCTCATGTGTACAATTACGATCCTTCATCTTGTGAAAACGAACAACCACGTCATCATCATTTGGAACTGTAGCTATATTTTAAAACGCAAGGAGTAATCCATATATTTATTACCGATACGATTGCGTGCAGTATTGTCTACACAACTTTTATTACCGAGAAGGTTATCTCCACTGATAAAGGAGAATTAGTACCACATGAACTAGTAAGTGGGTATTTTTCTTCTCAAGAATCACACTCCATTATACTTTGCTTGCCTATTAATTTATTAAAAAATAGAATGATTATTATGTAAAACAAAATACCCACGCTGCTGTAGATGATCAAAATCACTAATTTCTTACCTTCCACTTTTCTAGAAAGAATAAATTTATGTTTATGTAACAGAAATTGGGAGAAACTTCATATTTCAGAACCCTAACTTCCTAAAATTTTGGACTTGAGAAACCAGCCTACAACCAATTTGTGATGATAATAATTAAGAAATTGTGATGGGGTTAGTGGGTTACCCTTGCCAATCGGCGACGATTGGGCGAAGCGCTTCGAGCCAGACTGCACTGCAGCAGGAATACAGAGCAGCACAACAAGGCAATTTGTGGACTTGTTTAGCAGGAATACAAAGCCTTCTGGGCTCAAATCTCATACGTATATCGGGCTGTCGTATAATAAGTGCTTGCTAATTTTCTATTTACTACTTGTTAGTATTGTTTAGTTGCTAATTGAGCTTGAACAGAACAATATCACCGGACCACCGGGGTTTGACTGGGGTCGTAGCTGATAAATTAGTGCTGGTACAAGATGTTTGCAAAAAAATCGTCGGGGTCTACTGACCCTGATAAGTGACTCTAGCGTCGTCCCTGTTTGATAATATATCTAGTGGAAGAAAGAGCTTTTTATCTATGGAATTTGACGGAGCGTTCGTCGCCGGCGGCAATCAGATTCAGACGGAACGCTTCGTCTTGTTGAGGCGGCGCCGGAGTTGGAGGAGACGATCGAGGGAATTAAATTTGAAAATATATTGTTCATTTAATTTTTTTAAAGAATATTCAGGATGTAATTTTTTTATAGAAATATACCGTCGATCTCGTACAACCGATGAGCGAAAATGACGTAAAGGTAACGTCGAGGATGGTATCGCACAGCGAATGCACGAGACCGTGTGCCGTGTGGTCTCTCGCACCGACCGCGCGCTGTCGCGGGAAGGACGAGCAAACTCCATTTGCTTAGTGACTAATGACGTAATTATCTATTTAACTAATAATAATTAGTCATTAATCATAATAATTAATCACTAATTCACCATTTTGAAATACGGTATCGCTGATTGGTTCAGCGAGATTGCACGGTCTCGCTCTTTCATTTCGCGCGACCGCACGGTCTCACGCTTCCCCCGCGCGATACCGCCCGCGACGTCACGCCACTTCACTTTCGCGTAATGGTTGTGCGAGATCAACGGTATATTTTTGCAAAAAGCTTTGAATCCTGAATATTTCTAAAAATAAAATGAATGGAACAGTATATTTTCGAATTTAATTCGGTGATGAGGCGGCTGGTCAGTTGGTCTTGTGTTTTGGGCTTTTTCGGCCCGTCTAGTAGCCCATGGGCTATGGCGGATTATTTGCTCGGCCCAATAAAGCCCATTAAAAGCGGAGCTAACCTAGGGTTTGTGAGCAAGGACGAACAGGTATAAAAGCGAGCCTCCGCGCCGCCGTCGCACCGTTCCGCAGGCCGCAGCCACCACCACGCCACCGGAGCACAGCGACGCGCCGCCGCGGCTTCATCGTCTCCGGTGAGTTCGACACCCCTCGCGCTTGTATTCTCTGCCGAAATCTTAAAATCTGCTGTTTCCACTGTAAGACCTATTGCTTGGTAGATTTGATCGCTGCCTCTTGCGGTTAAATTCTCGGTGACCGGTCGATTTTGTCGTGAAATTCTCAGTGATACTATTATGCTTTTCGGTCAGTTGTTTGGCTGCAATAACTGTAAACTTAGTTTTAGTTTGAGTAATTCGGTGCACGCGGGTTGTTTAGCTTGTTAGATCGCCTCGCTATGCTCCAATCTGCGCATCATCCGTGTTCTCTAGATCTGATAGCTGATAGGGCTAGCCATTTCGATCAATATGATGTTGGATGAGAGATTTTAGGGCAGATGCCATTTGTGATCGACACCATTGCTGCCAGCGTTGTGTAATGTTTTTGCGTGTTAATGGTCACTTAGTGGTCTGATGGTCATTTGCTATGGTGTAATGGTCGATCTGTTTGGTGATGTAGCTACAGCGAAATGGCGACGGTTCCGGAGCCTTTGTTCTGGGAGATTGTGAAGAAGAACAACTGCTTCCTCGTGAAGCAGTTTGGAAACAGCAATGCCAAGGTGCAGTTCACCAAGGAGCCCAACAACCTGTACAATGTTCACTCCTACAAGCACTCTGGTCAGTAGTTGCTTCTCGCAACGTCACAGGCTTTAGATGCAAATTATGCCTTTGATTCAGCCTTTGCAATGTCCTGACATAGTGTTGTTGTGTTCTGTAAGGCTTGGCGAACAAGAAGACCGTGACGATCCAGCCATCAGGTGGAAAGGACGCGGCTGTGGTCCTCTCCACGACCAAGACCAAGAAGCAGAATGCCCCAGCTAAGCTCTACCACAAGTCTGTGATGCGCAAGGAGTTCCGCAAGATGGCTAAGGCTGTCAAGAACCAGGTATTTGGAAGATAAATGCTTAGTTTCATGTCATTATTTTGCCTTGTGATGCTCTATGCTTTAGATGCACTGTTGTGATGAGCCTTAATATCTCGTATTGGCTTCATTATTCTTTTCTATTCACTGCTGTGATAAGCCCCAACATGGAAGAAGGCTCAGAGATTGCTCCTGTTTTTCTGTGAAATACTCCTGTTACAGCAATTGGTATAACTTGATCTGAAAATTAGTAAATTGCCAATTAATCACAAGCTAGTCTGTAAGGAATGTTTTGTTTTTATCAATACTCGAATCAAATTTTTTTCCCATGTTTGAGGTTACAATGTGTGATGCTGCTGTGATGAGCCGTAACACATAAGAAGGCCAACCTATCAATTGGTTCTTCGATGACAAATACTTGTTACGCTTGGCTTCTGAGCAGAATCAAGCTGCTACTGTTCTCTCTACAGCAGCTTTCCTGTATGTACCTTCCTGAAGAAATCTTTGATAGCTTGTGCTCTTAACAGCTGTTTCTTTTCTGCGCAGGTTAGTGACAACTACTACAGGCCAGATCTGACCAAACCGGCTCTTGCAAGGCTTAGCTCAGTGTACCGCAGCCTCCAGGTTGCCAAGTCTGGTGTGAAGAAGAAGAACAGGCAGCCAGCCAAGCTGTAAATCGCTTGAAGCTGCGCGTTTTTGTCATGGCACCTCTTGATGCTCATGTTTCCAGCTACCTCTGTTCTAAAAGTGTCCAGACTTGAAATGAGGGATCTCTGTTAGAATTGGATCAACCTTGTCACAGATCTGCCGTGTAGTTTGTATTCTAGACAGTTTATCTGCTCGGTGTCCTTACAAATTGTTTGCTTTGCACTTATTATAGTAGCTAATGTCATCAAATTGTGGGCCCCTGTTGCTACTATGTGGATTTACAATCTGCACGTTAGTAGTAGCAAATCTAGCTATCTCCTTGATCTCCTGGACAAGTTGATAGAAAGCCTATGAACGTAAGCACTCCCTCCGTTTTGAAATGTTTGTTTTGAAATGTTTGTTGATCATTCGTCTTATTTAAATTTTTTTGAAATGTTTGTTGACCATTCGTTTTATTCAAAAAATTTAAGTAATTATTAATTCATTGTTAAATATATTTTTATGTAGGCATATAATTTTACATGTTTCACAGAAGTTTTTGAATAAGACGAACAGTCAAATATATGCTAAAAAGTCAACGGTGTAGGAGTATGTCGTAATTTCCATCAACATAAATCGGCCTGACGCATGTCGAAATTTCCAGTCGGTAGGTAAAATCGGCTGCATGTAACTCACAATTCCGTTATTGGGCCACAAGAAAGGTCTCGGCTGACGGCCCAACTAGCATGGAAGCACGTAATTTCGTCCCGGCCCAACAAAATTGGGCCGCACGTACACGTAATATCCAATTCTGTTCTTGGGCCTCACGAGATCGCCACCCGCTCCTGTGGCGGTCGGCGCTCGCCGTCGCCGGCGTGCAGCGCCGCCCCTTCTGCCGCGGCGGTCCGCGCTCGCCCTCGAGTTCGGCGTCTCCTACCCCGACCGCTTCGGCAAACCGCCCTCCCTCTACTCCTCCTGGACGCTATCCGTACTTTGCTCGTCGAGCTCATGGCTGCGGTTTCAGGCGAACCAACCGGATCTATAGGGGGCAGCGGCGGCGGCGGAGGCGGAGGCGGCGCTCATGGAGTTGCTCGCCGGGAAGGGATCAGCCCTCCTACGACGTGGCGCCTGCTCCTGCGAATGCGCGATCTGCTGCCGATCCGGTACGGACTGATCCTTCCCTGCAAATCTCAATCCGATCCTCCTCCCCGTGATACACCTCCCACACATCCCACGTTCTACTTTTTTTTTTTAAGATAATGGAATCCCACGTTCTACCTCTCCTCGCCTCAAGATCAATGTCCCATCTCTCTCTACTCGATTTTAGCAAGTCAAACCCATTTCGATTCTCAATTTCATCAATTCCTCCCCGTACGCGGCGTCACGTGCAAGCTGCAGTGCAACTGAAAGTGTTTTGAGATATCATCTCATTGATTCCAATCTCATGATTTGCTTTGACAGAGAGAGTCAAGTACGAATTCCCTTGACTTCACCCGAGTGTACATCTCGATCATTAGAAAATTACACGACTTGTATTCCCACTCAAACTCATATTACAAAATTTGTGCGAAGAAGATTTCTCGGGGACGCCATTGCTGCCAAGATTCCATGTGTTCTTGCCATCCATCAGGGCACCCTTTCTTTCGTTAGAGATGTTCCCCGTTTTCGCCGCGAAGATCTTTTGAGTTCTTCATTCTGCAATGCTGGATGACGAGATTGTACACTGATCACAGAATTCTTCTGAGTTCTTCATTCTTCAATGCTGGATGACGAGGTTGTACACTGATCACAGGATTCACAGCTTTTACCGATTCAGACTTCAGAGCTCTTAGACAAACAGACCTCCAGCAAACATCAGCATCATGTGCTCTGAAGAATTCGCGCCAGCTCGTCTTTCAACTCCTGCAGAATCACCGGCTTCTTGAGGATGCCATTGATCCCGGATTGAGCGCACTTCTCCCAGGCCTTCTGGTCGGAAGCCATGGCCATGACGATTGGCCATCGGCCGCTCCTGTACTGGCTGATCCTCGTCGCGACATCAAGGGCTTTTACTCTCTTCATTTCGAGGTTCACCATGACAAGCTGGAAGGCTGCTGCTGAGGAGCCAACAGAGCTGAGAAATCCTGATCCTGAAGGCGGCGAGGAGACCACGCAGCCGAGCTTCTCCAATAGCTTCCGAGCAACCACAAGGTTGATGTCGTCATCGTCGTCGATAAGCAGAACCTTCAGGCCTGCAATCTGGCACGACGGCGACGAGTGCTTCTGCTCGAATGATCCTCCAAGGCTTGATGATGTCAGTGGCGATTGCAGCTGAAACCTGAGCACCAGAGTCATGCTCTCCGGTAGCCCTTGGGGATCAAGAATCGCCCAGATGTTCCCTTGCATCATCTGTCAGTAGGATCAACAGGACATCAGCATCAGTGGTAATATGCTCTCTTGAGATTGGACTGCTAATTTCATGTTCAGATGATTCAGATGCAATGCAGTGATCCAGGCAATAACACTACCTGCACAAGCTTTCTGCACATGCTGAAGCTAAGTCTGAGATCAATGCCCTTCCCACTCGGCCTCCGCGACAGCGGCGAGCCGGCATCGCCGTTCTGCTGCCGCTTGACACCAATGACAAACTTCACCGAGGAGTAGCCAGTGGAGTAGGACGGCCACCATGGATCCCACCTCTGGCCGAGCCTGTCGTCCAGCACGTCGTCGTCGGCGGCGCGCACCCGGAGCGTGACATGCCCGGGCTCGGTGCGGCCAATCAGGTTGCCGACCATGTGGAGCAGGACATGGAAAATCCTCCGCTCGTCGCCGACGACGAGGTCCGGCAGCGCGTTCTCGACGTGCACGGCGAAGCCGAACCCCCTGAAGTCGCAGAGGCACCGGGCGACGCAGGCGGCGTCCCTGATCATGGCGTGCAGGTGGAACGGCCGCGTCTCGAGCGGGAAGCGCTCGCGGCTGTCGGCCGACATCTCCATGACGTCGTTGACGAGCGTGGAGACGACGGTGGCGGTGCGCGCCATGGTGTCGACGACGAGCCTCTGCTCCGGCGCCAGGGCCTCCTCCTGCACCATGGACACGAGGCCGAGGATGGAGTGGATCGGGCGGCGCATCCCCTGGCTCATCACGCCCTGGAACGCCTGCCTCGCCTCGTTCGCCATGAGCGCGTCGCGCCGCGCCTGCAGCAGCTCGCGGTTCTGCTCCGCCAGCCGGTCCCGCATCGCCCGGGACTCCTCCAGCAGCGTCGCGTGCGACAGCGCGACGGCGACCTGGCCGGCGACCACCTCGACGATCTCCATCTCGTGCCGCCCCCAGCTCTTGCCGGCGGGGGGCACCAGCACCAGCACGGCGTAGCTCGTCTGGATCACCTCCGGCGTGCCGCCCTTGAAGTCGGACACCTTCAGCATCGGCATCCGGATCGCCGCCACCGCGCCGGTGCCCTCCTCCTTGCCGCCGCTCGCCGCGGCGAGCACCGAGTCCGGCCCGAGCAGCTTGACGCCGTCGCTCCCCCGCACCTCGACGACGTCCGCGTCGTCGACGCCGACGACGCCATCCTCGCCGCCGCCGTCTCGCCGGAGCTCGTGCGTCAAGCACATCTCGCCGGCGGCGGGCATCCAGACGGCGCAGTTGGTGAGGCCGAGCACCCTGGAGAGCTCGATGAGGGTGGTGTAGAGCACGGTGTGGCGGTCGAGCGACTTGCGGATCTCGTGGGTGAGCATCCGGACATGCCAGCTCGCCTCCTCCTGCCGCTTCATGAGGACGACCTCGCGGTCGAGCTCCCTGGCCTTGAGCCACAGCAAGCTCTCCCTCACCTTGACCCGGAGCAGCTGCGGGATGAGGGTGAGCAGCGTGATGGCGGTGAGGAAGGAGACGAGCGCCGTCAAGAACTTGGCCGTGGTGAGGAGGAGCACCACCATGAACGGGTGCGGCTCGTAGGTGAAGGCGGTGAGGAGGTGGGTGAGGCCGCACAGCACGATGAAGGCGCCGAACTGGACGAGCACCCACCGGAACGGGAGGAGATGCCGGAGCCCGGCGACGAAGTAGAGGATCTCCAGCGGGATGGAGAAGTAGGCCGCCGCGATCAGCAGGTCGCTCACCTTCTGCCACCTGAAGATGCTGTCCATGCTCCACAACCCCCCGCCGCCGCCGCCGCCGCCGCCGTCGCAGTGGCAATGGTGGTACTCCACCTCGCGGGCGGCGGCGGCGGCCGGCGAAAGGGCGAGCAGCAGCGGCAGGAGGTAATCTTGGCATCTGAATCTTGGAGGCATCATCCAGTGGACTAGCTGCTGCTGCTGCGCCAATGGGAGGAAAATGGAGGAGCTTTTGTCAGAAATAGGCGGCGAATCCGTAGCGCAACTTGGCAAGGTTAAGTAAAAAAGAAAATAAAAAGGCCGCAGCTTTGGCATAAATTCGAGATAATACCATGTGATTAGAGATCTTAACAAGATTTTATTGCCCTGGAAGCATCCTGGCGTCCAAGTGGAGAGCAACATCCCGGAATGGCATCATCTGTAATCTGTATGTGCAAGCAAAGCAGGCAAAGGAATTAGGACAAGAAAACCAGCATCAGCTTCATCTTTTTTTCTCCTTTGCCTTCGTGAATTACCAGAAAGATCAAAGCTTCAGCAGAGCAGAATTGGATCCACGGATCGATTCATCGAACTGGGCGGCCGTCCTGAATCAATCAATCAATCAACACAAAGTGAATACAGGACGAATTAGTGAATCCCTGTAGCACTTTGGATCCCAAAACAGGACAGAGGTGGAGCAAATCCAACAAATTCTGAAGCTTTGTGGTACTACCTCAAAGTTGAGCAGAACCAGTTTGTTGTCTGCAACAGTGAAGCTATCGATATTGGGTTCCAGGGAAAGATGCCATCCAATTGATCTGCAAAAGAGACCAATGAACAAAGAAATACGGAAGAGAAGATAGCAATCGATGGATGGATGGGAGAATTTGTCACCTGGAGAGGAGAGGAGAGGAGATGAGAGACCGAGAGAGGCACCAAGAAGAGGAAGAGGAAGGTAAAGACGCCAGCTATGCAGGAGGGCTTACGCCATGGGAGGCAGCAAGTGGTTAGGGTGTTGATAGGCATTGGCTGTTGTTGGGTTTCAGTGTCCGCGGGAGAAAGAAACCGAGCAAGAAGAGGAGCATCAGCAGTGGTCGGTAGTGAGAGCAAGTGGGGGAGACAGCAGTGATCACGGAGCATCAGATGATCAGATGGGGGATCTTCCCCTGATTTACTAGTACCGATTAACATAACTGATGAACAATGCTTTGGCCAATCAGACGCTCCAAATCGCTGCAACTGGCAGTCTGCTACCGAACAACAGGTTTAAGAAACCGCACGATTATCACGCATGATAATCTTTTTTAATTTTTAAAATCATAGTAATCCTCATGGTAACTATATGGTTACTATGATAACCGTTTTACGAGGTAACCCAAATTTAGTTTGGCCGAACACAGGGGGTGTTTGGGAACTAGGGACTAAATTTAGTCCCTCTTACAAAATTATAAGTCCCTATAGTAGAGACTTATATTTTTGTGAGAGGGACTAAAGTTTAGCTCCACTTTAGTCCCTCCAACCAAACACCACCACAATACTATAGAGGAGGAGGAGGAGATGGTAGGTAGCAGTATCGAGGGAAAGAAAGATACGGAGATCCATAACGAAATGTAACCGTGTCTCACCGATTGAGTCGAGAAATGTCCCTCTGCTGATGACGAGCATGGATGGATATTTGTGGTGACGCCGTTGCAGACAGCAGAGGTAGCTTGGCAGCCAGGCGCCCAACCGACTGAAGAAGCAGTCCAAGTCCAACTTGTGAAACTTTGAAGCGGTCTCTACAGTATTATATTGGTACCAATAAATATCTCTCTCAATCATAGTACATGCCACATTGAGTGCTTCGCAGGATACAAGATTCATGATCTATCCTCTTATCCAGGTACTCCCTCACTCTCTATATTTAGACAATGCACCGTTAACTTTATGCCATCATTTTGAAACTTAACTCTCCCTATTTAGATTGAAAGGTGGTTTTTTTTCTTTATGAGTACTTTAACAATATTATAATTTTACTACATATTATTGTGATATTCTAGTTGTGGGAAAAAATAATAAAACGTCAAATAACAATGCCTATATATTACCGGTGGGAAGCAAGATATTATTGTAACGGAAGAATATTTTCTGACTTAACTTAACTGTATGTGTAGTTAAGCCACTTATATGTGGGTGATCCCTTCCCATTATAATAGTGACCATACTTTTGTTGGTTGTGGGTTGAGTGTCATTGGATGACTCAATCGTTTGTTGTTCTTTTCAGCTCTAAAGATGACAACTTCTTGATTTTCCGTTAGCGCTTCTCGAACATGTGTGTTTTGTGAAAAAGAAAATATTTATACAAGTTTTTTTTAAATCAAATAAATATATATTTTCAAACTTATAATAGTTAATATATAATTAATTACGCACTAATGACACTTCTCATTTTCCGAACCGCGAACAGCTTCACCGAACTGCACGTTAAAACTGGCCTTAATATCCTAGATTAGAGAAACTTTTCCATTATTTCTCTGCGCAACATGTTCTGCTATTTTGTATAAAAATGAATTGCTCTGAATCTTATTAACTTGTAGCATATTGTTTCCCATTATTCTAGGGAGAGGAGCACTACATGTGTTTGTGATTAAGATATTACTACTAGATTCTATCTCGTTTATTAGCATGCTTATCAAACGGCTAAACGATACGTTTCGTATGAAAACTTTTTATATAAAATTTATTTTAAATATCAACAAATTTATTTTTAAGTTTAAAATAATTAAAACTTAATTAATCGTGCACTAGTAACTTTCTTATGTCGGAAAGTGTAAAACGCACGCATGTGGCTGAGGGCAAGGACTTAAGGACAGTAGCTGGTTGGTGCCAATAGGCGGGTACAGTAGCTCTATGTAGCAAATAAGAAGGTTTATGCATGACTTATGTTTTTAATTTTTTTAAAAAATTTTTAAATAAGACGGACAATTAAAGTTAGGCACAGAAAATTATAACTGCACTTGAAATAAAACGGAGGGATTAGGATTCGTTGCATCCCGTACTAGATTAGCAGGGAGTGATTACTAACCGTAGTGTCTCAGTAAACGTATGAAAGAAAAAACAAAGAGGAAAAGTGTTTTGCGTTGTTAGCAAAAACGTTTGCCGCAGAAGAAAATGAAAATAATAATAATGAAGTAGTACCAGTAATATGTGGTGGCATCTGACATCTGGGCGGGCACTAGCAGACAAGGCGGACGTGTGACCAGCAGAGGAGACTTTTCATCAATATGAGAGGATGACCAGGTGAGGAGCACCTGGGCGATGGATTTTATACTTTTATAAACGCCAAAAAGGAGAAAGGACAAGCAAATCCCCCATTAATAAATTGAATGCTACCGCTCCTACTATCCTAATGGCGAATTAAATGTTGAAAACTACTACCACTACTACTGTTCACGTTTTTCTTAATGCCTTTTTGCCTTTTCGGTTGCAACTATATACCCCTAATCACTACGTATTTTTTTAAAAAAATATAAGAACTTAAATAGGTTTAAACATAAATTAGAATAATGAATTTGATAAAACTTTCACTAGATTTATGGTGGTGTTTGAAACTGATAAAGATCAAGATAAAGTTGACGTACGTAAAACGAGAAAATCATTAGCACATAGTAATTAATTAAGTTTTAGTTATTATAAACTTGATAGATGAATATATTTATTATTTTAAAGCAACTTCTATATATAAAGTATTCGCACGAAACACATCGTTTACTAACGTTCAGTACTTTAAAAAGCATGCTAATGGAAACGTAAATTGTGAGGAATAAAGAATCACGTCACTGCGGATGGAGATGACGACATCATCAGGTAGGTGAAGGCTACTAGTGAAGTACTGATGACCGAAATGAGATGGTCCACGGGCTTGGCCTGGAAAGAATTAAGATTACCACCCCCAACTGGTCCATGGGCAACGCAACTGACGAACTGTACTCAATTGGGCCGAATCCCGCACTATTGTTGGCCCAATAAACCTTGTTGATTTGGGCTACATTATCTCCCTCTCTCCCCCGTTCGCATTAATTTTCAACTACGCTAAAGCACTTAAAAACATGAATGAATATATTGAAGCCTATTTGTACGTATAAACTGAAAATATTTTGGTCATATATTAGTTAAGCTAAACATTCTGAATATTTCAATATGTGTGTATATCTTTTTAAAGAAAGCAATTTCCTCCTACGCATGTATGCGTGGACTTAATTTGTTCTCACACAAGTGTCACAACACAGCTAGCTAGGAGAGAATCGAGATCGAGATTGTATAAGTTGGTTTCAAGGATCATATTACGCAGCAGCAGACAAATTAGACCGTATACAATTAATATACTACAGTTTGACTTATACAGACAGTGTACATGTAAAAAAAAAAAGAGATTTTGACCTACGGGCTACGGCAATTAATTAATTTATACCGATCGATCTACCTGTTCAATAATATATGAGTTGGCAATTGATAGTTTAATGTCCTTGTAAATTCTCATAGATAGTTTAATAAGGCTAGCTAGACACATTTCTGCACTTTTCCTTAATCTGTTTATGTCTAGCTACACCCCATATGGATGCAACTTGTAGTTAATTAGTTAACACATAAATTTCAACAAAAACAGTACTAGCTAGCTTACTTATTCAAAATGATGGATTATTCTTTTTACATGCATGCATGTTTTTTTTCCTTTTTAGTAAAGCATGCACATATATATATACAGCTTGAGCAGAGATCATATATATAGTACTGTAGATAATAATAGCCAGGAACTAGCTAGATCATTGACACACAGTGCTGCATTGACGTGTAACAATCTATAGCGAAATCAACGAGATAAGCATGCATATAGTCATCTTTTGTCAAGCTCTAGCTTTGACGTGTCATGAAATTAACTCCGACATTTAGCTACTACCATGCTTCCGTATGCATAGCACATACAAACAAGATTAGCTCTAATAATCAAGACAAGACAGCCACGTCGTTGCATATATATATTTAGGGGCATATATTTATGCTTTAGTTTGTGTAGTGTCATGGTGGTCAATCGCGTCACCTTTTGTTGGTTCCATCTCTGTATAGTATATTCTGTACACTGCAGTGCCTCGATCCCTTTCATTCAAGACACGATGCAAATTTGCGTTCACTTTAGTTGGGGAAATTTAATCTAACCTAGAAATGGAACCTTGTAGTAAACTTTACACCCGTAGCTAGCAGCTAATTAATCAGATCAGATAAGATAATGGCCAGCTGAAAATTGAACCAACTAATTATTGAGAGTTTAATTTGGGGCTAATTAATTGCATTCAAGTACCGTGTATATACATAGAAGCACACCTTGATTAAGCTAGCATATGCATATATAGATGTACAGTTCCATGCATGTACGTGCATGTGCACCCCAATATATACATGGATATATGATCAGTTAATTTTTGATCTCTACCTGATGACCAGAATTAGCAGGACCAGCTAGACATCACCTACCAATTTTATATACCGACCAACTACATATATATATATATACTCCTTTGCTAAATGACATATATATATAAATTCAGTTGTGTTTATTAGGAGTATAGTCTAGTACTCTAGCTACTAGCTAGTAGTGCTCTTTTTTGCATATATTGCATTGGTCAATTGTATCGATACATAAGTGCTTAATTTATTAGTTATGTATATTAATTTCTGATTAAACATTTCACTAACTTAAATTCCCCTTAATTTGCAGCAGTCACATCGGCATTTCGCAATCAATCTTCGGTCAGAGAATGAGTTAATTTAAGAGTAACAAGGCAAGTACAAGTGGACGTCGCTCATCATCGGATGCAAAGTCAACAGAGACAAACTAATTAAGATTAATCTCTCTTGGCACTAGCTAGCTAGCTCTAATTAAACCGAACAATAGAACATATGCGCAATATATGATCAATATGTACATACATCAGGAGCAACCCCTATTAATTTAAATTTATAATGATTCGAATATGATCGAATTAATGTCTATACATCATCGGACGTATGTACACGTAATCACGTATACAAAATTAACTAACAGACAAATAGCTTTGATGATCATCATTAGTTAATGCAGTTTGCTAATGAAAATTAGAAGTACAAGTAACACCCACTAATATTTCTGATTAATCTTTTCGGACGATGGCAGCGGACATGTCACATATTTAATTATATGCGCATGTAGTAAGTGATATAATTTGACGGAAATATTAGTTTAAATTAAGCAACTAGTATAGTACGTATACTTAGGACCATATGCAAATCTAACGACGCGCGCTATTGATTTAATCTCTCCCCCAGCGATCGATCAAGATGTGATCACTCAATAATTAGGACCACCGAATCAACGTGAACAAGCACATTATATTGTGCTGCCTTTTCGTTGGAAAACAAACGTATACACTAGTAATAGAATACTAGCTAGTAAATATATATAAGACGTCCTTATACTGCAAAATCAACATTTAAACTTTTTTTTACTAATTATTAAGCTAAAAATGTATGTGGTTAACTAGTGCCATGCACATATATAGTATCACTATATTTGCATTTGAGAATATTTTCATATGATGTTAATTTTTTTTGTTATATATAGATAATATATTATGAATTAGAAAAATAATGGTTATGTGAAAACCTATGTGCCTTATATTTTCAAAAAGAGGAAGTAATAGATAATAGATTGACAATATAGTGATATATTTTTTCGAAACGCAAGCATTATTCAGCATATTGTATATCATATCAATTGACAGACGGCCGTTATAGATACAATTTTAGACCACAATTTGAATTGTGATATTCCATGCACACATGAATTGATCCACCTAATTATTATTAGTAGATAACATATGTCAAAGCGGACACCTACACATATACTAATTATATGTGTATATATGCTAATTAATTGGCTGTTGAATACAAATTTAGAAATTATATTAACCTTCAACAAATATCCCAAATTAGTAGATTTAATCCTACATATTTTATTATTGTGAAAGAAATTGCAACATGCTTTAATATAATTAGCTAATAGTTTTCCTAGCTAGCTTGCTAATAGCTAGTGCTTGAAAAGATATATCTATCAACGAACTTTAAGACAAACAAAATGTAAATGCACAATATTACCTCATCTCTTCATGCATTTTTTTTTTGCAAAATGGATAAGAAATCGCAACATTCTTTGAAACATGAGGTTGAGAAAATGAATAGAAAAAAACACATGATTTTTACTTTGACAGGAATGCAAGTGCAAAATAGATGATCACAAGACACAGGAAAATAGAAATAATCGTTTGAATATATAGATCCCAAGAAAAATGCAAGAATCGAAGACAAAAGGAATTTTTTTTTCAATAGGTTGAAGCTCTAATTTTCCTCCAAAATCTACATGTATCGAGACATTCCTTAGCAATGTCACATAATTTTGAAAGCGTACTCCAATCCTTCGTCTTAAAGGGAAAAATTGAAAAGATTCCTATAGGATTTGAATCCTACAAAATTCCTCCACAAATCCTATAAATGGGGCCTAAAATGTGTATTCTTCTTCAAGGAGTTGCACGTGTAGAAAACTGGCCATATCAAGTTTCATTTTGGGACTAAGCAATTTGCACACACAAGTCTGAACTGAAATTCAAATTAACTTCAATTATATAATTTTTAGCTGGGTATTTGATCAATGTAGCTATATATGCATTAATTTGGTTATACAACAGACATTGATCAACATTTATAAGAACCATTGTGTTCGGAAAAATGTTTTCCACATTAATAACATGCATGCTACACTTAATTAATTGAGCTGTTATACATGGCCGGCTATGCATACACAAAAATCTTTCTTTTTTTTTTAGAAAAAAGTACATTTAACATTGAGTTTCATGCATTTGAAATCATAGTAGTATCTACAGGTCCCCCATTTCAGAGCTCTAAATGGCATGAAACTAGCTTATATAATAGTGCATCAATATCTCCCCAATTAGAAAGTAAGTGTATAAGCTTCAGTTCTCATACACAGAAGCTTATTCAGTATTCATGCAATCATGTTTACCCTTTGATTTCATTCAGTATGCAGATGCAGCTAGCTCCTTATATTAATTCCCTAAACGATCCTAGGATTCCAAGCTCATCTTTTTACTGAAAAATTTGATTGAAAGTTGAAATCATGGAGTGCTGCACGTGAAAGTTGATCTGAAGCACTGCACGCCTTCACATTCAGTAGTACTGAAGTTTACTGAAAACTCTTGTTAGTTTGGTAAAAAAACTCAAGTTCTAGCGCTAGAGCTAGTTACATCTGGAAACACAGTAAACATTTGCACGCACGCGTGCATGCTTACATTGAAACATTCAAATTAACAAAGTTGAGATCACGCTTGCTAGATTATCTAATTTTGCATCAGATTTTGAAGATGGGATCGAGAAGGCAGAGAAGAGAGTATTAATAAATTTGCTCAAAGCAGTGCTAGATTTGGGACCAACAGATACTATAGCTTACATACTATATATGCAAATACTGGTAGAACATGCATAGTAGTTAAGATCTATGGGAGAAATGATCGTTTCTCCTGAAACTCATATATTAAGTATGAGAAGCACATGTTGCACAGATCAAATTCCAAGGAAAGAAGCTAGAAAAGGCCACAAGTTGCAACAATGTCAGACAAATTACCTCTAAATTAAACCGAAAAACATCGATTAGAAACACTTGAAACATCGCATGCATCATCATCCGAGCTAGATTTAGCTAGATAGCTAGCTCAATTAAGTACAAATTAATTAAACCACAAGCATCACCTTACCTTAATTATTTCACCACAACAAATTAAGTAGCAGCAGCATAGTAGCAGTAGTAGCTAATTAATCTCACCACTTCATCATATGTACTAACCTAATTAATGGCGCCACTGATCTTGCATCACATCGATCATCATGTCCTCCAATGGAACAGTAACCATGCAGCTAGCTAGAGCTTGCTAGAAGAGAAGGCCATCGCCGCCGCCGCCGCTGCCGGTGGCGGCGAGCTAGCCGCCATGAATCTTCCATGCTATTGCCATCGATCAGTACGGTGGGCGGGGGTGCGCCGCCCATGGGAAACCGTCGCCGCCGCCGCCGAGCCCGTTGCTCGGCGGCAGGTTGAACATTGGCAGCGCCGAAGGGTCGGCGATGCCGTGGCCGCCGGCCATGAGGGGCTCGGCGCCGCCGGGCATGGGCGGGCCTGAGCCCTCCTCTTCTTCCTCCAATGGCAGGCGCTCGTAGGTGGCGTTGGCGAACGTGGACGCGATCACCATGACCGGGCCCGCGGCGATGAGCGACCCCACGACGCTGCCGCCGACAACCTGGCCCTGGCCGCCGGCGAGGTAGACGGTGAGCCCCGTGGAGCCCGGAGGCGCCGGGCCGGGGAGGAAGGTGCCGGTGAGGGAGAGGATCTCGAAGCGGCCGTGCAGGGCGACGACGGCGCCGGGCGCCGACGGCTGGCGCAGCGCGACGTTGGCGACCGTCCCGGCGCCGCTGAGCACGCAGACGCCGCGCTGGCGGCGGCGCGAGAACTGCGCGATGGCGTCGGCGACGTCGGCGCCGCCGGCCACCTCCATGACGTGGCTGCGCAGCGCGTTGGGGCTGTCGCGCGTCACGAAGATGGGCGGCTTCGGCTTGTTCTTGGAGCCCGGCGGGCGGCCGCGGGGGCGCCGGTTGGGCGCCGCCACCACGGCGCCCTCCCGCGGCTCGCCGCCGCCGGATTCGTTGTTCTCGTCGGCGTGGTCCGCCGCCGCGCCCCCCGTCGGGCTCGCCTCCGGCTCCTTGGCCACCGGGAGCTCCGCCTTGGGGCCCGACGAGCCGGACGGCTGCTCCGGCAAGCCCATGGGGCCCGACCACCACGACCTGTTCGCCAGCTTGACCCTGCTCCAGGAGAAGCACAATTAATGCACTGCATGCTTAATCTCTCAACTAATTGCTTCTCTGCTGCTGCAGAGACACATGTCAGCTGCCTGCTAATAATACAACATAATCAATCTACCTCTAATAGTATATTAGTGTATGCAATTGCAGTAGAACACAAGAAATCAACAAGAGATCAACTTAAATCAAGAAAAGGAGATTGCTGCATGCATAAATTTGAGGAGATCTGAATTCACACACATATATCTGCATACCTTGATGTATCTCTCTTCTAACTTGTCTTAGGTAGAGTGATTCAGAGGTAGAAGCTCACTCTGTGTGAAACCCTCTTCCTCTCAAGCTTAGCTAGGCAAGCTAGGTTTGAACCTAGCTGCTTGTATGTGAAGTGGAGGTTTAGTAGGTGTAGCTAGCTTGGACAGCTCAAGAAGAAGAGGAGGAAGAAGAAGAGTAGCTTCTGCTTAATTAGAAACTGAGAAGAGGAGGGCAAGTGGGGTATAAGAAAGGAAGAGAGGGGAGGGAGAAAGGTGGACATGTAAGCATGAAGACTTGATGGAGAGGAGAGAGAGAGAGAGAGAGAGAGAGAGAGAGACTTTGGGTGCCACTATAAACTAAGCAAAAACTTAATTAATTAGGTGGCCTTTCTTCCCAAGGAGCACACCCCTCTTCTTACCCCCATCCTCCCCTGCATGCTCCTCCCCGGGGTTATTTGCGGTTTTATTTTGACTTTGGGTCCCCGTTTGCCATGTGAATTCAAATGTTGGAAATATAGTTTATCATGTACGTTGCAGGTTAGCATATTAACTTGTTTCGGTGAAGGCTTCATTTATTTGTTTATTTTCTATTTAAGATCACAAGCTTAGACTGGTCCCCCTATTGAGCTAGTGGTGCTCTGTTTGGTGTGCTGATGACTGGTGTAAAAAAATAATCGCTCTCTTTAGTCGTGGATGAGAACTGGTACCCGCATTTTGTTAATATTTATCGAACGCGACTAGTAAGAATCTAACATGTCGATCTACAGCAGTGACAACCTCATCTGAAATGACCATTTTACACACGATACCTACTTTTTAAGAAGAGACATATACGGCGTCCTACTGTTCCACTACTTTTAACTTATTGGTGTGATGTTGGTCCTAAATTAGGATGGTGATGAGAGTGGGTGGATGTAGTTTTGTTGTGGATGATAATTAGGATTAGGCCCGATGGAAATGTACTACTGTCTCCAGTGAAAAGATTAGGGTTTTTGTGTGTGTGGGACTGTGTGCAGATGGCAGGTAGCCGGGTGCATGCATGTCCTTTTCTCAAAACTCCGACATCCCAACTAAACAAAACCAGCCCTAGCCTTGAATTTTTATTTCAGCTACTTGCAGCCAATGAGAAAGCACTCCCCCTCTTACTTTTCTGTCCATCAAGAACAGTATTTTTCACATGAACTAGTATATATATGTGTCTCCATCTTAAGTGGAACACAATTATATTTTTAACAAATAAGAAAAAAAAGGACTATCCAGTTCCTTTTACAATGTTGTCAATATATATGAAGGAATGTTTGTTTCTGAAAAAAAAAGGAACAGATTATTACTCAGTACTGTAATGTGCAGTACAAATATAATTGTATTATGCTATATGATGTAATATGCATGCAGCCTTGAAAATCTTAGTAGATATATATCGTACTTATTGGCATGAAGCAGGTTGATCAATTTTAAGTACACTCATGTTTCTGTCCGTAGTCCGTACCAAGATCATTATTAATTGTTTCGTTTTGCTTGCAAATTGCAATTGGTTGTCAGCTAACCACTAACAAAGAACACATGCATGTGTTGTATCTTTCTTATCCAACTCTGCTTGTGATCTGTTAAATTATTAGGTAAAACCCGTACGGTTTTGACCTATATATTGCAAAGTTATATGTTGTTATGTCTTATTTTTTTGTGAGGAACAAAGTTAATGTATCTGGTTTGCTGGTTCTTATAAATATATGAAAGCAATGCAATGGGCGTCAGTTCATGAGATACTTCAGAGAGAAAAATAATGTTGGCTCTCCAGTCAATCAGCTAGTTGCTGCTTCTTTTCCCCTTGCTTTGGTAAAGCAGTGTAAAAAAATGAACAAAAATATGAATAATCTCCTAGTCTGTTGGAAGCTTGAACCTTACTAGGTGCCATTGATTATATATATCTAATTTGTAAGCTAGCAGACATTTTCTTTTGAAGAACAGAAGTTGATTAATTCAATTGCAAATTAAGGAGGCAGAATAATTAAATTTTCAGGATGACGGCTGTTGTAACTGAAAATTCTCCCCATGTGTGTATGAATGTTCACCCTTCAACTACTTTTTGTTTAATTTCTATCCGAATAGCTTCTGAAACGCCAATAAAAATTTAAGCTTTTTCTTAATTCTCTCCAGATTGACTTTGGATCATTTCAATGATGCACACACACGAGGGGCAGCCACTGATTAATGAGCCAACAAATTAAAGAGTGTACTAGCATCAGAGTTCAGAAAAGGATGGCCGACTTAGATTATGTCAAGAGAATATGAAATTTTGAAGCTACAAGCAGTTGCTTCTTTAATAATGAAGGTATTGTCGTTGTATAAAAAACATGTATGCTTTTTATGTTAGATCTCTCTTATATGAGACCGAATAGATGATGTCTTACGACCTTGATTATGTGCTCTCGTATTAAGAAAACTTTTCTGACAGAAGATTCCCACTAATAGTATCTTTCATTAGATTAATTGTGATGATCAGGAACCCCCACATTAATTTGGTAACCTTAACTAGGCAGACATGCAGATATTGTTGATTTCCATCATACACACATTTGCAATTCATGGTTTATAAGTCATTTAATTTAGCAATACTTTCACAACAAGAACTATATATTTAGATTATAAATTCTATAAGCAAAACTTCAACCAAGGTCTCTCAGTATATATATCATTGCAAAAATATAATCACAATTGAAACTGGATGGCAGTTACATTGTATTGATCAAATACAATCAATATGAGTTGTGTAAGAATCTACAGGACCATTCCCAAGCGAGACTGAAATTTTGAGACAATAAATAAAACCTTATGTATGATGTATAGATGTATACCTAACTGATCTTGTGGTCCATTGCATCACAACAATATATATGTGTATGGCTTTGCAAAGTACATCAAAGGCACCCAAATAAAAGATCCTGTCATGCTCATGCCTCCACTCCAGTCTAAAAAAGAAAGGGACAAAACAAAAGTTAAGTGCAACCAATTAAAGTATATGAACCCCTAAGCTTTTTTTTAACAAAGCATTTGCCCACTAATTAAACTAGTGGCACATCTCCCAGAGATGGATAACCTAAGCTTTGTCAAACATTGATGGGGTGGTGTGCATGACATCTCTAACACACCCCAAACAAAGCAGCAGATTGATTAATTAGTTGCGTACTAATTAAACTGCACAAGAGTACAGCTGTTGTACAGGTAGGTGTTTGATCACAAGAACAGAGCCAAGTTCCTTTTTTTTAAATCTGCTCATAGATGAATTAAAGGAATCTCGCATAGATTCTCTGTTAGTAGCAAAAGCATTAATTGGAATATTATCATGGCCTCCCATTCCCAGATCATCTGGTGACGGGAAATAATTAAGTCACTCCCAAATCAGGTAGTAGGAAATATATGTCTTCTTAGAATCAAACTGAATGAATCACATTAATGTATAAAAAGTTAAGTATCTACGTATATAGGCACCTATTACAACCCTCATTATTTTGAGTATCTAGGAGCAAGGTCGACATAAAAATCTATAACAAAACCCGGAATAGAAGAAATATACTCACTCTATTCCAAAGTATAATGCACAACTATTTTTAGATGTTTCATAATACAAAACGTACATATATGCATGTAATTAACTAAAATCTTCTGAGCAAAGGCTGAGATGTTTCATTCCATTATTAAAAAAATAACTAAAATCTCATCTGTACTAAATTAATTTTTAAAATCACTTACTCTTAAAATCTTTAATTTTATTGGGAGCATGTATTTATTACGATGATTTATTGTTGATGATAACAATTATTTTTTTGTTTTTGGATTTAGGGTGATTATGTTTTATATTTTGAAGTAGAGAGAGAGGTCTCTACACAACAATCATCAGACTTCGATTATCAGTTAACGACATGGGCAAATTAAGTTGCATGATTAGAAAAACCGTCTTGATTGGTTAGTATAGCTATTCGAGCAAGACGGTATAGAAATACGAGCCATGAGTAGGAGTATTGTATTGGGGTACATGCATGCATGTGATTAAGATCGGTTGACGTAATTATCTATGATAATTACAGGTGTTTGGTGCTAGCTCCCGCACGATTAAGGCATCTTCACTCAATAATTGCTCCATTGATAATTGCGTTAGTTGTGATCAGTGTGATTAACCAGTCGCTGACTAGCAGTCGTTAACTTTATAATATACAACACAAATGGCTTACGCTGCAGCCACATTATTCCTTCGATTTGGATTTGTTCCATGACAGGTGTCGACTCCAGAACTGCCCAAACAAGCTCTGCTAAACAAGCCTACAAGGTAGTAGCAGCAAATTAACCACATACTAATAGCGTCTTATATATGGCAATTAAGACTCCAAAGTACAATCTCTTGTGAAGTTATAATATAATACAGATAGCATGACCGCATACAGAAACAGATGTTACAGAACACAGCAGGAAACATTTTCTGTAAAGGTAATTACAGCACCAGAGCAAACGACGAACATGTTGTAATCCTCACACAGTGCAGAGTTAGAAACATTCTGGTCAACATATTTTGCTTTATGACAGCGAGATATTGGAGGTATATACGACACCACGGTAAATTGACACAGACATTTTCAGCGTGTTCTTGAGTACCCAACCCAGTTCACATCGCTTCACAACAGTAGGCAAGTGATGCATGGTCCTCTTCTACCTGGTCAAGTAGTATACCAGCAGAAAAAGCGCAACGAATGATGCTACGAGGGTTCCCATCCTCCGACTTGATTTGGTCTCAAAAACCTATATCGTAGACATCAATTGCGGTCTCAGCAGAATATACGGATGGTATGATGGAAGGAAGATTGTACTGTGTGAGTGTTTACCATCTTGAACTTGTCCACTGTTCCAGACAGAAAACCCCTTGACGAATCCATATCATTGCCCTGGATCAGGCAAGATGTCAACATAATAGAACTCTAGAAGGATATTTTTCAAGGAAGCAAAAGTTAAAAGGATAAATATAAAATACCATTCGGTCTAGCATACGGTTATGAGTTTCCACCTCTTCATGGATATCACCAGACAACTGCAAGTACGTAAAATAACCTCAGTAACCATCCATATATGATTGTCTGTAGATCTCTCCAAAGAAATGACAGGGTAGAAGATTCGCATAGCTATAAAAACTAGACACAACCAAACACTGGAACGGGACCAGCAGTCCAGCAGTCTGTTGATCCATAAGCAGGAGCAAAACACCATAAACTACTGAAGATATTATTACTCATTTCATTCGTTAATTCAAGGCTCAGACCTTTGAAATGTCTTGGTAAGACTACAAAGAAAATTGATTAGGTGTGAAGAGGCCCACAGTTACATAAGAATTACATCGTGTCCTCTATCCAAAGATTTATTAAAATCTTCTGTTTTGCTGGCTACTTGCAGTTGAAACAAAATCTTCTATAGTCCATTCATTAGCTAATTTCTAGCACTAAAACCTTTAGAGGTAAATCAGTCGCATGTTAGAAACATGGATCAGATGAATACCAAAAAGATTAATAAAATCATTGGCATTGGAGCTGCTTCCAAAAGTTATCACAAGGCCCATTAGATTACTCAGATTCCTTCTTGGCCATATTTAAGCATAAATCTCATGATCAAAAGCTGCGCTGTAGCACTTTCCAACACTTCAAATGAAAATGGTCCAAGAAGCACATGGTTCACAGTTATCTAATAGGTGGCCACGAATGAAGTCACAATCAACAAAATCTTTCGTTTTCGCTATTACAAATGTAGTAGTTGCTTTAATGATCCATCTGTGCAGCACGGCTTAATACAAATATACTAATACGAGTGATTATGTCAAAAAATCAAAACAGTAATTCTTCACAAGTTTACTGGCAAAACTTAGGGCAAATCAGACGTCCAATAATAACGCAGCAACTTACCCGCTTGAGAATGCTGACTCGATCCTGCAATCCATCAATAGCTTGATCATTCTCATTCTCATCTATCTCATGTGAAGAATAGGATGTTGCACGGATTCTGCCCTCCTCAATGCCATCAAAAAGAGAAGTTCTGGTGCTGCGGTAGTTGCTAAAATTTCCATGAAATAATCAGCGTGCGCAAAGCATATGATGGAAATAAAATGCAAAGACACATGCAAACTAAGCAAACCATATAAATAAATATTCAATCTGTTACATAGAAACATTTACCGTGGTAGTCTACATGGATATACACTGAGCAATCATAATTCATGAATGCATTTATATATGTCAAGTATGAAGGGACGACATTACTAAAATCTCCCAAGTTCACAAAAACAATAGCTTTTGACACATGTATCAAAGAATTAAAAACAGAAAGAGAATATGCATTCAACAAATTAACTGAAGAAAAACTATGAGCCAAAACAATCTCAAGCCATAAATAAACAGGTACATACTACTGATTTCTATAGATACCTTCCACAATACTAACAAGTTCTATTCATCTTAATAATGTTCAACTCGAATTTATAGTTATGAATATCATGAAAAGGTTAATACTTGTTATCAAATATATTTGACTGACAAAGCTAATACTGTGTACTTTTGACTTGGATAAACAGCATGTGTGAGTTAGTAAGTTCTTAGTGTTAGCAGGTAGATGATCACAGGCCATTCCTAAACTGGAAACTGTGCATAGTGAGTAACAAGCTTTTAGAGCAGACAAAGGCTTGCAGCTGGACATAAACTCCATCTGCAACCAAATGTCAAAATGTCAATATCAAGTAGTAGAAGTTTAGAACAAGCTATCCCACTGTACAGATCCTTGTTAGGGCCTTCCCTTTTCTTTGATTCCTTATACACTTCCACTGTTTACAAAACTAAGATAGAGAGCTTGGGACAGAGCAGGAGTGATAAAAATAGAAATGTGATCCAATGATCATGAGTTGGTCAATCTACCAGGTGTTTTGTTCTCCTTCTATTCATTTACACAAAAAGTTATTATTTGAGTTTTCTTCTTTGTTTTATTAAACTGACACAATGCAGGAAGTCGACTTCTTAGGCCACAAGATTCTCGCTACTATAAGTATCAACTGGCAGCAGGATGAAATGGCATATAACTAGTTGCTTTTAAGAGTAAAAAGTCACAGACCTAAAGCTCATTTAATGGTAGTATACACATAATCACATATGAGCAAAGTAAATATACAGCAGCATAGCACATGCCTTCCGAAATCAAACTTTTGGATAGTGACTAATGGCAATTGAAAAGCATGAGGCATTCTTTCAGGTTGAACCAAATTGCCTTGCACAACATTTCATCAATCTTTGGTGGAAGCACATCAATGTTCAAACATGTTATAAAGGATGCAAAGCTAGAGCTGGCCAGCAAAAATAAGTAATTGTTTCCGGTGATTCATATCAATAAGTTGCTAACTACGGAATCATGGGAGCTTTCCCCTGGCAAATGTCTTACATCAAAGGATGCAATCTCACAACTAACAGATAAAATCCCACGAAGGAGTATTGACCTTCCTAGCATACATCAGAATTGCTGTAATCACACGATAATTTCACATTATAGTTTTTTTTCCTGAGAGAATTTCAGCACACAGTTATAGTAGATATAGAACCCTAATGCAAATATACAAATAGCTCAACCAGCTAGTCAGTCAGTCCTACCAAATCATCCGTGCTCATCAACCCTAACCCGGTAACTCCATTCACCCATAGCATCAAAATCGAAAACACATCGAAAAGTTAGTGTGCAGTACTTGCCTTCTCGAGTTCATGGCTTCCTTCTTCGGCCGCCGACTCAAATCAACTTCCCTGCAAGAGAGACAACGCCGCGCTGATCAGAACAAAGACGCCACCCAGCCATAAAAAAACAAAACAAAAAAAAATAATGGACTAAAAATGGAGGGGAAGAAAACGACAAATCGAGAGATGATCTGGAGTCGAGTCCTTACCCTTTACCTCTCGATCGATTCGCGCTGGATCCGCGGCGCCTCTAGAAAACGTTAGGGCGCGGGGCTCCCCGACGAACCAGGCGGCGGCGATTGGCGGATGCCGGAGGAGGAGGAGGAGGCGGCGCTGCGTAGGCTGGTGGCAGCACCGGAGCTCCGGGAGGCGACGCGGCGACGGCGCCGGAGGAGGAGGAGATCGGCGGCGGTGGAGAGGAGAGGAGAGGAGAGCGATTTGGGGAAGCGATCGAATGATCGAGAAGTGCACGCAGTGTGGGGCGTTGGAGGTTTTGCTGCATGGCAGGCGCGTAATTTCAGTCCAACTCCAAGAGTATTTTCATAAATAGTTCTCCCCTATGGGCTATGGGCCATCTCAATTTGGATAGCAGACCAACTAGGCCCATTAGTTTGAGGCCCATTAATTTAGGACATCTCGAGCAGACAGAAGCAGGAGGAGACCAAGACACCGGCCATGGCTTCCGACGACCTCTTCGAGGGCCTACCACCTCCCGCCGCCGCCGCCGCGCCGGCCGCCGGAGGAGAGCGCGCGCCTTCACCATCGCCGCCTCCGCCTCCGAGACTGCCCGCGCTGAAGAGCGCTCTCAAGCGGGACAAGCTCTCTTCCTCAGATGCTGCCGCTTCCTCACCCGCTGCCGCCGCCGCCACGGATGCCGCAGCCGAAGGACGTGGTGAGCTCTCCTCTCGCGCTCTTGTACTCCGTGCGAAATTAGATAGATGCTTACTGCTACTGCCGCTGCGTCCCCTGCTCTGCGTGGTCGGCTTTGGGAATTCGGATGCACTCCTGTTCGTACGAGTACGACTAGCTTGTGTTCTTTGTTGTACATTTTGTCAACGATTAGTTGCTGATTTTTCATCGCCTAGGAGCTGAGAAATTGAAAGGTTTTTCATCTGGCTAGAAATTCATGGCTTAATTTATGAATTTTGTGTGGTGATATCCTGATGCGAACTTTGTTCATAGGAATATTTTCTAGATCGGTATTAGGGTTTCCCAGTTCTCATTTGCCACATCTCACAAGGAGATTAACCATAGCATACAGATGCAGGGATGTTCCAATTGTTAATGTTTGGTCTGTGTGGCTTGAGATCAATGACTGCATCAGCCAGAATATGTTAGCTGTGCAAATTACTTGTGTCTTTTGCAGAACTAAGGTATAAATAGTTGAAGCTCTTAGCCCTGAGACTCCCTGTCAAATCAAGTGTTAATGTTTCCTTTTAGGATAACAACCTCTTCTCTTACATATGTTTGGCTTAACATTGTTCACCAATATGAACTCAAAATAAGCTCCGAGTATGTAAGGTGTGACATAACTTAAAACAGAAGATGTTAAATTAGTTCAGTTATGAAGATTATACACATTTGATCTGGTTCAGATAAGCTTTGCTTGCCCTTTTTTAAAAAAATCTTAGTGCCAGGGTTTACTGCTGCCTTGGTCCCTTGGAGTAACTCAATTGGGAATATAGTGAGTATTGTTGATATTATCACCACCAGGTAATTCACTGGGATTTTTTGTGCTTTGTTTGCGAGATTGTGTCTTGCAAAGATTAATGTTTCGCTATGTTATGTGTTGATTGGAAGTTGGAACGTTAACAGAATCTGGTGACATCTCTTATAAGTTTGGCTTATATGACAACTCTTCCATCTGCAAAATGCCATCATGTTTTACTACTAACTCTAGTTTCGTTAGTTTCGTTAGTGTGCTAGCACTGAATATCTAGTCCTGCTGACAAGATTTATGGGTGATTGAAAGTTGTAATGACTCCTTATATCTGAAGGTTTTTTATCATCCAATTATTTTCCACATGATTTTTTTTAATTGCGAGCGACTTTTACAGTCTCGCTATATTCCTATAACAACAGCAGAGATATTTTACTTGCTTCATGCTCATGTTCTAAACTTCTAATATTCATTATTTTTTTCTTGTAGCTCCTGAGAAGCGACTTAGGTTTAGAACTACTGTTGATGCCTCAGAAACGCAAGTCATTGATGCTATGCACAAGATAACTTCACACATACGGAATCCTTCAAAATTCAGCAAGGCATCAAAACTAGCTCTACAGCTTATTGAGGCTGGGAGTGTCAAGCCAGGGACAATCAGTCACTTCTTTGCTATATTAGAGGCTGCAATGTCTTCACCAGGAGCTTGTAATGAGCCTTCTGTACGTGCTGATTACCAGGCTTTGTTTAATGCAGCCCAGGGTGTAACAGAGGTGAAGATTTTTATTAAGTCTTAGTGTTCTCTGTTTTATGCAGTTCCATTATACCATTGTATCTTGTACTTATAACTTGTGGTGGATTTGCAGTGTTTCAACCAACAACAGAAAAATCAGTTTGATATATGGGTGCTGCATGCAGTGGTGGCAAATGATCTTTTTACGGATGACAGTTTTGTGGTGAGTGTATTGTGGTGGTGCCTGCGCTGCTTATTTTCTCTATCAAATGTGAAAAATGCATTATTATTGTTTCTGGGCTCATGTCTATGACACAGCTTGTGATTTGAGTGCTTGACTAACGTACTTGATACTGTTTTGTAGTTCTCAAAGGCTGTAGGGAAGATCAAAGATGCCATCTCAGCCCTGCCAATCACAACAGTGGATGATGACAATGATGAAGCAGCAGCTCTAGCAGCTGTTGAAAGTAATAACACAGATGATAACCCGCAAGCTGCGGCATCCAACTCGTTGCCAGATGATAGCACTCATGCTGCAGCCTCCAACTCAAGTGAGGAATCCTCTGATCCTTTTGGTTTGGATGGTCTACTTGAGCACAAGTCAAAGAAGTCTGAAAAGGCTCGAGAGAAGACGGTCGCCGCTCTAAATAGGAAAGCAGATGAGGATGAATCAAAGAGATTTCTGAAGTCACAACGAGAAGCCCTCCTGAAATGTCTAGAAATAGCTGCTCGGCGCTATAGGATTCCGTGGTGAGTTCTCTTGAGATAGAACATCATGTGGTTATGCTGTTAGCGGCACATACACTACAATTTCCTATTCTAAATTCTCCTTTTTTTTATGTTATCAACACATATTCAACAATTTTGTGTTCTAATTCTCCTTTTTTATGTTATCAGGACACAGACCGCCATTGACATCTTTGCGAAGCACGCCTACGACAACATGAACCGGTTCACGACGCAGCAGAGGGACGCCATCACGAAGCTGTGGAACTCGATCAAGGAGCAGCAGATCAGGCGGAAGCAGGGCAAGTCGGTGAGCGGGAAGCTTGATGTCAACGCGTTCGAGTACCTCCAGGAGAAGTACTCCCATGAGAAGATCAGCATCCGCCATGCTGTAGGCGGTGGCGGTGAACGGCGCGCCACTCAGTGGCTCGGCTAAAACTACGAGGTAAGGTTGCTGTCTGCTGATGTACACTGGTGTGAGGTCGCTCAGCGGAAGAAACTGCAAGAAACTCGATGATTATTCCACAACGACGGCATTCATTTTGAGATGTTGTGTACATCAGCATGGGTTGTGAGTATGTGACATATACGGATGATGCAATTGCTTGGAATTTTGATGGCAAGAATGCGATTTATACTTTGATGATATAGCTGGGCAGCTGGCTGGCTATGTACATGGGTACGTTGTCATTGATGGATCTCCATTCTTGTGATCTCACCTATCTTGTAAACTTGTAGTAGCTGAATGAGAGGAGAAGAAAGAAAAAAAAAAACTCCCATTGGGATGGATGATGAATGAGTCTCCATAAGTCCCGTTGCTCGTGCAACCGTTTGCACGTGTGGCGTGCCAATCTCTTTTCGTCGTCGTCTCGTAATCTGCACGAGCACACGATACATTCTACGTAAGTTGCGTATAGTTTTGGTTAATACGGTCAAACAGCCAGTGACCAAGCAGGCATTATACTTTCTCTGCATGCATGTGTACTCTGATACTACCTTTTTCATGGACAAGAACCAAGATCATATACTCGAAGTCTGCATCATTCAGATAGTCAATCGACAGTTGCATATCATAAATACTACTCTGTAGCCTCAGAAATTAAGGAGAAGTAAGCTAGAATGCGGTTAAGGAGATAGGGGACAATAACTGCTTGGAAGAAGAAAGAAAGAAAAGAAGATCGAAATAAAGCAGCAACAACATGACAGGATGATCAGAAAACGAGACGCGGAGAAGAGAAGCAAAAGCATAGCAAGCAAAGGGAAGAATCCAAAGGAGAATTAAGAAGATTAGGTTGGATTAGTACATATAATAACAATAATCCTATAGTAGGAGAGAAGGCCGGATAAATCCAATGGCAGGTGGTCGAGAGAAGAAGAAGACGACGACGAGGAGGAGCAGCGAGAGAGGCGATGGAGACGGACCGTGCAAGGTGCGGCTGTTCGGCGCGAAATGGTTTCTTTATGCAGCCCGCCTACGTACGTGCACACTCAACTCACTTCAATTGATAGTATAATTTTAATTTAGCTGCATTGATTGATTGGTTCATGCCTCACTCTTGACTGGATCTCCTCTACTGAAAATGTAGTTTCTCTGCAAACAAAATGTACGGATTGAGATCAAATGCAGTCACTGCTAGAACTGCAAGTCAGTGACGGCACATTATCTCATCCATTCATTTTTTAGATCAAGGGTGTAGATCAACTGCTATAGTACCATCGCTACAGTAGCTGTGAAATATTTTTTACGCGTGAACAGTGCTCTAAGGATCTCAGCCCTTAGATGCAACTTGGATGGTCCTAGTGTGACTAATTAAGTTGCAGTCACACTAGGGACTGCACCTGAACCAAATCCAAAATGTATTGCTCCCTCTCAGGCTCCCTGTGGGTTTCGGTATATAACATTTAACCGTCCATCTTATTTAAAAAAATTAAAAATATAAATTACGCATAAAGTACTATTCATTTTTTATCTAATAACAATAAAATACTATTCATAAAATAAATTAAATAAAACGAATAGTCAAACGTATAACATAGAAACCCACAACTAAACTACGGGCCTGTTCACTTTGATGCCATTTTCAATCTTATCAAATTTAGGTAAAGTCGCAAAAAAAGTGGCTACATTTAGTTTGCTGTCAAATTTTGGTAACTATATAAGAAATCCTGCTATGCCAAAATTTTGGTAATGCAAAAATTTGATAAGGTTTTTTTTTGACATCAAAGTGAACAGGCTCTACAATTATAACAGAACAAAGGGAGTAAGTTTTTTATTTCCTTCTCATTCTTGTACTGGACAAATCCAACAGTACTACTGAAAAATTATCAAGGTTCAGTATAAGTATTCCACGGCAATTAATCTAGCTAGCTAGTATCCTTTCTGAGGGCATATATAGGATATGTTCATTCTAGTGATTATCTTTCACCTGCAAATTAAACTTCAATGTTCATGAAGATGTTGGTGGTAAGCAAAGTGTAGAAATTAAACTGGACCGTTTCTGCATATTTTCAATGAAGATCAGATTATATTACTAGTACATACGTACCAATATTATTTATATATATAGTCATTATCTGCTCCATGACAACTGATCAATTAAGGAAGACTATACAAATCACATGGCCATGTTGTACACTAATATTTCTTTCTTTTTTCTGAAGGTGATATATATACAGTAGTAGAATTGATTAGTTTAAGCTGCAGGTTAATTAGCAAGTGAGTCGTAGTAAGGCAGAGGACGTTGGCCTTCTTATTCAACGCAGCATTAACACGTTTGCTCCCCTCGAACCAGACACCCTACCCTACCTGTCCTCCTCTCTTCTTCCTCCTCTCCTCTCCTTCCTCCTCTTATAAATCCACCTCCTCCATCTCAAGTTGCACCGCTACTAGCAGCTAACCTACCTACACTACACTACACCACACACTACACTTGGAGAGAAGCACACGTAGCTAGAGTGATCGATTCATTTTCTTGCTCGATCTTGATCGGTATGGCTGGTGCTACGGCTGCCGGCGCTGCCGCTGCCGCGGCGGGGACGGGAGCCGGGTCGCCGTGCGGCGCGTGCAAGTTCTTGCGGCGGCGGTGCGTGCCGGAGTGCGTGTTCGCGCCCTACTTCAGCTCGGAGCAAGGGGCGGCGAGGTTCGCGGCGATCCACAAGGTGTTCGGCGCCAGCAACGCCTCCAAGCTCCTCTCCCACCTCCCCGTCGCCGACCGCTGCGAGGCCGTCGTCACCATCACCTACGAGGCCCAGGCCAGGCTCCGCGACCCCGTCTATGGCTGCGTCGCCCAAATCTTCGCCCTCCAGCAGCAGGTACTATTTCATTTCATGGATGAGAATGAGATGATCTCGTCGCTGCTCGATCGATCGATCGATCGCCTCTCGGATTTGTGACTGATTCGATCGATGCTACATACAGGTCGCGATCCTGCAAGCGCAGCTGATGCAGGCGAGGGCGCAGCTGGCGTGCGGCATCCAGAGCAGCTCGCACTCTCCGGTGAGCTGGCCGGACAGCGGCAGCATCAGCGCGCTACTCCGGCAGGACATGGCGAGAAGGCCGCCCGGCGGCGCCCTCGACGACTGCTTCGGCGGCGGCGGCGCGCTGCTGCCGGAGCTCATGGCGGCCGGCTTCAAGGACGACGTCGCCGCCGTGCAGATGCAGCAGCATTGCTCCAAGGCGGTGGACGCCGGCGAGCTCCAGTATCTGGCCCAGGCGATGATGAGATCAACCTCCAACTACTCTCAGTAGAAAGAAAAATCAAACAATGCAACGCTTTGCATGCAGGAGTTAGAGAGTGGACAAGCAAAAATTTAGCCTGTGTACTACTGAACTTTTTTATCAGTGCAACGTCATAGTGAAGCAATTAGTCTGCTTCATGATGATGATTAGTACGTAGTACTACTAAATAACACTAATAGCTTCTTGCAACAAGGTCTTGGTAATGACATCACACATCACTGGACCCTGGCCATGCATGCATGTCCAAGTATAATCTTGCTGACCTAGTTGGTGCAATCTTCTTATTTCCAAAATTTGTTTGAGTGTTTAGCTAGGTTAAATCGAGACAGATGAAACAAGGTTCTGAATTCAGTATCTATGTGTGTCATTTCATATGTGTCTCAGGCGATGAACTAGTGTAAAACTGCATTAAAAATTTTCTGATCTATCCCTAGTTTTTATAATAATTTCCAGTTCAACTTGTTTCATATAAGATTTAGAGACATTCTCCTGATTTCAGTATAAAAGGCGATCATGTGTCTTGCTGCAGAAACATATATGTGCAGCCAGCATCAGCAAGTGTCTTTTTTTAAGAGACATTATTGTTACTACTGCATGAGCCAGAAACTTCTCAAGTCCTATATTGTTCTTGTTATGGAAGCAGATTCTCACTACTTCATGTCCTGTCCAACATGTTCTTGATAAGATTTAAAATGTTTCTCAGCCATGGTTGATGTGCAAAAAGGTGTTCATGTCCCTTGTTGCAGAAACACTCCCATCAACAATCGCCTTCTTTTAAGGAGAAATATTACTATTGTAACGGTCGAAGTAAACTGAAAATAATTATAAATTTTGTTTTTTTTTTATGAGAAACTATGCTACTAGAAGTTAGTAATATAACTTGAGAGTGCCGAAAGTTGAAGAAACATTTATCACATAACTTTGAGTTGCCACCAAGTTTTTCTTCTCTAGAGACCCTAAAATCATTTTGTATATATATATATATATGTCCTAGACTGCTGCTGATAATCCTAGTTTTTTTTCATGCCATGCATAAGGATTGTCCCCTTGATTAAGGGCAAGTATGAACTCATCAGCCGCAGCTACCACCGTTTACTTTCCGTTCCAATTTTAATTACTGGAGTATGTTCTACTTAAATGTTGACCTTAGCACGCATGCACATGAACAGATACACGGTGAAAGGTCCTGATCCCAATGGTTGATTAATTACTTTGCAAAATTGAGTGTGCTTTGATGGTTGACCAAAGTTAACTACTGCATGCAACTAGTTAATCCTGCTATAATACATCCATGTTGCTATGCTAGATAGGTTAAATCAAATAGAACTTAGCACTAATCACACTGCCATTTTGAAAGAACTGAAGAAATGTTAATTCCAGTATAGTACCAGTAATCCTGTGGGATGGCAATCCCATTGCAATAATTGAGACAGAAATACACTAGTATATTAATAGTACATGTTTGTTTAATTTAGTGATCAGATAAGAACAGTACTACTAGTAGGTTTGTAGAAGTACTAGCATCTTGGGACTCTGCAATTTAATTCAGACATGTTCACTGAATCCATTACAAAAGGCTAAAAAGTTAAGGTCAGAAGATACTAGAAGCTAATAGCAATATCTAGCCAATGAGCAGCTAACCTGTCAGGTCATCAAACACTTAAAATTATCTAAGAAAAGGTCATCAAATACTGCTGCAAGCAAACAAAACCCTGCACATATAGAAGCTCATTGTTTAGTTAATTTAGGGCGCTGCTACAACCTGAAGAAGAATGCATCTGACTGAACACAAATGCAAGCAAACGCAGTTGAATTAATAATTGGTATAGGCCAGTGACTTTTGTGATCACTCGTCTTTATCGATTGGAGCAAAGCCGTAGATTTAACGCGTGATTAATGTGGGTAATGTATAAGATGATCTACACACACATGGTTAGGTAGCCTAGGATACTAAGTACTGGTCAGTAATCAGCGATTAGATGGCCCTAGCACTAGCTCAAGTTTTGTTCTTATCAGTGCCTTGGAATCACTAGCTTCACCTCACAAGTTCAGTTCTTGTTTCTTTGTGTTCTTTGCAAACCAGAGAAAACAAAATGTTTGCCATATTTAATTGCCTGGTTTATTGGTCAATGGCCCGAGAAACAGACATTTAAATATGCAAGGGTTGTCTGTTAAAGTTGAAGGAAATTTCATTATTTTTCTTTGCCTTGGTCCTTTGTGTTTTTTGTAGTCTTTCCATCACATATATATATGTACTCCATAAGCATTGTTGTGTTTGTTTGATTGAACTGGTCAAGAAGCTGGTCATTGGTCAAACAAAGTTGTGCATAAAACTAAAGCATGCCAATTATGGCACTTGAGAGTAATTAGATTAGACCCCACTAATCAAGCAGCTGCTTTAGCACTAATCCCTAACCATAAAGAAACCAAAATGAAAAGGGAAAACTAGTGCTTGCATTGTGTGTTGAGTTGCTTTGTTGCAGACTTGCAGTCTTGGATGAAAAGAGGATTAGGATGGTCTTTGGCATGAAGATGTAGCAATTGGAGGAGTCAAAATATGCTAAACTTTGGCCCTATCCATCATCTCCCAAGCCAATGTCTGTTGTGCTTGGACACACAAAAAAAAAGTTGTAAAAGAGAGGAATGAAATGGAATCTGATCAAGCAGATGCCTTGGAAATTGTGCTTGTGGCGCCTCTCCATCATTTCAGTTCAATCTTTTTTAAAAATTAATTTAACTCCACTTGAAGAGCTTGCTATGTTGTTAATTGGAATAATAGTTTTATTGACTGCAAATAATATTGGAGTACGGAGTACTTTACTGAAGTGTTGTATAAAACGTTTAAGCCCTAAAAAAGAGAATGCCTTGCCGTGGTGTAAGCAAAAATGTAATAGGCTTTGGTCCAAGAAGTGAAAGACCATTAAGGCCCAAATGTAATCGGATTAGGCCTAAAACGTGCAAGCCCACTTTAAGGCGGAAAAATAAGTTCTTATGTCAGCTTAAATCATCTTTATTGCTGCATCTGTTATCAAGGAAAGCAGAAGGTAAAAATTGCGTTTTGATGTTATAAGCTTATTATTATACCTGTTGTTGCTGTTTGGCTAGTTGTCTGATCATACTGTTTATGAACATGGTTATTGCCTGAATTTCCATTAGGCAGTTGACTAAACATTGCATTTTTTCACTCCGAGGAACTGATGGCCATTGACTGAATCAGTTGGTTGCTATCATATACGCCCATCTGGTAGTATTTTCTTACAGGTTTTCAGTGTGCAGTCAAGGTTAAGAGCTAGTATTTCCATCCGTCTTACTTCTTCAATATTATGTGATCAGCAGACAAGTTTGAGATACTTGTTTTTCTTGAAACTTTTGTGCGCGGTCCAGATTAGAGAATCAAAGAGGTGACTTCCAATGCCAAAGATATCATCCCTTGATAATACTTGGTAGGCAGATGCGCCGACACTAATTTGCCAACTTTTTTTTAATCGCATACCTAACTCTTCCTAATTTTCCTGCTTTTGTGTGGATCCCAGTCCGGATAATCAGTTATACTACCGATGTGATTAAGTGGAACCTTGAAAAAAAAAAGACTTGCAAGTTACAACTGCAAAGTCAGAGTATAAAGATTAACATTTTGTCATTGATTTCATCTGATGAGCTCATTTCCAGTGTACACAGGCTCCAGATTGCCATCACTTTTTCTTCACTGGATCAAATAATGCTTTTTACTGATAAATAATGCTTCTTTAACTGTTTCTGCAGTATTCACTGACAATGTTTTCTTGTGCTATTGGATAGTAGTAGGAACCTCCTCCAACTTCGATCAGAAAGCAGTAGGAAAGGAAAAGGATCTAACATGATGGCAATAAAGAATAGAGAGTGACAAAGAGAGCATTTTTCTGCCACACTTGCAACCACCAGTGCCATGCGTTTGGTGGATCTGAAAAAAAAAATCCTGATTCCTCCCCAAATCTCACGAATTCTCATCTTCGCCCACCTCTCCTCTTGATCTCTTCTACCAAGAATTCTCTGCAGGGGAAGAAGAAGCAGCGGCAAATTGTCATGGCGACCAAGGTTGTCGACAAGCTGACGGTGGCGGCCTCCCCTCCGGCGGACGGCGGCGTGCTCCCGCTGACCTTCTTCGACGTGCCGTGGATCTTCACCGGCCCGGTGGAGCGCGTCTTCCTCTACACCTACCCGCACGCCGTCGAACACCTCGCCGCCCACCTCCTCCCCTCCCTCGCCTCCTCGCTCTCCGCCGCGCTGCACCGCTTCTACCCGCTTCTTGGCCGCGTCCGGCCGTGTTCTAGCGGCGGCGGAGGCGGAGGGTACGAGTTCTGCTCCACGGGTGGGGATGCCGACCGCGTCGAGCTCACCGTCGCCGAGAGCGGCGACGACTTCGAGGAGCTCGCCGGCGGCGGCCCGATGGATGTTGGGAGGCTGTACTCTCTGGTGCCGCGGCTCCCGCGCCCGGAGGAGGGGAGCTCCGAGCTCGCGGCGGTGCAGGTGACGGTTTTCCCCGGGAAGGGGCTCGCCGTCGGCGTGTCCATCCACCATGTGGCCTGCGACGATTCCAGCTTCATGCACTTCGTCAAGACCTGGGCGGCCAATTGCCGGGTGGCTTCCGGTGGGGACGTCGATGCTGTGCCGCCGCCGCCGCCGCCGTTCTTGGACCGTGGCGTGGTCGCCGATCCCGACGGCCTTGCAGCCAAGACGCTCGATCAAATGCGGCAGCTGGCGAACAGCGGGCCACCCCCGCCACCGCCGTCCGGGCCGCCGCCGAAGCTGTTCATGGCGTCGTTCACGCTCACCCGCGACAGCATCGACAAGCTCAAGCAGCGCGTCACGGCGAGCGGCGGCGGCGGCGTCCACTGCTCGGCCTTCACCGTGGCGTGCGCGTACGCGTGGACCTGCCTAGCGCGAGTCGACGCCACCTCCGCCGCCAGGGAGCGCGCGCACCTGCTGTTCTCGGTGGAATGCCGCCGCCGCCTGACCCCGCCGGTGCCGCAGGAGTACCTCGGCAACTGCCTCCGCCCTTGCTTCGTGGAGGTCGACACGGCCGGCCTGCTCGGCAGCGGCGCCGACGGCGTGGTGACGGCGGCGGTGGCCATCGGCGCGGCCATCAGGGGGCTCGACGACGGCGTGCTGGACGGCGCCGACGGGTGGTTCCAGAAGATCGTGTCGCTGATGCCGCACCGGCCGATGTCCATCGGCGGCTCGCCGCGGTACGGCGTGTACGACACCGACTTCGGGCTGGGCCGGCCGGCGAAGGTGGAGCTCCTGTCCATCGACAAGACGCCCGGCACGGTGTCCATGGCGGAGGCGCGCGACGGCCACGGCGGCATCGAGATTGGCGTGGCGCTGCCGGAGGCCGACATGGCGCGGTTCAGCTCATGCTTCGCCGACGGACTGAAGCAGCTGTGAGTGACGAACAGCTTGTTGCATTTCTTGCTTTCTTGCTGCTACGAATTGTTGCAGAGTTCAGAATTTGTTCAGTTTGGATGTGATTCTGTAATGCTAGCTGTTGGATTGCAATCGTTGATCGATCACATAAGCGATTGTGAATTTGCAATTGTCAATCTATGAAATAATCAGATAAGCTGTAATCTATTCTACATTTTTTTCAGAGATGGAGCAGGATAAGGCCTGCTTCGATCAACTTCTGTTATAAAAAAGACACTGAATATTCGGCTGTATACTGCATCTGAATCTCCTTTTTGCTTTTAAGCATTAATAGTGAGCTTGTGCTGAATTTACCGACGGCGATGGAGACACGAGAGAAACGATGGTTTGGTGAGGAATGTGTATTGTTTAACCGAGTAAATCTGGTGCTGAAATGAAAATTCTCAGAATGTTCTTCGGTATTGAGTATTGACCTTTGATCGATTCGGCAGAGTTTGCTTTGTCCACTTCATCGGTTAGTTCAACCATCCATTTCCTGATACTAATGTTCACAACTCACAACCATATATCAGTTTGTTCAGGTTAAATTTCAGCAGCGTGTAAAATGGCATCCAGCCCATTATCATTGGATGTAAAATGACATTATCTTTTTTGCTTAATATTGCTACTCCAATTTAGCAACTAGTTGCAGTGGCCAGTGAGCCATGGACAGATGGTCGTTGTTGTCAATAGAGCACGTCATGTTCAGGTTAGGCAACCACAATTGGCTGGAAAGGTTGTGTTTTTGTCAAAGTTCGTTCGCTTCAGCCTTCACGTACGCATCATCATGCATGACTTCGAGCTTTCAGTGGTGCTGCCCAGCTAAGAGATGCCAATATCATCACATCTCATTTTCTCCTTCCATCGCAGATATTTTTAATAACATAGAAGTACAAGTTACCATCTATAGAAAAACAGCATAGAAAAATAGAAAATAATAAAACAAGAGTAGAGAAAAAAAATATTTTTTTGAAAAATGAAAGGAGAGAAGTACTCTCACAGTCTCACTGGTCTCCTGGCTAGCAGAGTGGGTAAGCCCAGCCCAACAAGCATCCCACTAGATCATCACGGCCTCTTTCGGTTGGGCCTAGATTTAGGCCAATCCACGCCTCCGAACAAGTAGCCCACTAGATCATCAAGGCCTCATATAGTTGGGCCGGAATTTAGGCCCATATAACTAAACCTAAGGCCCATCAAATCTCCAACCCTTCACACTCTCCTCTCATCCACGTAAACCACCCTCTCCCTCCCTCGCCGCCGGTAGCCGCCACCACCGCCGCCGCCGCGAACTTCCAATAGATCGCCGGCTCGCCATGGCTCTACGCCGAGCCGCCTCCCTCCTCCTCCGGCCACGGCTCCGAGCTCCCGTTCCGATCCCCACACCCAAAACCCCAAACCCTCTCCTCCTCCCGCCCCGCCGCCACTTCTCCCAGCTCCCGCCGCCTCCAGTCCCCGCCTCCGCGGCCGCCGCCGCCGCGGCCGTTGCGGAGGAGGCGGAGGAGGCCTTCGAGGCGGCGAAGGGGACCAAGGACCTGCTCGCCGCCTTCTCCCGCCTCGAGGCCGTCATGCCGCCCTCCGACAAGCGCCTCGCCCTCGCCTGCATCAAGCTCGGCCAGCACCTCGAGGCCTCCGGCGCTGCCGACCCCTCCCGCGTCCTCGCCCTCGCCCTCCGATCCCTCGGCATCCTCGAGGCCACCCCTAACTCCGCCACCTCGACGACGGCCTCCCACTCCGATGCCGTCTCGCTCGCCATGGCCCTCCACCTCGCCGGCTCCGCCTCCTTCGACCTCTCCCGCTTCCACGACGCACTCTCCTTCCTCACCCGCTCCCTCCGCCTCGTCTCCCCACTCCTCCCCTCCTCCTCCTCCGCCGCCGCCGCCTCTGGTGACGACGACGCTCAAGGGTTCGACGTGAGGCCCGTGGCGCACGCGGTGCGCCTGCAGCTGGCCAACGTGAAGACGGCGCTGGGGCGGCGGGAGGAGGCCCTAGCTGACATGCGTGCGTGCCTTGACCTCAAGGAGTCCATCCTGCCGCCGGGTAGCCGGGAGCTCGGCGCCGCGTACCGGGACCTTGCGGAGGCGTACTCCACCGTGCTAGATTTCAAAGAGGCGCTCCCATTGTGCGAGAAGGCGCTCGAACTGCATCAGTCGACGCTAGGCAAAAATTCGGTGGAGGTTGCGCATGATAGGCGGCTGCTTGGGGTGATATACACCGGCCTGGAGCAGCATGAGCAGGCCCTGCAGCAGAATGAGATGTCACAGAAGGTGATGAAGAGCTGGGGCGTGGCTGGCGACGAGCTCCTGCACGCGGAGATTGATGCGGCGAACATCAAGATCGCTTTGGGCAAGTGCGACGAGGCCGTTACTGTGTTGAGGAATGTCTCTAAGCAGGTGGAGAAGGATAGCGAGATACGAGCTCTAGTGTTTATATCTATGGCAAAGGCTCTTGCTAACCAGGAGAAGGCCGGTGATACAAAGAGGTGCTTGGAGATTGCTTGTGACATACTGGAGAAGAAGGAATTGGCTGCACCAGACAAGGTGGCCGAAGCATATGTGGAGGTATCCTCACTGTATGAGATGGTGAATGAGTTTGACAAAGCGATATCATTGCTGAAGAGGAGCTTGGGGATGCTTGAGAGGATACCTCAGGCACAACACATGGAAGGGAATGTTGCGGCTCGGATTGGGTGGCTATTGCTTCTGACAGGGAAGGTGTCGGAGGCTGTCCCATACTTGGAGGATGCAGTGGAGAGGATGAAGGACAGCTTTGGACCAAAGCATTACGGGGTAGGGTATGTGTATAACAATTTGGGGGCTGCATATATGGAGATCGGCCGACCACAGTCTGCTGCGCAGATGTTTGCGCTTGCAAAGGAAGTCATGGATGTTTCCTTGGGGCCGCACCATTCAGATACCATAGAGGCCTGCCAGAGCCTTGCCAATGCATACAACGCAATGGGAAGGTATGATTTCACAACTTCATTCCATTCATTCAAAGACACATAAAAAATGTTACAAAAAAAATACTGAACAGACAAATTTTGGATGAAACAATTCTGATATTTGCTAGTATCATGTCTAATATAACCAGGCAGAAGATTAAATGAGCTACAATAATCTGCATGTTACCTATCAAGCTAGTTTGTTTTTGCAATGCTTGTTCTTTAGCTAGTTTTCAGGATGACCATATGTTGCATTTTTGCAATTATTGCAAGAAATGCTTTTTATACATGGTATGCTACTGCGTTTGAAATTACAGAGTATGTAATTGTGCTCCCTGCATACTGTTGCATACTCGCATTACATCATTAGAGGGAAAGGGAAATTACTGATTGCTTTGTTTCATATGCATTAAGTACGCACGCAACATAATGGCTGGCTGATATTGTAAGCACACTATTCAGATCTGCTTCTCCAAAATAGACTAGATTGATATTTTTTGAATGGGAAAAATTAAGGAAACTAAGAAAGCTCTTTCCACATGCTGTATTAATGTATGAAGTACTATGCGCTTCTCTCTAATGAAAAAAAAATCATTTTGCCTCAAATGCAGCTATGCTCTGGCTATGGAGTTCCAAAAGCGAGTGGTGGATTCTTGGCGAAACCATGGTCCCAGTGCTAGGGACGAGCTCAAGGAAGCTATTCGTCTCTATGAGCAGATAAAGATAAAGGCTCTTTCATGCCTATCGCCTGAAAATTCAGCAATTGCATTGCCTGAACCTCTGGAAAAGGAGGTTGATTCTGATTCTACCAGAGTTGCTCAACAATAATTTCAAAGTATTGTACGCATCAGTTTTTCTATCAATATATGATTATGATATGTTGTTTAGTAGTACAAGAAATTTTGGCTGTGAAACTACCTATTGTATGATCCTTATTGACTTGTTACGCACTGACATCCTTTTGTGCCACTTAGAAGACCTAACAGTATATCAAAAGTAATCAGAAACACACCTTTTCAGCATGACAGGAACCTTTTAGAGATATATAATATGACCTTTTCAATGGTTGGTGAACTGACATTTTCCTGCGACAAGGAAAATCTGATTTGTCAAGCTATGATGTCATCTAAGACACAGATTTCAATGTTAGATTATTATAAGAAGGTTTTGGTGAGACATTGGATTACAGAGTTTTGAAAGGTGTCTACCTTTCCCCATTCAGTTCATGTTTTTATTTTCTTTTGTTTTGCCTGACTGCCTGAAGTTACACCTTCTAGGATTGGTAACACATTTATCCTGTCATCAGCTGATTCGCTTTCTTCTGAGTACTTTCACTAGTTATTTAACAATTCAAAACTTGATTTATTTATTTATATATTTATTTGGCATATTCTCGCTCCTTCCCTTTCTCATTGTTGAATTTGACTCACCATATCGTATATGATCATTTGGGGATCACATGCATGTATCAGTGCCTGAAGAGGAAGCTTGGGCAGATTCAGAGGAGCTGGAAAATACAGTAGCAGTAGGAGCAACTTACATTGTTTTGCACGAATGTTTCACAGAAAGAACTTGCCATTCTACTGTCTGAAGTCTGGAATTTCGGACACACACAAACCATGTTATAGGTGTCCATTAGAGAAAAATTGACATGTAATATTGCATTTTGCAGAAAAAGAAAAGAAAAATTGGTGAACAAGACCACCAAAAGAATTCGCATAGAACATGGCCATAGAATGTGCAGGCATAGTAATCCCTACAATGTTCCAGTGCTGCTGCTGCTGCTGTCACTGATATCCCTGTGGAAGTGGGTGCTCCTCTGCAGAATATTCTGAATCTGCAAATGCACCTCTCCAGCACCACCCAGTGAGTCCATGGAGAAGGACCTCCTCAATGGAAGAACATTTCTGTCCCTCCTCACTGCAATGCACTCATCTCCCTTACTGATGCTGACATGCCATGCATTCTGGTTCTTCGTCTTCTTACTACTGACCTGTTGATTTGTACTAGTAGCATCTACTGCAGGATCAGAAGCTGCCGTATTGGCCTCCTGCTGTGGTGCTTGTGCACCTTCTTCTTCCGCGCCAGTGATCACCTGAATGACTACCACCTCAGGTCTCACGAACTGATCCAATGGAAGCTGGCTGTCGTTGGTGGCTATGGCTGCCCTGCAGAGTGGACAGTTGGCGTTGCCCTGGAGCCAAGTGTCGATGCAGTCAACATGGAAGACATGGAGGCAGCTGGGCAGGAGCCTGACCCTCTCCTCTTCTTGGAACTCACTGATACACACTGCACACTCGCTGGAATCAGCAGTAGTGTCCTTGATGGCCTTCCTGTACCTGAACGCCGGCAATGATTGGATGGCCGCCTCCTCCAGCCCACGCGGCTCGGCCACTGCCGGGAGGCTGCTGGAGGCGGCACCGCGTCGACGGCGGGAGATGAGGCCAGCCGTCCGCGTGTCGGAGGAGCTGCTGCTGTTCCAGTTGAGGCAGCAGCGGATGACAAAGATGTAGTAGGTGAGCAGGAGGACGGAGGTGGTGAGGATGCCCAGGACGGTGAGCACCAGTATTGGGAAGCTCGTGATGGATGGATGGTGAGGCACAAAAGAAGAAGATGCTGAAGAAGTGGAGTCGAGTGCCAATGGCCGTGGCGGCGGTGGCGGGAACAGCAGTGATGGCATCTGTTGCACCGGGAAGATGGGGTCCCTGTCTGCATCCATGGTTTGCTGCAAACACGAGCTTAAGCACACAAGCAGGTGAGCTACTGAGCTAGATAGACCAGGTTTGATGATGCTGCTGATGCAACATATATACTGGTTTTCAGGTATGAATGGTGAGACCAAATGGTGATGCTCAATGTAGTGGCCAACGAGGTAGGAGGGAAGAATGAAAAGGCAGCACCCGATCAGGTTGGAAAATGCAGTGGAGTTGTGAAAGAAATTGAGGAAGGAAAGAAACCCAACCTGCAGAGCAAGAGCAAGAGCAGGACAGCAGCAGTAGGAGCAATAGTTGCTTGCACAACAGCACAACACAAGGAAAATGAACTGTCAGCACACAGCTATCCTTAATTTGCAGCAGCTTGCAGGTTTGCACACACTCCCTGCAGAGATGGAGATGCTGTGTATGATGATCACGGCACTGGTGGTGATGGCGGCTTGATGTTTTGGATGCGATTGAAGTGTGGCCGAGTGACAGGAACGCGGCTTTGGAGGTGAGCTTTTGCTTCCCCCTTTTTTTTCATGTGCGAGTGCGACGGATGCCGCACGCCGCCGGTGTTCCCGGCCGGCCTACGCTTGCTGCTTCCTTGTACTGTTAGGCTTTAGTAGTGGTAATTTCTTTCTTGGTCTGTTTCTTGTCTAACCTGTACTAGGAGTAGCTTGCTAGTCAACTAATCTGACGCTTGCTTGCTTTTGGTCTTGTCAGTACGTGCATTCCTTTTCGTCTGGGGCACGGTGACTGACTGACTGAAGGACTGACTTAACATCCCCTGTCTGCTGCTGCTTTACATAAGAATCTGTACATTTCAGGCCACCTTCGTTCAATTATGTGTGACTCAATACTTCAATTATGGTGTGTACTCCATGTCTCCATTTAGGTTAAGACCCAGATAAGGTCTAATTATGCATAAATGAACCAGACACAAGTCCAACAAGCACTAGTAATCAACAAGATGCTGCCAAATATGTACTACACCCTCTGATGCCTGAACTTTGTTTGCATCAGGAAACGGACGAACAGATGATGCAGGAATTCAGGCTTCGATGATATAAACTGAGATGTTGTTTTCAGACTGCGAGTTCCGGTGCACATCGCGATCGCTGATTTACAGATTTGTAGGATGCGTGGCCGGGAGATTTTGGTTCTGATTCAGCTGAAGGTACAATATGCTTGTGCAGTAGTGGTCCACCTGTTGCTCTTGCTGTTGTTCGGACGTTGCTGTCTTCCAGTTCATCATCACTAGAGTAGTACTCTTGCAACACGACATTTGCAGCTCCAAGAATGGGAAGCAGGAGAGCTTGAGGGCACTACGTCTCTCCAGTACTAGAGAACTGAAGCTTCTCTTGTCTTGCTCGTGGAACCTTCTTGCTGTCGGTGGAGTAGAGCGCCATGGTTGATAGTCTGCAGGTGGTCAGAAACTGTTTTTACCAAGGGATATTGGTGGCAATGTAGTCTGAGGATTGATGGTCCGCATTTCCTGCTTCTTCATTTGTAATAAACGTTTATTATGTGTGTTTGTGTGCATCAGTTATGCACCTCAGTTATGCAGAGGCTATAAGAGATCTCAGCACGGTTCTATCATATTGATGTAATTGTCTGAGTTTTTTTTTAAGAAAAAGCTTCCTTATCTAAAAGAATGGTTGATAGTAAAGCAGTCTGCACTTCATGTTGCGCCAGTTGCTACGGATGATCAGAATCAGGATCAAGCAAGAATGAATATATTCATGAATTGATGCGTGATGCTCAATTGGAGTTCAAATTCAGACAAGCAACCTTTGATTTTGCATCCAAGAAGGATCAGGAGAAATAATGGCCAGTTCATGATATTAGTTGAAACTGGTTGCGTATAATCTCCTTCAGATCATCGGACAGTGACTAGCACTAAAACCAAGTTACTGAAGATCTAAGATCAGACGCACCTGAAAGAAACCAACCCAACTCCCTCCGGCCTTGCCTCCATTGACCATTAATTTTGCCGGGCAATCTTGTCGTTGTCTTCCAATTTTGGCTATGTTTAGATCCACGACAAAATTGGAAGTTTGAAAAAATTAGAACGATGTGATAGAAAAGTTAGAAGTTTGTGTGTATGAAAGTTCGATGTGACGGAAAAGTTAGAAGTTCGAAGAAAAAAGTTGGAAACTAAATAGGGCCTTTGCCGGGCAATCTTGCCGTCGTCTTCCTCTCCACTGAGATCAACTTCTGCCATTGCCGCCGCTGCCTTGCATCTGCCTTGCATGGATCGCAGAGAAGACTACATGGCAGCTTGTGCTATGTGAAGATGAAGCATTCGCCAAGCTACTGATTGGTGGTTGCTTATATTGGACAGAGTTTCTGCCATCTCCTGATCAGCTTCCTCCAGCTTAGCTTGGGATGTTTTGTCGATCTCTGAATTTTATTTGCGACAGTGAGCAGATGCATCTTTCAGTTCGGGGACTTTGAAGTACAGCTGGAAAATATCCACTTTTTTGTCGTGGTATTGAGAACATGTGTGATCTCACATCATACTCTGACTTCTATTTTGTCTTAAAAAAATATCGATTCTTGATTTGTTCAGTGGGCTCAATGGTATTGCAGGCAAAGTAGTATACTACTTTTCGGTGGCATTAGTCATGAATTTCATATTCTCCAAGGAAAATAAAACTATATTTTTACACTATGGTTTATTCGATACGTATAGTTTTTCTGATCTGATTCTGGATGATGGTATATTTTTCTTCAGATTTGGGACTTGGCCTGGTCACTTTGCTTAAACAATCAAATACGCTACAAGATTTTGCCTTCTTCAGAAGAAGAGGTAGATGCACATATAATTTTCCTTCGATCCACTCATGCATGATGCATCCATTAATCTATTTGGACGATTTACTTCTTGCCACGATCATATATATTCTGCTTACATTTTGCAGAGCAGGGTCACTAATATAATGAGGACTCAACATTATTATAAGAATATGAAGAGAATCCAGATAGAATCATGCATATATATAGCCAGTTGGTTGTCACCAACAACGAAGGGATTAGTAAAATGTCAGAGCAGCGAATTGGGATTAAGCATCTGGGCCGGAAGCAATATACATGCGTGCAGATCAGCCAGCTACTCCTTAACTGCAGAAAATTATATTAGCAGATGCATCCTCTAAACTCCTTGAAATCTACAGAAACCACGCTGTCTCAGCACACAGTAATAAACTAAAAATCACATTACTTTCGCGTTCTGCTCGTGTTTCTGAAGAATGAAACCCGTGTCAATGACCTTCGCATGATTAGTATGCATAGATATCGTCTGAATCCATGCGAAGACAGGAGAAGACTCTTCTGAAATTGAGCAGCCAGCTTTGACGACGCTGGTGCCGCTAATCTCAACTATTTTTTCACTAGATTATTTGTTGTACGCTTAAACTCTCTTCTACTACGTTGTTAATACTTAATAATCCATCCGTTTCACGTTATAAAACGTTTTGACTTTAATCAAAGTCAAACTGCTTCAAACTTAACTAAGTTTGTAGAAAATAATAATAATATTTTCAACACAAGACAAATTTATTATGAAAATATATTCAATTATTGATTTAATGAAACTAATTTGATATTATAAATATTACTATATTTGTCTATAAGTTTAGTTAAATTTAAAGTTATTTGACTTTAACCAAAGTCAAAACATCTTATAACTACGGAGGGAGTACCACTTACTCCCTCCTTCCCTAAATGTTTGACACCGTTGACTTTTTTAAACATGTTTGACCGTTCATTTTATTCAAAAACTTTTATGATATGTGTAAAACTATATGTATACATAAAAGTATATTTAACAATAAATTAAATGATAGAAAAAAATTAATAATTACTTAAATTTTTTGAATAAGACGAACGGTCAAATATTTTTTAAAAAGTCAACAGCGTCAAACATTTTGGAATGGAGGTAGTATTTTAGACCTATTTGTTAAGTTCTTTTTTAAAAAAAAAGGTTTAATTTATCTCTATACCTAAGTAGATAATTCACGCAATAATCCGGTACATAATACCCTGGGCCTCCTTAATTAAAAAAAAAAGGTTTAACCATTCAGTTCACTGCAGCCAATGATCAGTGGGGGCCATTCACTGACAGGACTTTTCCATGGCAAGCTGATCGTCCTCTTGTCTGAAAGATTCCAAAGGAAGGGTGGATGACAAGGAGGAAGCCGCCATCCACCACCCAAAATTCTATTGGATTCTACCTATGCATATTGTGCGCCATGATCAGTAAGCACCTACTTGTTGTTGAAAGCACCAAGAGATTAGGTAAATCAAAAGTGTCCAAAGACAACATCAGGAAGCATACAAACACAAAGCTTGCATCACTGAAAGAGTGATTTGGTTCACTCATCACTGGGTTAGCGACATAGTAACAAATGTCACTACTTACTAGGATTGGATAAGTGCAAATGTGAGCTAATTTAATCACTGTGTTCACTGTGGTAGGTAGAAAACAACAGTTGATTCACAGTTTAGCAGTATTATAATGCTAGCTCGCCTACTAGTTTAAGGAAAGATCCTATAATTTGACACTCTATAAAGTGAGCTTCGATTATTTGTTGGTACATGTTGTATTTATTTGACTCTAGTTTTTTTTCTTAATCGCCACACGTTGTCTTGTGGAAACAAATTTTGTACTATGCGCGTATTTTCTCGATGAATATCCAGGAGCGTAGAAATAAGTTCATTTGTTGGTACATGTTGTATTTATCTTTTGAAGATAAACATGTTGTTTTTATGATCTTCAACAATTAGTACGGTAGAAAACACACAGTCATGAATTTTGTACCAATCCGTGTGAAGCTCACGCCATTATTACGGTTACAATCACCATTTTTGATATGACAAATGCAGTGAAAGGAAGTAAGAAAAAGTCTCCCCAACTCATAAATACTTCCAATGCTATTTTTTTCTACAACTACAAATATCAGCATTGCACTTACTCTGCCCTTTGGCCATCTTCCATCCATCCAAAAACATCCACACTTTTCATACAAACAAACAAAATTCAGAGTGCATAAAAACAACAACAAAAAAGAGTCAGATGTACAAGGGAGAAAATGAAAGGAAAGAGAAATAGAAGTAACCCCACAAAAATGTTCCTAAAATCTCCAACCAAGGAGCAAGGACCCATACATAGTATGTCTAATACTCAGGGGGTTTGATACAAAAAAAGCTTATGCTTTTATTCCAAAGTCCAATACAAGTCTTTGGGGAATTGGCACAGGCAGGAGAGAGAAAGAGAGAGAGACCCATACCAATGCCAAGAACAAGAAATCAGAGAGCCCAAGCAAAAAATCCAATCCGAATCCCCTCCAAAAACCCACCAAACAATCTCCTCCATCTCCAAGAACAAGAACAAGAGAGCATCCTAGAACATTAGGGGATAAAGGAGGAGGAGAAGAAGACCAAGAAAAGGTACTACCTTTCATCTCTCCCTCCCCCCCAAATACACACTGGTCGCAAAACGAGAGGCCGCCTCAGCCTTCTCCAATCCCCTCTTACGGAGAGCAAAGCAAGCAAGATTTTTCTTCGATCTCTGCTCGAGTTTCTTGCTGTGAAGTCTGTTCTTTTTTCTTAACTGTTACTGCTCGTGCGTTTTTGAGAAGTTTCGAGAGGAGAGGGAGGAGAGTTCAAGAACTTGGAGAGAAGGGGATGGATCCGGTGTTGCTGGACGACATCATCCGGAGGCTTATCGAGGTGAAGAATCTGAAGCCGGGGAAGAACGCGCAGCTTTCGGAGTCGGAGATTAAGCAGCTCTGCGCAACCTCCAAGGAGATCTTCCTGAATCAGCCCAACCTGCTCGAGCTCGAGGCCCCCATCAAAATCTGCGGTAATTTCCCTGTTTCTTGTCACGCGTGAGCAATATCTTTGATGTTGGCTGCCCTCGAAAATGTCATCTTGGGGATTTGCTTGGTTGGTCAACGGGTAGCAAGTGACTGCGTCGTGCTGTTTGGATGCACTTGCTTAATGTACTATACCCGATCTTTTGATTGATAGCCAGATATTATCCAGCTTTTTAGGTGTTTTGTCGCTTGATGATCCGGTTATCGACTCGAACAGAGGTTTACCACATACTTCCTAATGAATCATGTGATTCAGTATTTCCGACTATATGTTTGCTCATAGAAAGCTTATACTCCGTGAGGCAGACGATGGTTATATCTAGATTTCTCAGTGGTTCAGTACAACTGAACCATACCGACTATATTTGCTGATTGAAAGCTGCTATTTTGTGAGGCGATTTGTTGATAGAAAGATCAAAGATAGACTTTCAAGCTGCTACTAGGAAACTTTTGACCGCTATAGTTTATGGTGAATTGATCATACCTGATACAATCACATTTAATGTATCTCAATATCTGGCGGTCTGGGTACACCAGCCTGATATTGCAAGTTTTTTCTCATCTCAAAAAAGGGAGAGAGAGAGAAGTCTTCAATTTTTTCCCCAGGTTTCTTGCTGGGTCCTGTTGATAGAAATATGCCAATATCTTTAGGTTGTGTTCCATTCAGGATTTTGTGTTAGTATGAATTAAGAGGAATCTTTGATCATAGATGTTAAGGCTGTATTCTTTTTCCTCATGGCATCTTGCCATTATATTCCATGAGAAACAATAGTTCTCACAAATCAATAACATTTGAGCAAAATGTGGCAGCAGTTGACATTCATTTTTTTTATGAATTCCAATATTTGTTGTGAGCAAACCTTAAGCAGCTTTAATAACACGTCATCAAATTTATTAATCTTGCATAATTTCTTCTGATCAGGTGATGTTCATGGACAGTATTCTGATCTCCTGAGGCTGTTTGATTATGGTGGGTATCCACCTCAGTCCAACTATCTCTTCTTGGGCGATTATGTGGACCGGGGAAAGCAAAGCCTTGAGACGATATGCCTTCTTTTGGCTTATAAGATCAAGTACCCTGAAAACTTCTTCCTACTCAGAGGCAACCATGAATGTGCATCGGTCAACCGCATCTATGGATTTTATGACGAGTGCAAGCGCAGATTCAGTGTAAAACTCTGGAAGACTTTTACTGACTGTTTTAACTGCTTACCAGTGGCAGCATTGATAGATGAAAAGATTCTTTGTATGCACGGAGGTCTTTCTCCAGAGTTGAATAAGCTGGATCAAATACTCAACCTCAACCGCCCCACGGATGTGCCTGATACTGGGTTACTTTGTGATCTCCTTTGGTCCGATCCATCCAATGACGCACAAGGGTGGGCTATGAATGATCGAGGTGTCTCATATACATTCGGGCCAGACAAAGTGTCTGAATTTCTTGAGAAGCATGATTTAGACCTCATCTGTCGAGCCCATCAGGTGCCCCATGCTCACAATTACCTGACCTTTTTATTTTTCTTACCAAGTGAATTGATTTATCAGTTATTCTTGCCTTGTTGGAATTCAGGTTGTCGAAGATGGGTACGAGTTCTTTGCTAACCGCCAACTTGTAACAATATTCTCGGCCCCTAATTACTGTGGAGAATTTGATAATGCTGGTGCCATGATGAGTGTAGATGATACACTGATGTGCTCTTTTCAAATACTAAAACCAGCGAGGAAAATGTTGGGTGGTTCCACGAATTCCAAATCCGGCTTCAAGGTATGCATAACTAGTAGTATGCAAGTGACAGATATTTTTATTATTTATACAATATATAGCGATTCCCTGCAGTGTCCCTTCCAAAAAAAAGGGACATGCTGATATTTGCTCTCTACATGCCACTGTTGCTCTGTATAGTTGTTCCGTTTCGATTTATTTTCATATTTTTTAAAAAATGTGAAAATGATTTGAACTGGTAGCGTGACGTTCATGGAACATTTTAAAGAAAGATTTGCACTCAATGTAATATTATTAACTGAGCACTTGTCTGACCACCAAACCTGCTCAGGAATTCCTGTGCACTTGATAATTCCAGAAGTTAGGGCACTTATTGCTCTTTTTTTTAACAGAATGAAGTGGCAGGTTTCAGTTGGCTGAGGTGATTGTGTGCTTAAGCTTATCTCCTGCAACTGCCTACTTTACCAACAATTTGACTTCCACTCTGATTAAATTGCCATAGAAATACAATGCTCAGCAATACTAATTATTAGCTCTTACAATTGAAATTCGCACGCCAACCATTTTTGGTGATATCCTATTTGTTTCTGGTTGTATGAAAAATTCACGAGGTTGCTATATAATACATTCAGACAATTCGATTTCTTCCTCGATAGATTACATTTCCAGTGTATGCCATGGCAATGCATGTTGTAATCATAGAGGACGAAGTTGGTGTTAGACATTGACCTCACAGAACAGTTCAACCCATATCTGATGTTACACCCTATTGCCTTTGACCTACTTTGTTTTGTCCCCCACTAAGCGCGCGTGGCAGTATCAATACAAAGATAGGAAGTTGGTTAGGTAAGTACAGGTCCACTTTTTGAGGCTAGATCAGATGTAAAAAACTAGTACAAGAGCATAATTCTGCATTACATTAGAATTATCTACATTCTTGAAATATCAACAATATATTCTTGAATAAATGAATGACACTAATGCTGAAATGTATCTAACCTCCATTTCTCCCCTGTTTGATTAGTCACTGAGAGGGTGGTGACGATGAGCAAAGCTGTGATCTGATCTGCTGGCGCATGTCTTCTACAGCGGCTGCGACTAACCGGCATTTTCGCCTACAGCTCGGGTCCATAAACAGCGAAGCAGATAGAAATGTGTACAACTTTCCAGCCGATGGAACTGTACATCATCGTTCATGTTGGATTAACACTTGTTGTAATGTATTATTGGTTTTACCATGCGGATCTCTTATCATATGAGAGGATGTGAATGAAAACTGTTCTCCCGTCCTCCCCCCTAAATTCAGAAAAGTTCAGACAGAAGGACTCCAATAAAAATAGCTAGAATCGAATGCTTTTGAACCAAATTTCCATCCAGTGAGCACCAGTGCTAACATAGTTATATCCCAAGAGGTAGTCCCATTGAACCTGCTATTACTGAATTTTTCTGCCCTTTTTATCCTCTTGTGTCTGCTTGCATCTGTGCTTTCGGTGGTTGAAGAATCGGTGGGTTCTTCTTGTGGAAACTGTTGTTTCTTATTGCGTTGATCTGATAACCTGACGTCTCATCTGAGCTAATCAGAATGAATGTTTGATTCTATGCGTTGTAAAGCTCAGTTTAAGGTTTCAAAGTGCTTGCCTTTGGATCGATTAAAATGAAAAAGGAGAGGATAGCATGGGCTGAATTGTGATCCTTCCTTTATACTTCCTCTGTTTCATAATGTAAGTCATTCTAGTATTTTCTACATTTGTATTGATGTTAATGAATCTATTTAGATATATATGTCTAGATTCATTAACAACAATATAAATATGGGAAATGCTAGAATGACTTACATTGTAAAACGGATGGAGTAAGAGTTATTATTATTATTCTCAACCTTTTACCACTTCAGTCTAATATTCGATCGTTGTTAAAGCGTCAGAATATGTTCGCTGGACGAGATCATGAACTGTGGATATGACAAGCAAGCGGAAAAAGAAAAATAAAAATCTTGCTCGAGATGAGAATCAGATTCGTTGTTACGACACGCGCACTATCAAAGAGGGATGGATGATCAGGAGGCAACGCAAATTTCTCTCCGTTGGAACGACGAAGAATTCAAAACCAGATTTACCAGACACGTCCACATCAAACGCTGGAAAAAAGGATGCAATTGCAAGTCTTTAAAACTTTCTACGGGCACCATTAAAAACTATAGGAAAATTGGTTTCATGACATTGATAGTTTTCGAGTTTAGATTTTAAGTATTCATCATCCAATTGACTGCTATGTTCCATTCACGCATAGTATATATGTACATCCAGAAATCATCAGGCTCTGTTTCAAATGTTAGCATGTGTGATTGCATTTTCGCCTAACAATTCCTACCTCACTCACAATCACATCGTGTCAACCACTGTTAGGCTAAATCTCCTACATTAACAGTACTAATAAATAAATTTGTACTAGAAGTGAGGATCACGATCCTCTGCAGTCGACTGCACCGTACCGTTGTCACTAACATATGGACCCACAGATCTACATAGGAGGATCTCAATCGCGCTGCACATCAACTACAGCAACATCTATCTATATACATCGCCTGATGAACAACAAAACCACAAAAGAAGAAAAAAGCATCCTTTACACTGTCAAAAAAAAATGCATCTTTTACTGTAAAAAAAAATTGCATCTTTTTTTTTTACTGTGAGGATGCATGCGATGCGGCGGTGGTCAGTCAGTCTCCGGCGAGGTGCGGTGGGCGGTGAGTGAGTCTCCGGCGAGGTGGGTGGGGTTTCACCTTCACCTGGGAGCGATGGAGATGGAGATGTCGGTGGGGATGCGGAACTTATCGGACCAATCCTGCGCCTCCAGGAAGAGCTTGGACACCTTGGCGGCGACCCACGACATGTCCGGCCGCGCCGCCGCGTCCCTCGCCACGCACCGCAGCGCCACCGCCGTCATCGCCTCCGCCGCCTCCACCGGGAACGAGTCCCTCAGCCTCCGGTCCACCCACCGCCGCATCGCCTCCCCTCCTCCCCCCTCCGCCGCCGCCTCCGCGCTCTCGATCACCGACGTCCTCTCGTACTCCCCCGTCGCCTTGTTCTGCTCGTACCTCACCGCCTCCTGCCCGGACACCAGCTCCAGCAGCACGACGCCGAGCGCGTACACGTCGGATCGCCGCGACGGGGCGGCGCCCGCGATGAGCTCCGGCGCCATGTACCCGCGCGTGCCCTCGATCCGCCTCCCCCGGCGGTCTCCCAGGAGCTCGCCGGCGAGATCGGCGGCGCCGAAGTGGGCGATCTTGGCGCGGAGGGTGGGGCCGTCGCCGGAGACGAGGACGGTGGAGGCGGAGAGGCGGTTGTGGACGGTGTCGGCCTGGAGGTGGACGTAGTGGAGCGCGTCGGCGACGTCGGCGGCGACCTTGAGGCGGGACTGCCACGACGCGAGCGGGGTGAAGGACGGGCTGTTGGGGTTGCGGAGGAGCGCGGACAGCGGCGACGCGTCCGGGAGGAGCTCGTAGGCGAGGAAGAGCGAGCCGTCGGGCGACGCGGCGGCGCCGAGGAGCCGCGCGATGGCGGCGTGGTGGCAGTGGCCGAGGGCGGCGAGGCGGGCGGCCACGTGCGCCTGGTCCCGCCGGAGCGGGCGCCGGAACACCGCCGCGGAGTGCCCGCGGAGGGAGCAGCGGAAGGAGGTGGAATTGGGGGCGAGGCGGTGGGAGGAGGAGAAGTTGGCGGTGGCGGCGGCGAGCTCGTGGAAGGTGAGGAGGAGGGGGAGGTCGGGGAGAGAATCGCGGAGAGCCTGGAGCGAGGCGGCGGTGGAGGAGGAGGTGGCGGTGGCGGTGGATGGCGCGGAGGAGGAGGAGGTGGTGGAGTACTGGGTTGCCGTGGCGCGAGGCGACCGCTGATGCTGATGCTGATGCTTTCTTGGGGTGGTGGCGGTGGAGGCGGAGGCGGCCATGGAGGCGGTGGCGACGGAGCTCTTGGTCTTGCACATCCGATGATCCTTCTCCTCCTCCTTCTCCTTCTCCTCCGGCTCCGGATTGGGCTTGGGTTTCCGCTTCCAGAGGGTAACCATGGGCGAGGCGACGAGCTCCGAGCTCGCTTGCTTGGTTGCTTGATTGGTTGAGCTAGTGGCCGCCCAGATCGGGAGGCGGCTGCTGCTGTGGAGAGTTGAATTGCGGCCAGCTAATAAAGCTTGCGCCTTTGTCCTTTGCCCTTGATGAGAGGGAGGGGAGGGGAGGGGAGGAAGAAGATGATGATGGACAAGGAGGGTTGTCAGGTCAGAGACAGGTCAAATGTGCCCAACTGGATATTGGCATGTTGCAATTTTGCATTGCAATCTTTGTTTTTCACTGCTACCTTCCAAAATAGTGGTGTGTTTAGTTCACGCTAAAATTTAAAATTTGATTGAAATTAAAACGATGTGACAGAAAAATTAAAAGTTTACGTGTCTAGGAAAGTTTGAAAAAAAGTTAGGAACTAAATCAGGTCTAAGTTTACTTTTTATTTATTTCACACATGCTAATACAACAAAAGACTAAAATACTCATCTTTATTAAATCCAAGATGTAACTATTCATCACTTTATCTACTCTACTTTTAATGTAATTATTTCTTTACTTTACAAATTTCGATGTAGTATTGATTAATTTAAAAGTGAATTTATTTTGGAATAAATAAAAGGAATTAAAAATGAACTTATTACCTAACGGAGGGAGTAGGACTGTAGGAGTGCATAAGTTTCAACTATAATTTCATTCATGAGAGCATAGTTGCCAATGTTGTTTTTTCTTTGTTGGTGGTTCATTCCAGTTGAAAAACAAGAGGATAATGTTTTTTTTTCTAGTGATTGATTCGCTGTTTGTTTTTCTAAACGGCTACTGATCTTTTTGTGCTTTGCGAGATGTTTAATTGCTATGGAATTAAACATATTGTGCTAGGGCCCAACATTCCCACAAATCACATGCTTACCTTTTCTTGGTTGAAGCCAAACACACTCCTCATGGGGTATAATTGTCGTTTTAGATACGCTTTTAGTCAAACTTTCGATTTTTGTGCATCTTTAAATGCCTAGGCTCATCATATGATCTGCATCAAAAGATTAGTTTAATTATTAGGTATTGCAAGTAAACTATGGCATACAAGTTAAATTCAGAATCTCTACAAATCATTTTCTTTTGCAACAAATGATAAATGAAACAAAGTATGAAAAATCCCATGGATCTTGTTGATCGGGTTTGAAGGAAGGGATATATGCCGTCTCTATTGATCCGTGTGCTTATTTTCAGTAGAACAATGGTCCTTTCACCGACTAGCTAGCTCGTCTGAACCCTGAAGAGGAGACAATTGAATCACAGTATCCCTATAGCTATCTAGTTGACCCTTTGGGCCAACGACGACGACTAGTGCGCTGCCGCTTACTGTAGTAGTATACTGTCACTTGCATCTTTGCTGGAACACAAGTTGAACTGCATTTGCCTGCAATACAATGAATGGTGTAGTTAATTAGTATATACTTATTATTACTCATTATTTTTTCAGTTAATCGGACCTCTTCCTAGCTTCATCCACTGTCTGAAAAAAAAATGCCTGCCTTATGTATGCAGTGCACTAGATCGATCTGAAAGCATAGAAATGAGTAAGTGATCGATCAAGTGGCTCATCCAATTCTGACCTGACCGACCTCTGGCTGTCTGAAATTCAACCCAATTGATGATCGATCGATCGATGCCGACTGGCTGCCGTCTTCGGCAGGCACGCATGCACGATCCATCGATTATGATGCAACTAGCTTCAAGTTGCACTGCAAATGTAAATTACTACGTGGAATAATATTACCAAGTCATCTGTCATCTCTAGTACCTAATTAAGTCGATCAAAAACTCCCAATTATTCAGCACGAACAACTTCCCAGTTAGGGTAGTTTCTCTCAAAAAATCCCAATATTTGCATGCACACATCTAGACTAAAATAGAGAGAAAATTAAGGAAAGGATCGATCGGTTGACTCCATCGGGATAATTAATTGTGCTGGTAAATGCAATTAAACAGCATGCGAGCTATAGACAACAGGCATGGTGTACAGCGACGTGACTGCATGTAGTATCGTCCACGAGCCAAGATCGATTGATTAAACAAACAAATGATGATGCGTGCTGCGTAATTAGCTACTACTAGACGACTCCAAGCAGAACAGCGGAGAAGAATTAACAATTCTTTTCTGCTTTGATTTTGTCTCCGAGAGTAGATGATTCTGCCTCCTTAATTCGCCTCGTCACAGGATGGAAACAAAGGAAAGAAGGCAGCTTAAGCCACCATATGACAGCGACGCCTCTTTCGTCATGCTCTGCTGTGTCCAGCCTCTGCATAATGTGAATGATACTCCTACAGCATCAGCATTCACACTTGGACCGTGTAGTGATGATCATCCGATTAAGATGTCTCTGTAATTATGTTAATTTTGATCCTCCATTTCGTATGTAAATGTTGGCCAATTCGTCCGAAGGATGCACCAACAAAAGCATGCTACTCTAGCTGGTAGGAGTAATTCACAGGTCAAAATAATACAGACGCAATGACGCATCAGAGGCAGGTTTTTATGTTGAACTGGTAGTGCAAGATTACTCTCTCTAAAACATTGCGTGCTGCTTTGCTCAACCTCATCTTAGCCGCCTCTCGGAGTCAGCTAGTTAATTAGGACCTGGCTCTTAATTTTGCACAATTCTACTAAGATTGTTCACAGTCATTTCATCAGAAAATGAACAATTTGTTATCTGAAACTGAAAAGATGTCATCTATTCATAGTATAATACTAGAATACTATCGAATCTGAGAGTGAACACTGTCTCGTGCTGCTCGATCAAAAAAAATTGAGAGTGAAATGTCTACAATACATCTCAGTCAACAACAATCCACAAACAAAAACGTGCACAAAAACACAACTCAAATGGTTTAGTATGGAGGACTAACAGCAGGACGCCTACAAGGACCAATATACTGTCTGAAGTGAACAGTCAAAAAATGTGGCAGAGAAACTTGTACAAATTAAGGAACTTGCCAGGCTCATTCTCTCTTGCTTCATCACTACACAAAAGTTCATTCAGAGTTTGCTACAAAGACTTGTAATAATCTTTTTGCTAGCATTTGGGTTAATTTCTGGTGGCAAAGTGCTTTGCCTGATATTCTGAATGTCTGAATCTTATTTCATTTCTATAGAATAAACATATTAACTGATTCCGAAGGAAAAGAAAATGAATTTGCATAGTACTAGTAGTACTGCATTAAACCCAAATACTAGCAAAAAGATTAATGCAGTACTACTAGAAGGTTCAGTATGATTGGCATGGCCTGAATGGATGGATGAATTTTGGATGCGATCCATGCATGTGCAGCTTGGTTCTTGATCTAGCTGTTCCAGCTTTGCTCAAGATCTGCATGTCCAGCATCTGTTTGCTTTATGTTCCTCGATTAATGAAGATGCATCAAATAATGGCGTGATGCAGTTGATGCTGTCCAGTCTCAGATTCCATGCATGACTTCTCAGTTCTCACACGGATGAAGGAAAACGCAGAAGCAAATCAGGATGAAATCAAGCAAGAAGCGATCGATTCGGCGTGTGCTGGATCGGTTTCCGTTGCTTCTACCAAAGTTTTTTTCTCGACGTCCTCTGCCTCGTTTTCTTTGCCGATGATGTCGGCCGGCGGCGGAGGCTGTCGCCGGAGAAGACGACGTCTCCGGCAGCGAAGGGAGAGCAAAATATGTCACAAATCTGGGCCGTTCGCTCTCTAACGGACGGCTATCGATCGCAGCCATTTACAGATCTTACGGCCCAATTTGAGCCGCAAAACGAGCGAGTCATCCAGTCACCGCCTAGGCCCAGTAACCAATGGTAGCGATCCTAGTTTGGGCCGAATTGGTTCGCCATCAGATATTGGGCTAAATTTCCATTCAAGTTACATTAGGCCCAATTATGACAAGAACCTCTTGGGCTATGAATCCGGCCTAGGCCCATAGTCCGGTCGGCCCACAACTGCCTTGTGCTCGGCCCAGTTTGAGGAACAATTGGTAGATCCAAATCTGGATGGGCTGTATTGGGCCTCATCTCAACTAAAGTAAAACTAGGGCCCAATTATAAAAGCAAGGCCCACACGCTCCCCTTGTCTTGTTGCCTCTCTCTCTTATTCTTCTCTTCGACCGTTTCTTCGCCGACAAGAAGAAGAAGGCTCCCCGCGGCTGCGGCGGCGGCGGCGACCAGCCCTTCCCCTTCTCCTGCTTCGACAGTTCGCCGCCATGGCCACTCGGTTTCTGCCTCTGGTGCGCCGCGGCCTTGCCGGCGTCCTGAATCAATCGCCCGCGCCCGCGTCCACCCGAGGTGATTCCCCCAAACTTTTTTTTGCTTTAGCTCCCTCTTTTGGTTCGGCATGGATAAATCTAGTCGATATTGGTGATGACTCTCGCGGATGTGTGTTTTACTTGGAGAGGCCGGTGGTTGGAGGCTCGAATCCGGGGTTGCTGCTGCCACTACAGTCAAATTTTGTTTACACTGCGTCTGCGCCCTTTTCCCTTGTGTTTGGGGGTATGAGAAGATTGAAATATGGAAACAAGGGGATTCCCTTGTTTTGGGATTGATTTTGGTAAAATTAAGGTGATATGGTTGAAGAACTGAAGAAAAAACTTGGTGGCAACTATAGTAGTAATAATAAAGATAAGATTATAGAGTCAATTGTGTCTGTTTGTTGCTAGTTGTCAGTTCCTGCCAGATTGGCAAATATCTAAAGCATTTACCATTCAAATCATTACGTATGACAAGAATTTACTTACATCTTTGCAATAGGAATTAATTAAACAGTCAACTAATGAAAATCTGTTATTGCAGGATTCTTGTTTCCTGCACCTGTGACTGCTGGCATAAGATCTCTGCAAACTATCATGGAAGCAAGCAATAATGCTTCAGATGACCGTAACCAGGACATAGAGGATTCCAAAACCGACACCGTGCCAGCTACGGTCCCTTCATCGGATTCCGGCTTCAAAGTTAGAGATACATCAAACTTGAAGATCTCACCGAGACACGACCTCGCCATGATCTTTACGTGCAAGGTTTGCGAGACCAGGTCTATGAAGATGGCGAGCAAGGAATCATATGAGAAAGGAGTGGTGGTCGCTCGTTGCGGCGGCTGCAATAATTTCCACCTGATCGCGGATAGGCTTGGCTGGTTTGGGGAGCCAGGAAGCATCGAAGACTTTCTAGCCGAACAAGGAGAGGAGGTGAAGAAAGGCTCAACAGATACTCTTAACTTCACTCTTGAGGACTTGGTTGGGTCTCAGGCTAATGATAAGGGCCCTTCTGATAAAAAATAGATTTCTCTTCAGTATGGCTTTGGGTCAAGACAACTTAAAAAAGGTTAACTCCTAAGGAAATCCACAAGTTTTTTACTCGATATCATGACTTCTCAAGGTGGAGTAGTCCAACTTTTTGCACTTGTTAGTTCTGATGTTATTGCAGTGTAATTGTCAATTCTCAACCTTGTGGCTAAGTCCACCGTGTGGCTTTGGTAAATTTATTGTAGTGGACACGACCCGATTATGTACTAGGCTGTGTGTCATAGTTTTGTGATGTTCTTGACAAAAGTAACAAAACTAATTATGGAAATGTTTCCCTTTGAATCACTATATTGTCATGTTAGCTACTCCCTCCGTTTCACAATGTAAGACTTTCTAGCATTGCCCACATACATATAGCTGTTAATGAATCTAGACATATATATGTGTTTAGATTTATTAACATCTAAATGAATATGGACAATGCTAGAAAGTCTTACGGGAAATGTTTACTGGAGGAAGTACCATTTGATTTCAAAGTATGAAATGTTTACTGGAAAGAGATGCAAATCTCACAGGGAAGAACCAACAAGTAATCTGATATTCACTTTTTACAACCTCACGCTGAGGCAACAAGTGAAACTCGAGATGTTTCTTTTGGTATGTATTATCAGCTAGTCTGAAACTGATGGTGCCTCTATATGTATTATCAGTTGCTTGATATGATATTAAAGAATCTGCTCTCAAGTACATTACCTGTGGCATAACGGAAGAGGCTCTATTGTACATTCCATCTCACAGAAGTTCACAAGTTTTTTGCTCAATGTCATCGCTTGTCAAGGTGGAGTAGTCCAACTTTTTACACTTGTTAGTTATGATTATGAACTTATGATGCGATTTGCTCAATGTCATCGCTTGTCAAGGTGTAGTCCAACTTTTTACACTTGTTAGTTATGATTATGAACTTATGATGCGATTGCAGTGTACTGGCCTTGCTGAAAGTCACAACTTTTTTCTTTGAAACAAGAAAGTCACTACATTGAGGCTAAGTCCACATATCACGCTAGTAGTTTTATATTGTGGTGGACAACCTGATTCTGTACTAGGTTTTGTGTCATAGTTTCATGTTCTGTGATGCTCTTGACCAAACTACTACTCCCTCTGTCCCAAAATATAAGCATTTTTAGCATAGTGATAAGTTAAACATTTTCAACTTTAACTATTAATAAAAAAAGATCAATCATGTAAAATTGATGTTACTAGACTTATCATTAAACAAATTATCATAATATGTAAGTCTTTTTATTTAAAACATATTACTTTTATAGATATTGTTGGTCAAAGTAGCATCTCGGAGACCGTGTTTAAGTCTAAAAATGCTTATATTTTGGGACAGATGGAGTAGTTATTATGGGAATGTTTCTCATCTGTATACATACTGTACTATGTAGTCGTGTTACCTGCAATTTGACCTGAAAGTACGAGAAGTTTGCTACTGGAAAGGAAGAGCTGCAAATCTCACAGTGAACAACGTAGACGGTCCTGATGTTTTGAAGGGACACGTGGATGGTTGGATGGATTCTTCGGCTCTGTGGAGAGACTGCCCGGCCCATTGAGACATTGACCAATATGGAGTGGGCCCATATATGGGCTTGCCGACTTCGAGGATGAGGTCAAAGTCCAAGTCAAAGTCAAGCCATCCGTCTCACTACGGCGAATTGGTGATCAATAAATCAAATTAATCATGGTCCGCTTCCACACTGCCATCAAAACTGATGGATGACGATGATGGATCATCATCTGCAACTGCAGCCAGATGGTGACACAAAACAGGGGCATGTACGACTATTATTTATTATACTCTATTCGTCCTAAAATATAAAAGATTTTGCCCAAACGTGACACATTCTAATACAACGGAATTTAGACGGTACTTCGTTATACTAAGACCCGGTTTAATTCAGGTTAGGATTATTATAATCTAAATTATTAGAAGTAAGTTAAAACAAACAGATAGCATTACTATAATCTGGTAATCCACTCTAAATGTACTTTTTAAGATAATTGGGTGATTAACATCTAACAAACAATTAATAATCCAGAGAAACAACAGCTGACTGCTTATTCTATGTTGGTTTATTATAATCCAGCTCATGATATTCTGCCTCAATAATTTAGATTGCAATAATCTTAAACTAAAACAAACAGGTGTTATATCCAATAAAAAAAAACCTTATATTTAGGAATAGATGGAGTACTGTACATTTCAAATGCATCTCCACCTGATTATTGCAAGCTGCATGCCGTCCACCAAGGGGCAACTCTCAATTCCATACCATCTACGTTATCAACACCTTCGCTTTCAATATACGGCGTTTTTCAATATACGACTATCATTTACCTTTCGATAAATATTTGACCATTTATTTTATTAAAATATTATATAATTATTACTTATTTTATTGTGATTTGATTTATCGATAAGTGATAAGTGTTATTTAAGTATGACAAACTTTTTTATATTTGTAAAAAAGAGTGAATAAAACGGATGATTAAACTTTCGTTAAAATGTTGTTGATGGTATATATTAAAAAATGAGGGGAATACTTGCCATTTCAGTATCATGAGTGATTACTGATTTCTACAAAAGAGAACGGCATCAGTTACAGTTACAGTTAAGAGTTAACTGTTCATTGTACTCTACGAAATCATTTTCTTCATGGAATTAATATAACAAATGTAGTACTCCGTAGTCCGTACTACGTACGACGTAATAACATGCTAGGCAAGTTGCTACGATTATACGATGGTCGGTGGGCAGCCAGGTTGGATCATTACTATTTTTCTTTGATTTTAACAACTAGACCGTGCATGGGTCGTACCTAGCACCCACGTTTCATCATCAATGTAATTGCACAATCTGACAGTCTTGTTTGCCACATGCTGGTTATCTTCATACCCTATACAACTCGATCCCTCCAAGATTAAGGTAGTTAGTGTTCGATGATCTAGTTGATTATAGGAATCGGTTCAATGTTATGCATAATAAACCAAACAAATAAAAAAATATTTTTCAAGAAGATATATTTTTAAAAGCATGGAATTAACAAATAATCTACGACAATAATTTGATAGATAATATAAAAAGAACATGACCTAAATCAATCATAAGCAACTGCGCTCTGAATCTCTAGTTTAATTAGTGCTAACAGAATTACAGAAACAGCATGATGCGAAGGTACTGCAGAGATTACGGATAGTGGGGTACACTCCAAGTCTCCAACATCTGTCATGATTCAACAAGATCATATACAATTATCATCTCTTCACCAACACATGGATGCTTTGATCATCTTGATCTCTTGAATTAATGTCTCGGATCAACACAGCCAGTAATATTTTACTCCTCGTCATTCGTTTCTTCTTGTTTTTTTCTTAGGCCTGATTTAGTTACCAACTTTTTCTTCAAACTTTTAACTTTTCTATCACGTCAAAACTTTTCTACACACACAAACTTTCAACTCTTCTATCACATCGTTCCAATTTTAATTAAACTTCTAATTTTAACGTGAACTAAACACAGCTTTAACGGAAAAGTATACAATAACCGCCTATGATGGATGCAAATGCAGTGTCAGGTTAGTTAAATGCTCACTGTCACACTCACATGCTCACTGATCCAGGAGATTAAGTTCGTTCAAGAGTTATCTAGGAAATCATCATACTGGTCTTATCTTGCATGTGACTACAAAATGACGATACTAACATAAAGTGTGTTAAGCCTGTGAGCTCTTGCATAACACATCATTGGTCTTAACCACCTGACCTGCCACGTAACTCCCTCCCATTAAATTCTTCTCTACCCCTTTTGCTTTCCCTTTTTCTTATATCCACACGAGTGTCTTTTTTTCTTTTATCAGTAGCAAATATCTGTAATTTTTACTACTGAGCACTCTTTGAAATGCAGTTTGCTCGTTTATACAGGAACTAAATTTCCTTCTATGAAAATATCATGAAATTTACATGTTCTCTTTTTTTTCTAAGCCAGGAGACATGCTTATGCTTATCAGCCAAAATTTAAATTTTCAACGTTATATTTGAAGTTGATTTTGGGGTTTTTTTCATCAAAGTTTATTTTCAGTTTTTACTTTTAAATCGCTAAGAATATATATATATATAAGTTTTATTCACAAATTATTTTTTGTTTGTAGATATATCGTTTGGTTTATTCCACGAATAAGCAGAACCATAGGGGCCATACCATGCGCACTTTTTTTGAGAAAAAAAATGAAGCTAGTCATATCAACCTTAAAGCGGTATGTATACTCCAGTGAGTTTTTGGACAAAGGGGCACACCAAAACGCAGTTATTATAGTTGGGGTAGTTGTTTGGTGAGCCAGGCAACTTCTTTGCTTTCCTAATCCTCACCAACCGACGAAAAAGCTAGTTATTGTTTTTCTAATTCTAAAATAAACAGAATTGTGATCAATTTAAACTAATGCTTGGAAAACAGAGAAATATACTAAAAATAAAAAACTGTATTTAGAAACAATCGAGTTTAATTTTCTGCTTTGCTCGTCATCACTCATCAGGTCATCAGTCTAAAGTCCAGTCTTCTTCCTTTCAGGCTTCCATGTTGTTCACAAGTGAAAGAGAAAGACAAAGAATTCTTCTCCAATCTCGATGCAATCGTCATAACCTTAAACAAAAACGAAGCAAAATATAATACTAGTATTATTCCTTCTAGAATAAGAGTGCAAACTGCTTAATAGTGATATTTCGTTTTAGATTTCTTGTCATTCTAAGTTTCTCCTAAGTCAAACATAACTATTTTTGTCCATTAATTTTTAAAATTCCGTAGAGTTTAACAACATATAAATTATAATAAAACTATTTTCTTTTAGTGGATTTAAAAATATTAACAGTTAAAAATTATACTTGACTTAGGTTTAGACTTATAATAAACTAATTAAAACGATAAGTAAGTTAAAATTAAAAATATATTTAAAAATGTTCAGTAGGTGTGTGTGACAGGTCCTGATCGTTTCCACTACAGATGAAATTTTGGATTTTCGTGGCATGCTTTTTAAACCGCTAAACGGTGTATTTCGTGCGAAAAATTTATATATAAAAGTTATTCCAAAATATCAGATTAATCCATTTTTCAAGTTTGTAATAATTAAAACTCAATTAATCACATGTTATTAGTACCTCGTTTTGCGTGAAACACTTAATCTTCATATACGTTTTCATCTTCATATTCAGGAGATTCAAACACCACCTTAGGTTTAGACTAATACTAATAAACTAAAACGATAAGTAAGTTAAAATTAAAAAAATATTAAAAAAATATCAGTAGGTGTGTGTGACTGTGAGAGAGAAAGGGGAGAACCTGAGACTGATGAGAGGGAGAGGGATAAAACAAATCAATATGAGGCAAAGCTCCCAACTTTGACTGCTGCTTAGCCCAAGTCCAAGTCTTTCTTCCTCCTCCGACCTCCCCCCATCTCCATCTCCGTGCTCATCTGCCTTCTTCTCTCCCCTTTCCCCGTCGCTTCCTGCCTGGATCGCACACACAAAGAGATCCCTCGCAGGCGGAGTGGTGCTTCCCCTCTCGGATCATCTTCGCCTCTGCAAGATTGGCAAGGTATCATCTTTTCTTTTCCATCTCTTTTCTTTTTTTTTTTGGTTGAGATGTTGTGTATGTATGCTAACTAGGGTAGGTGATAACTGTACTTGTTCTTGTTGCGTTTTGCGTTCGAGAGTGTTTTGACTTTGGAATCGTACATCTTGCCATGTTTTTTCCTTCCTGATTTGTTGTCAGGAATAGCGGTAGTTTTGGTAGGATTAAGGTTGGTTGATGATTCGGTTTAATTAACGCTAGTTGCGGTATGTATGACTGTATGGTTTCATCAGGCCTGGTGCTATTTCGCCCTCGTCATGCTGTTTTCCCCAATCTTGAGCTTAGGCATGTTTGCATTTACAGAATTCTCTCAGCACTCAATTTCTGTCCCTGGGGTGTAAAGGCCCAGTTTTTGTCCTACTTCCTGTTGATTGTTGCTGTAATTGGATCCTGGAACAGTAAAAATGCTTGTTTTTTTAGATTTGATATACTTGTCAGTTCATGATAAGATCTTCCCTTCACACATGTTAGCTGGTGTCATTTTGCATAATTCAGGCTCCAAAGTTTTTTCTGTCCTTATTTCAGTACTAAAATTATTGCTTGAAGCAAGGGAAAGCATTTCCTAGTCAGGAAACTTAAGAAAGTAATTGATAGTTTTATACCTGTTCTAATTCACAGTAGTTAGCAGCCATTCCTAATGGATCTTCTCGGTCCAATTCTCTATTTGTGTTTGTGTTGCATGGAGGAAGCATGAATTAGCTCCTAATTTGTTCCCACTGCATTGCAGCAATGAGGTGCCTGCCTTTCTTGCATGGAGATTCCAAAGAGGAGGATCCCGTCAACAAGTCGGCTTCTGTCCGGTCGTTGAGCACAACATCGACGGAGCGGGATGTCCGGTCCGGCTCCGACTTCAACTCCTTGAATGTCTCTGACATGAGTGCCGAATCAATACGGAGGACACAGTATCCCAGCTTCACTGATCGGCCCAGTAACCTCAGGGTGTTCTCTTTCTCTGAGCTGAAGAATGCCACTCGCAATTTTAGCCGGTCTCTTATGGTTGGTGAGGGTGGGTTTGGATGTGTGTATAGGGGTGTCATCAAGAATTCCGATGAACCAACTGAGCGCACCGAGATTGCTGTTAAACAGCTGAATCGCAAAGGACTTCAGGCAAGTTATTTCTCGTCTGAACTGTACCGATTACAAGCTTTCAATGCACATAGCAACTTCCTTCTACTTGTACTGCATATCTTACATTATGTTTTTTTTCCCACATTTAAAAGGAGCGAAAATAAACCAGCATTTTCTAGTCACCAGTTCTATTTTCTTCAGAAAAGAAACCATTACTTTATTCAGGAAACCCGCACGACAATTTACAGTCAAGCATGGCATAAGAAATTCCTCTCAAGTGCACCTTGCTTGATGAATCCTTTTTAAGTCACTTATGCAGGAATCTAGCCTTATCCTCTAATTTGGGTTCTAATAAATTATCATGTTTTTCAGGGGCAGAAAGAATGGTTAACAGAACTGAATGTGCTTGGGATTGTAGAGCATCCAAACCTCGTCAAACTAATTGGCTACTGCGCTGAAGATGATGAAAGGGGCGTACAGCGTCTCCTAGTATACGAATACATGCCTAATGGAAGCGTGGATGATCACTTGTCAAGTAGGTCAAATTCAACTCTATCATGGCCAATGAGACTAAAAGTAGCTCTGGACGCTGCTCGGGGACTGAAGTATCTGCATGAAGAGATGGAATTTCAGGTAACTCTTTTGCTCTCTGATGATGAAAACTGCTACCAGTTGTACCTGAAACAGTTGTGCAATGTTGCATCACTTCCTATCTGCAATGAAATGTTGAAAGATGCACTTCTTTAGGTTTTTTTGTCTGCTATATCTATGGTGCTAAACTTAATATATACATGCAGGTTATCTTCCGTGACCTAAAAACATCTAACATTCTGTTAGATGAGAACTGGAATGCAAAGTTGTCTGACTTTGGATTGGCTAGGCATGGACCATCAGAAGGCCTGACCCATGTCTCTACAGCGGTATGTGCATTGATATACCAAGAACCATTTTACACTGCCCACATTTTTTTTAAAAAAATAGAGAACCATTTTGCACTTTTGTATTGTGACTGGATTTTCTGCCCCCAGAGTCTTTAACTTGGTGTATTGGGAAAAAAAAATGCATGATGACCTAAGAGAAATTAAGATAAAGAAAATCTCGATGATAATTGATGGTGTATGTGCATTTAGTAAGTTGGTTCTGTTTCACATCTATAACAGGATCCATTTTTTATACCAACGAAGTTGGACACTCAGTTGCTCCACAACCAATTGTAGAATTGCCTTGGACACATAATTGATCTCTGATTTATGTATCATAGTTTCTGAAGCAGTCAAAAAGCACTAGCATCTAGGAATGCAGCATTCATATATTTAACCAAAATAAAAGGGAAAATGGACCCATCACTCGTTTACAAAAAGCCAACACCATGTAGTGAAAGTTCAGTTTAAAGTGTTGATGCTAAGCATGCTTTATAATATTACAAATGATATAATATATAGATTCTCCCTGCACTAAATTTCCAAGTAGATTCTCCCTGCACTAAATTTCCAAGTAGATTCTCCCTGTACTAAATTTCAAAGCCTCACTTCTTTGTTCTTTCACTGAACTAACATCTGAAATTCACAGGTCGTGGGAACTCTTGGGTATGCAGCTCCGGAGTACATGCAGACCGGACGCCTCACTGCCAAGAGTGACATATGGGGCTATGGTGTGCTCCTTTATGAGCTCATCACCGGCCGCCGTCCCATTGACCGGAACCGCCCAAAGGGTGAGCAGAAGCTCCTGGATTGGGTGAAACCATACATATCTGATATCAAGCGGTTCCCCATCATCATAGACCCACGGCTAGAGGGGCACTACAACCTCAAGTCCATGACAAAGCTGGCTAGTGTGGCGAACCGCTGTCTCGTCCGGCTACCAAAGTCGCGCCCAAAGATGAGTGAGGTGTATGAGATGGTTCAGAAGATTGTGGCCAGCATTGAGACCGGCACACCACAGCCTCCTCTGCACTACCATGGGTCGGTTTCTGAACCGGGCTCAAAGCGGCCAAAGAAGGGGTCACTGAAGAGAAGGTTCCAAGAATTCAAATTCGGTTGCCGGCAGATTGTATGGCGGAGCTGGAAGCCTGAGATCATAAAGACTTGCTGAGAGAATACAGTAGCTTCCTGCCTGTAAGTATATAGCTAAGTTGTTCATAGGGATAAAGCTCTTCTTCCTCTGTATGCTTCCTGTCCTTGGGGTGATCTGATCCCATTTCGGGCACACAGTTGAGTACTTGAGTTGCAGTGTGAAGCTTTTTATCTTATAGGGTTCTGTGTGATGCATCTTGAGGTTGTAGATTCCATGTGTTTTCAGTATAATCCCTGTGGCTTTCCTCATCATGTAATATAGATCTTGTTTGTGCAATATGAAAGAAAAAAAAAGATGAGCTTTCTTGTATGAAAGAAAAGGGGATTGGATTGCTGGGGATGATTCAGATTGAGGCAAGATGTGGCCTGAATGATGGATTTGCCGCCGGCCAATCGGAATATTGTAGCTTATCTCAACCTCGATTTCAGAACGATCCGATGGCCGGCGTTACATGCTAGCCATTCTTTTGATTAAGATAAGACTCGGCGGCGCAGATTGAAAGAGACCCTTCTTCCAATTGGGAAAACTAAATATGCAGATTTTGCACAATTTGAGCTTCAGAAACTGAAAATACAAGTCAATTTGTCTGTCCAGGATCCAAGTCCAACAGGCAGGCTGCATGATGGTTTCCTATCCAAGATGGTTCAATTCATGGTGAAGATTCTGTGCAGAGAGCATCCTGGTGTGGTGACAAATTTCTCTGAATACTTTTCTGGTTGTGGTGGTCACCTTCTTGTGGCTTCTGTAGAAAAGCACTGTGAGTGACTGGAAGCAAAGGAATTCTTCAGACTTTCTTCCATTCCATGAAACGTCATCTTCTCAACTTTTTCGTGATATGATATAACCGAGCAGAAATTTCGGCAGATTTTGGTGGTAGGCATGCCATTGTTGGGCACCTTTCAATTTTGACAAAAAACCGATCCGTCTCGGTTCGCGTGCCGAAACGAAAGTGCTTGCTAAGTTGCTGCTACAACTCCTGGCTAACAAGAGTTCAGGCTTAATTCCCACGTTGATGCAGAGGGGAAAAAAGGGGAGGATTTCTTTCTCCCTGTTCACTATCATCTTCAGAGATCTGCACATGGTGTGTGGCTATCAACCTTGTGATCGTGTCCCCATTGTTACAGCAGCAAAGATGCCATCTTTTTCACCCTAAATTGACAGTGCAGCAAAGTTCTCAACTGTACTACTGTCTAGCAAAAATATTCTTCTGGTACCAAGTGTAGCTCATTTAGTTAGGTCCCTTATGGTAGACCTTACCTATCCCGGTTTAAACTCTAGACTTGATATTAATGTTTATATTCACGGCTTATTTTTCTTTTAGTGATTAGAGGCGGAGCGAGGTATCTGTGCTAACTTCATCGATCTCAAGACACACTGGTTCAATCTCTTGGATGTGTTCATGGGAATAGGATGTGTGTACGCACGTATGTGAGCGTTTGTGTTTGTATCGTGTTTCCAAAAAAAATATTCTTCTGGTGTGTTTGATTTCCAGGGAAGCAAGCAAACACATGCATGTTTCTGGCCTAGAAATTCTGCCTGAGATGCGGTGCAGGGCACATGGTTTGCCTTGTCCTCTTCACACACATCCACTCCATTCCATCGCCTGGTATTTGCCAGTTGCAGCTGATGGCGAAGTCTGCCTGCATTCTGAAGCAACAACACGCCCATCTCCCATCTGTGTATTTTGTGCTGCTGCTTGTACCAGTCTCACTGTTTTAGCTAGCTGGATTCAGAATCTCCATTGATTTATACAGCTTGCGAACCCAGTTAGGAAAAGACTGAAAGTAGAATTAACTTGCTGTCACAAGGATGAATTACTGAAAATCTGATATTGTTTCATCGGTTGAAAATCAAACGACTGTAGATTTTCATGGGAAGAAGAGTTCATAACTCCTGAATTTTCCAACCTGTTTCTATCTGAAGATGGTGGCATCATCGCCTATCAAGGCCAAGGATGTGACACCATTCATGACCCTTTCAGTTTTTCCTTTCGGTTTTGTCATATATACTTGGAATCATTTTCCTGTGTAAAAGTTAAAACCGTCCAAGCATCACTAGTTTTGTTATGTTCTGAAAAGTTCTTTTTTCACATTGTAAAAAACCCAGTCGTCATGTTGGATGTTTCTTTCTCGTATATACTTATCTTCCCTTTCTGAACATAAGCTTTCAGATGAATTGACATGAACAACAGTGAATATCTTTTTAAGCTTCATGTAATGAAACTTTTCTACTTAATTGAAGTTCTAGACTTTCTACTGATGCTCGTATTTTTTTTAGATTTAACCTCAAAAGTATTTCATATACACGTGGGTGCATTTAATGGTAAGGATAAGCCCAATCTCTTTATAAACATGAGTGTGGTGTGTGCGCAAGTGAGTTCGACTTATATTTGGAAGCTTTATATTTATGATCATTTTGCTGGGGTCACTCAATCTATCTACCATCCGAATGTCCAGCTTTTGGAGGTGCCTAATTGCACAAGCATCTCATCCAAGTCATCATGATTATGATCTGTGAGCCTACTTTTTTTAGCCTAAATAATACTTTTTTTCCTCTTCACGGATCAGTAATGATTTTCTCTGTTTGTTTTCCCTATCACAAATAGTGAAAAGCACAGGCTTGAGCATGACCACCACAATTAATTCCAGCCATCATCTCTGTATATCAATCAGGTACCGTGAAAGAGAACAGCAAGGGGGTGTAGCTGAAGCAACATATACATACCTAGTAAAAACCTACTACCTCCGTCCCAAAATAAACACAACCATGAATTTTCGTGTCCAATTTTAATCGGCCGTTTTATATAATTTTTTTTTATGATTAGTATTTTTATTGTTATTAGATTATAAAATATGAATAGTATTTTATGCATGACTTATATTTTTTAGTTTTTCAAGAAAAAAACAAATAAGACGGACGATTAAAGTTAGACACAAAAACTCATGGCTGTGTTTATTTTAGGACGGAGGGAGTACAAATCACCTTCCAGAATATAAAGACTACTTCTATCATAGTAGTATCATTTAGGTGTGGAGATGAACATTCAGAAGGTTTAGAGATCCAATTAATCTACCTGTTGATGACGACGGGAAGATATGACTAATGGTAGAGAGGATAATGGTTTTAATTCAAGCCCATCATGCATGGCCGGGATGCAACAACAATTATTGTTTGGCATAGTTTAACCAAACGATATAATAAGCAATACAGTAAAATATTTCTTTTAAAGTTAAAAAGTATTTTAGAGACGTGGAAAAAACACGATCTTTGTATGAGGTCCAAACACATAAGGTATATTTACTTTCACTCGAGAACTTAGTGAGTTTCACGAATTTATCCCTCTTATTCATCCTCTATAGCTTTTTTAAGCGTGTTAAAAAGATATTACACGGTAACACGGGTAGTGTTTTGATGGATACTAGCAGACGGTGCACATATGTTTTCCATATATTCCATAATCGAAAAAGAATACTAGAAAATAATCAAACAAATGAAATGAATAAAAAAGGAAAAGTAATAAGATAAAGGTACAAATGAGACTCAGAGGAAGTGGTTTGCAACCATACTTTATCATCATTTGCGGATAAATAATGCTATGTTTATCTAAGTTAAGACAATCAAATTTTTGGCCATACCTTAATTAGCAAGCTACACTTTTTTTTATCCTTGATGTGTGGAACTTAATTTATATGGTTTGTGGCTACAACAAAACAGTTGTCAAGTTGATTAAACATATCTAAATTTAAACGTGATAAATTGTGACCGATAATCAAACACCCCTAACCACGCAGCCAACGGAAGCTTTACTTTTATACTTTAGTAAGGTTCATGATTTGATCCTACTCTTCATCTATACACAGGTCGTGCACTTGTGATAGACGATAGTCATACTTCTCTGCCCTTAAAAAAATTATTTCTAGCATTGAACCTGGACACACAAGTATTAGGTTTTTTATAGGATGGAAATGGTAAATCTTTGTGGTTTACGTGTATAGTAATGTGTCCACGTGTATCCTCTCTGTCACCATTAAAATAAAATAATAAATATATACCACTTCATATAGCGGTAGTAGGAGTACAGTACATAGTATAGATTAAAAAAACGAGAAATTCTATGAGTAAATTGGGGTTGATGTTGAAGGACAAAAACAAGAGAGAGAGAGAGGTTTGGACTCACGCAATTCGCCCAGACCCCTCTGAAACTGAAAGCCAAAGCCCTCCAGTTGGACGCATCCGGGGGTACGATCCCCCCGTGGGACCCACCGCCCCCTGACAGCCGTCAGATGCCCAACAGAGCGCTCAGATTCCCTCGGAACGCGAGCCCCCCCCTCCCCTTCACTCGCGTACCGCTGACGTCAACGCCCCCACTGCTCACGTGGGGCCCCACTACCCGCTGACGCGATCCACTGGTCGACGGTGCGCCGCGCTGCCGCTTTTCACCTTGCCCCTCTGTTTTCTTCTAATTAACCATATTTACTTTTTTTACTTCATGGGCTCACTGCCACCCAAATGGAGAAAATGGAAATGCAGCGTGATTCATCACCCAGTCAGTACAGTGATTTTTTTTAAAAAAAAAATTCCAACGCAATGCAGTGCTTTTCCTAATCACCACCACTTAGTTAGTTGTACTCGTTTTAGCTTGATCATGGCAGTAGTGCTCCCTCCGTTATTGAAGTAGATAATGACGATGTTTAAGTTTATACCTTGGATGCTGGTCTTGTTTTACTGAAATTACTTGCAAGTATGTTATATCATCGAAATGTGTAACGTCTTATATATAACCATACAACTCGTAATTACTTAGGAGTATTTATTGAGAGTGGAGGAAATAATAGTGCAGGTATTATTGAGTCTTTGCGGGTTATCAGACCAATCCTGAGCCTAGTTAGGTTTAGGTTGATATCAATTCTAAGCTATATTCTCTTTCTCTAAAATTCAACCAATTCATACATATCTAACAATATGTTTACAAAAGGAAACTCTTGATGCACTTGTTTTCTTTTTTTTGCCTAACCCATTACACAAAAAGCCTGTGTTATCACGATATTATTGATATCCATGTTTTAATTCTTCCATTCCTCCAACGCATTGTGGTCTATTATCTTAGTTATAGCTACCATTGCTGTTATGGGTCATGTTTTGCCATGCTACAAATGTCAACATCGACAAAGCATGTGGCCACGAAGAAAGATAAACCATCTTTTCTCAATATTTATCAATTTTAAATACTAGCACATACAAAAATATATTTTAAAACTTGCAATGAGCTTAGCACAATTTAACAAAAAAAAATTGAAAACATACATAAGTCTATAATATACATTATATATGTATATATCGAGATATATAAGTCTATTCATGGTCAGGTTAAAAAAATCTTAAGAAAATCAAGAAAAATAGGAAAATCTTTCATATTCTCTCTTATCACTTGCACAAAGTAGAGGTTTTTTTATTTTTAGGCTATTGACCTTTCACATGCTTAGAATGGTTTGAAAAATTAGAGACTTTTTTCTTCTATTGGCTGATCTTATCACGAGAACTTTCTCCATTTATGTTTTATTTCCTCTTATTCTAATTGGGTGGGGTATAAACGTATTCGCGCACTGCATATACCCATATGGCTGGGTATTAATTTTCAGTGATATACCTCTTGTCTGTTTTGGTGAGAGGTTGAAACAACATGCATCCCTTGGAAAAACCTCTGAGTTCAAAACTTTGTAATTTTTCTTAAGCGGATTTGTTGGAGCGATTTTCAGTAGGTACCTCTTCTATTAGAAATAGGGTACTAGAATATTCTCAAGGGATTATGACTAGTGCATTTTGAACAAACTGTAGTAGAGTTTTATCACCAATTTCCTTGTTTTCTCTAAATTGAATCAATTCATTGTCTACAAAAGGAAACTCTTGAGACACGAGTTCTTTTTTGCCTAACCCATTACGCAGAAAGCCTGTGTTATCACAATATTATCGATATCTATGTTTCAGTCCTTCCATTCCTCCAACACAGTGCGGTCTATTATGTTAGTTATAGCTAGTGGTACTATTGTTGTTATGGGCCATATGTTTGCCATGCTACAAATGTCAACATCGACAAAGCAAGTGGCCACGAAGAAAGATAAACCATATTTTTCTCAATATTTATCAATTTTAAATACTAGCACATACGAAGTTAGCTTTTAAAAACTTGCAATGAACTTAGCACAATTTAACAAAAAAATTGAAAACATACATAACTTATACAACAACTCTTTTATTTGGATTAAAAAAGACCTTATATTTTCCATGTCAAACATGGCAAAATCATGTGGCTACGAAGAAAGGTGAACCATATTTTATCAATATGTATCCATTTTAAATCACTATAATAAGTTAGCTTCTAAAACCTACAATGAACTCTGCACAACTCGACAAAAAAGGTAGAAAAAGAACAACATAGAAAAAAACCGGTCAAATTACATGACGACTTTATTTAATCAAACGAGCACACTGTCTGAGACGTAGTATTAAAAACCAATTCATTTTATTAATCACCAGTCTTTAAAATCAATTCTGGCATACTCCTACCTAATTCCTAGGTCAATTTTTTCTCATCAAATTCAAACAAAAGGTCAACAAAATGTCATAAATAAAACAACCAAAAAAATTTCAAAGAGCCGTCGTCCTTGCCGCCACACAAGAGGAGAAGGCCATCTTGTTCACTCCAACCCCCACAAACAAACAACAAAATTTCAAGGTCCTATCCACAAAACACACACGCACCACGCTATAAACACAAGAGCATATGCCACCTCAAAAAAAAAAAAAAAACTCAAGAACACAAGAAAAAAGAAGCAGTTTTTTTTGCCCGTCTCATCTTCTTCTTCTCCCTCTCGCCGCGCTTCTTGCACGCAGCAATCTCTCTCTCTCTCGCCGCCGTCAATCCCACCACGAATTCTCCGGTGGCTGGCTGCTCTCGACTCCTTCGCGCGTCGATTTCATGCGGCCGGGTGGTTGCCCGCCTCCTCCCGAACGATCCCTCGCCGCCGCCGCTGCCGCTCATCGGCGTTGTCATCCACCACCGCCGCCGCTCCTCCGCCGCGGACGTGCCTCGCCGGCGGCGAGCCGAGCGGTGAGTTCTGCCCCGTGTGGTGTGGACTCGTAGAGTGGCCGTGGATCTGCCGCGGCGACGTAATCTGCTCCGGTTTTTCCTCGACCTCTCGATCCCTCTTCTACCCTCGCGTCCCCAACTCCTATCCGCGCTCAGGATCGTATTCCGGGGAATCGCAGGGCTCGCCGTCGAAAGGATCCAATTTTTTTCGACTGCAGAATCCCCTCACGGACGCGAGGAATTTCGTCGTAGGTGGAGCACACGCGGTTAGTCCTTTCCTCGAATATTCCTCTTATTTTTTTTCTAATTTAAGTTTATTTACTCCCATAGCTTTGCTGATCGATGCGGTTGCAGGAGGGAAAAACTTTGTGTGATCTTGAGATGTTCGTGTACTGATTTTTTTTGTTTTGGTTATCATCTCTTTTCATATTGCGTTTTTTTTTTGGGGGGGGGGGGAGGGGGGGGAGTTTCTAGGCCGGATTATCGCGCTGTCTGGTGATTTTGTAAGCTTATGAACTGGCAGTGGTGCAACAAAAAGGGTTGCTTTTTTTTTTTTATGTTTTTCCCCTTTCTTTATTGGAAATGATTAGGTCCATGAACCGAAAGGAAGAAAGCTGCAATCTTGCATGTTAAGGTAGCAGCAGTTTGGTTCATGATCGTTGAAGCTACACTTTAGGTCAAAACCGCGTGTTTGTTTCTTTGTTTGTCTTCGATTGGGAAAAGCTTGTTGGATTATAATACTTTTGCAACTTTTTCATCATTGGTTCTCCTTGAGACAATAGCTGTGCGGAAAAGCAATATACCTAGATACAGGTATAGTTATTTTTTAATTAATACTAGCTTAATTGTTCGTATCAAAAGGTTAAACGCACATATCAGATGTAGTTACAAAGCAGTAGGCTATTTTAAGTTTGCTAAAGAAAAGTATTGGATTGGCTTGGACTGAATTGTTAGACCGTTGCAACCTTTAGTTTGTTGGTGTGGTGGGGATAACGATATTGGACCCTTTCAGTCAGTGTGCAGCGAACGAAAAATGTTTTGTTCTTGCTTATTAGTATTAGGTTGCTGATTTGGTTGCTTGGAGTGATACACAGGACGCGCTAGAGTATCTAATAATTCCACCGTGGTCCCTGGAGGACTGTGTAATGATTCGTTAGCTGTCTGCAATCTGCCATTCTTATCATCGCACATTTAATGTGATGATGAAATGACGCATTTCTGTCAAGTCTCACCAGTCACCAGAGCTCAACTTTGATGAAACCGAGAATATCAGCCTTTTTTTTTTTGCTCTCTCTATCTGGTGTTAATACCCTGACGCTTAAATCGTAATCTTCTTGCCAGGGGAGTGTTTTTGACAGAGCTTGATTTCAACGGATGAACATGTGTGAGAAAGATCAAAATTTCCACTGGGGTTATGACCTTTTCCGTGACCCTTTTGCTCCTATCGGGTACTATGGACCTCCTCATGGTTACGGTGATGGCAACTATTGTGACCTCCATTATGCTAGAGGTAGTTTTGTGGAATGACATGCATGTATTTACAGAAAAAAACTATGAAAAATGAGATAGTGTTCCTCATGTATATGATTTTGGTTCTGCAGATGCATCACATCTGGATGAGACGCACTTGCATTCTTCTGCACTGACATATGATTTGTACAACCCATCAGTAGGCATCTACCATCCTGGTAGTGAAAATATCTGTAATTTGACTCGCAAAATATTTGTTCCTTCTGCCTTTCCCCCTAATGCTTTTGGTGTGGTGCAGGAAATGCTGGTGAGCATGACCATGACACAGTCTATATAGAGCCGACTAGTTCCAATTCATGCCCAGACACTGACGACAGTTTCCCAATGGATGAAGAAGTAGGAAAGAGGTTTTACCCCATGGTGCCAGTTCCCGTAAGTCTATTGACCCTTTGAAGCCAGGTTAATAAGTAGTGTTGTTATGATTTTTGATCTGCATCAGGAACCACCAGAAGATAGGAAGTTTTGCTTCAAAGGAAACTAGGAAGGACCTAACATCTGTTCAATTCACCAAATGAAACATGGGCAGTTGCTTTATTATTAAGTTATTAGTAGCTACTAAGCAGGGTCGATAGTAGCTAATATATTTACAAAACACCTTTATATGTTTATTAATCCATGGCTAAAATCTCATTGAGAGGGAGTATCGCTTTATATCGTTGTCAATTGGACCACTTCCTTTAAATGCCATTGGACTTAAATAACGGATGTGACACCAAATGCTTCCATGAGTCTTTAGGTACATTGAAAGAACAATTAAATTTGGATATTCTTTGGTCTGTTTTTGTCCAAGTTTTGTGGATTGAGTTTTGCTTTCAAGCCATGTATACTGAATTCCTTGTGTCATTGTGGTTGCCATATGTTATTGCTTGCCCATGTTGTGTGTATCCTGAGAAAACATAAATGCACAAAGTGCATAGTATCAGCATAATTTCAAGGCACAACAGTTATCTGAAGTTCAGAACTTCTCAAATAACTAAAACCATGCTAGTTATTGCTTTAAACTAGTATTATCCCACAGTGTTATACTGTTGCATAGCAGTAGAGCTACTGTCCTTTTCTTTTCCAATAATTGTTCAGAAATCAGATGGAAATGAACCTACTGTGAATTAGTTTGGCGTCTCTCTCTACATTCTCACATTTGGTTAAAGTACTTGTTTCTGCCTTGTCCAGCATGTTCCTAAAATTAATGGAGAGATCCCTTCAGTCGATGAAGCTACCATGGACCATGAAAGGCTGACAGAAAGGTCAACTTAGTTTCAGTTCTAAGTGATATACTGCTTTTGTGTTATATATGCAAGCCTCACACCTTATCATACCCTGTTTGTGTTACAAATGCCTCTGAAAGAATTGCGCTTTCTGTGATGGGCCAAGTTACTAACATATGATTCAGTTTTTCCTTAACTTTTTTTTTACTATACATGCTGTATCTATGTTGAGTTTTTAAATTTGTATTTATGTAATCTTGTAGGTTGAGGTTGTATGAACTAGTTGAGCACAAGGTGAAAGGAGATGGCAACTGTCAGGTTAGTACCAACTAACAACCTCACCATGATGCTTGGCTCTTTTCCCTATTAAACCATTTTTCCCCTAAAAATATCTTTCCTTTACCCCCTCTGCTTTGGCACATGGTTATCCTATAGTGTTAATAGTGAAGTTTTAGCATTACCATATCAGCGGTTGGGGTAGTTCATGTGCTTGAATATTAGTATAAAGTTTCATTACTGCTGTTAAACATGCGTTGTGAAAGACGTATCAATTGATGCTGATTGTGTTTCCTCAACCTCCCCAGTTTCGGGCACTATCAGATCAACTGTATCAAAGTCCCGATCACCATGAGTTTGTGAGGCAGCAGATTATGAGCCAGGTAAATATCTGCATTAATCTTTGCTCCAGGATCCCTAGTTTCAGGCTTTATTTTGCATCCTTCCATCTCTCTTCCTTCTGATGAACCATCCGTCTCCCAGCTTAAAAGTAACCGTGATGCCTACGATGGATATGTCCCCATGGCATATGACGATTACTTGGAGAAAGTATCACAGTATGTTCCACAGCAATTCAATCATTTGTTGTTAATACAAACCAAGTGCATGTGAATGCTTGCCTAACAGATGTTTTAGTGCATAAACTAACAGAAATGGTGAATGGGGTGACCATGTGACTCTACAGGCTGCTGCTGACAAGGTGTTTATACAAATCTCTCTCCCTGCTGTCTCATTCATGGCATTACAAATCAGAGCTGACAAAGACTAGTCTTTTCTATTTCCAAAGCCGTTCTAATGTAACGCTACAATCTGCTGCAGTATGGAGTTAAGATTTTCGTGATGACATCGTTCAAGGATACGTGCTACATTGAGATCCAACCAAAGGTTCAGAAGTCCAACAAAGGTACTAATATGCACATGGCAAGTGATCATAGTGGATAGATCATAGATGATGACAGGTTTGGCTTGATCTGATGCTCCCCATTTGACTTGATTGATTGCAGTGGTGCTGTTGAGCTTTTGGGCGGAGGTTCACTACAACTCCATATATCCGCAGAACGGTGAGTAGGCCCTGCCTGCCATTGGCATACGATGCAATGCATGTCCGGTCTTCGTCGCCAGCGTATGCAACCACCATTACACAAGCTGCTGCTGTCTTGTTCGCCTCAAGAATCAATCTGAAGCTGCTGTTGTTTCTTGATTCTTTTTGTACATCAGATGCGCCGAGGTCGCAGACGACGAGGAAGAGGAGATGGTGGCCGTTCTCTCACAACCACCACCATCACCACCATTGATGCCTGGGCTGCAAAGCTTTTCTTCCTTGATCAAGATGACCCAGGTTGATCAAGATGACCCAGAAAGAAAGCTGGTGCTCATTGTCTTGTTGGTCTGATGACAATCATGGACATCTGATAGTAGGAGGAGGACATTGTGGTGATGATTATATATCTCCAAATGATATAGAAGATACATGGAAATATGGAATCCATGGAAGGAATAATTTCGTCTTAGTCCGGTCCGGTCCCGTATATAGCTGCTGCTGAGCTGCACTGCACTGCATTGCATTCCCTGAATCAATTATCAATCACCTCACCTGTATTATTATTTCTCAAAAATTTTGCCGGAATGAGGCTACAATTATTCATTCGGAACGAATGCCACCATATAATACCAATAATGATAATGATAATTGACATACTCCTACAGTTTGTTCATGGAGCAGCATCAACTGACATGAGATGAGACTACGAGAGGAGTATTCAATAATGGAGGCCCATTTGTTTACTATTGGGCCCAAAGCTCATATGGCACAGTATGGCATCCCTTTCCAAATGTTTACTGTAGCACAACATTATCAAATCATAGTGTAATTAGGTTTAAAAGATTCGTCTCGTAATTTACACACAAACTGTATAATTAGTTATTTTTTCGTTAATATTTAATGCTCCATACATGTGTTACGTTCGATATAACGGGGCAAAAATTTTTTGCCGGTGGTGGATCTAAACACCCCCAAGTTGTCATTCCCTGTGTTTGAACTCAAGTTGATTTCCTGTTCTGAAATTCTGAACATTTGTTGCTCCCTTAACTGTAGCAGCAGGTGATATATGCTCTACCAGCACAGTGTGATCACAACTAATAAGGTCTCTGTACCCATCTGAGATAGACAAGAGAGGAGAAAAAAAGATCAAGCTATTACTCCAAAGTCCAAACTCTTTGTTTTCTCATCTGAAAAGAAAAGAACAACCTTTCGTTTTCTGAAGGGGCTGCTCTTCTGTAGAGAGGTCGGCAAGGACTAGGAGGTAGAGGAGTAGTACAATGTTGAACTGCATGGTCAAGGGTTACGTACTACTCTTATCCAATCACAGATGAACATGTTAGCCTATCTGTAATATAATCTTCCTATTGATAATTGATTTCTGAATAAATGAACGTGTGAAGCAGGCAGTTTGAATGTTGAAATGGTCGGTCAGTCAGTTCAGGCACCGTCACCGCTCTTGTAGACCGACCATCCTACTAGTCTTTGTATATCTCTGCTCTACTTTTTTTTTCTTTAATAATAGAATTCATTCTAATCTTTACTTCAAAAAATTACAATCAATTTATTATATACTTTTTTTCTTTAATAAAAGAATTCATTCTAATCTTTACTTCAAAAAAATTACAAACAATTTATTATAGATGATGCAAGACGAACGACTCCAAATAACAAAATCACAGCTTAACTAAAAGCAAGAAAACTACTTAAAAATATCACCATAAAAACAAAGATTTTATATCCATGGATATCTATGGTTAACGAGAATTTGCATAACCATGGTTTCTTCACAGTTCGGCTTACAAGTTGCTTAACCATCTCTGCTCCTTTCTTTGGGAAATTTAACTATTTACCACTCTTGTGACATGGCAATTAAATATTTGCCACACACCCTGTCAATGATATGTGGGCCTAGTGACAAATCATTAAGCACCATTCGTAAGAGTGGCAAATAGTTAAAAGCCCCCTTTTCTTTGGCTCCGGTCTTCAGGATTCAGGCCTGACCCTTTGCGGCAAACACAATTACACATACATTTGTGCCATTGCTTGCTATAATTACTTAATATCTCTCTGGATTTCCTTTCATTGGGTCTTCTTATTTTGCTTTGATTTTTGAAGAAAGGAAACAAAGAAAAAAAAAAGAGATTCTGGCTAACGCAAAGCATTAAACAGGAGGAATCCTGCTCATCTCACGATGCTGCTGTAGGAAGTCGAGCCTGACATGAATGAACAAGAAGAAGAACGGAGAATGTCAAAAGAAATGGCGGCAACCGCACCGCACACGTGTAAAATTTGTACTGTTGCATACGATCACTTTAATTTCCTCCCAGAATCCTCTTTTTTTTTTAATAATCCTGAAAGTCTGAAACGAAGGTTATGAAGGAAGAATAGTATTCTTATTCTTATAGCAGAAGAGCAAAAATTAAAGCCAACTGATTGCCGAAAAAAAAAGGAGAGAGCATATATACAATCCATCCATCTAGGAGAAGAAGTATGTTATTGATAGTTGCTTTGCTTAATCTCCTTCGTTGCTGGATCAGATAAATCAGAGAATCTGACAGTACACAATTTTATCAATCCTCCCAATATTCGCGTACACATTAGCTAGCAAAAGCAGTTGGATTTCAGGTAGTATAATTTTTCTTTTAGTTTTTTTTAAGAAAAGAAAGAAGGAAAGAAAACAAAGAAAGACGCAGAGAGAGAGAGAGAGAGAGAGAGAGAGTTGGATTCTTCGTCCACCGTCTACTGTCTACCAGTACTCCTATCCTAGCTCTTTGGTTTCGTCTTTTCGATCAGCTGATAAAGGACTAATTGCGTATCAAGTTTTTGGTTTTGTTTTGCTGGCCTGATATTCTGATGAGTGAAGAAAAAAGGTGATTCATGGCGAGCTAATCTAAGCTAAGCTAAGCTAAGCTGGGGAAGAAGAGCAAGACAGTAAACTAACCAACGGAGACGAAGGTGGGTGGGCCCACCCAACGCGGCGCGCCGCGGCGACCGTTGATCGCCTTTTTTTTGGCGCGCACTGGGCTCGGACGCGGTCTGCACCCCCCGCGACCCGCTCTCCTTTCTCTCTCTTTCCTTTTTTTCCCCCTTGTTTCCTTTATTTTCAGAGACACTAGTTTATACGAAAAATTCAATGAAATAAAATTGTGAGACTACAAACCTTATAAATTTGATATGATCTATTACTATAAAACGAATGATGCATATAGAAAAAAAAATCTAAGGTTTCAATTTTTAAAAGAATATTTGGAAAGGTTTTTTTTTCCAATTTTGCAAAAAAAAAAAAATTACGAAACACTGACACACACACCTGTTCATATACATGCACCCACACTATACCCCTCTAAGCTAATTCAAGAATGAATCGGTATATCTAGATATTTGCCAAATGATTTTGTTTTTCAAACAGACGTGAAAATTTTGAATTGAGCAATTGAACATATAGAGATGCCATTTTTTAAAGAAAAATCTGGAATACCACTGCTAGCAATCAGAAGCTGATTACACATCATCCATGACTCAGTGTGTACGCTAACTGGAGTAGTAGTGGCACTAACAAACAATTGAATGGCAGTAATAGAAACCGTAGCGCCAGATAAACAAATCCAAAAGATTTGTCTTGTCCACGTCTTTGGATTAACACAAGAGTGCTCCTCATCACGTTGTGCAGCTGCAACCGCTTCTTCATCCAGAGACTTTTTTTTTTTACTTAACTCTTAGTATTACTATATATCTTGTGCTATTAATTGGAGCAATCAAGAACAACGAGCCAAGGTGTGTCCTATACACCAAAGACATTGACCAACTGTTAACATTGCTGTTTAATATTAACAACAACTAAGAAGAGAAGAATAGACGAGGCTAATTAAGCTAAAGACTTTCTTGGATTCCCTTGTAGAAAAGCCTAGCAAAAACAGCTAGTATCATCAAGGAAGCTAGAGGACCATTGGAACAAGCATTGCACGGTCAAATCCTTGCACCGTCGTAGAATTGACATTGTAATGCCATACATAACATGGTGCATTAACATTTTGTCAAACAAAGAGAGAGAGAGAGTACGTTTTTGACCGGCTACTTTCACCAAAAAAAGTGAAACCTGCATATATTCCTTTTTTTCCCCTACGCCGTTTGACATACGTATTCTAATTTCATGACAATTACTTAAGGCCATAAACAATCGAAATAAATATTAAAAATTTGAAAAAATAGCCCAAAAAAGTGTTCAATAGTTTTTTAATATAAAAATCGCACTAATTAACGGCTTGTAAAACGTGCTCGTAATAATTATTAGCTAAAATAAACAGGGCAATAGTACAATTCAATCTGTAAAGCTTTCTTTTTTTTAAAAAAAGAGTGGATACATAAAAGTAATATATTTGAGCTCGAATTGCATGTTATATCTAATCCAAAGGGTGGAGCACACACACATTAGGCATCGACACATGCAAGGAAGGAAGCATTTGATTGATGCAAGGAAGCAAAGAATCCAAAACAAGGAAGGGAGAACAGAACACTATAAAAGCGGAACAAAGAAGAAGAGAAGAGAAGAGGTAGAAGAAGAATAAGGTAGGACACACACACAACTCCACTAGATTTAATGACCCCCCCTTAAAATTAGGAGAAAATTAGGCGAAAAACAAATCCAAAAGCGAAGACCCAAGAGGAAGAAGGTTAATCAAACCAAGACAAGAGAGAGAGAGAGAGAAAGCAAGCACAGATAGAGAGAGAAACAAGAGAGAGAAGAAGAAGAAGAAGAAGAAGGGTAGAAGAGGACGCCGAGAGCGGCAGAGGGGTGAGGCCATGTGTACGCCATGGGCGTGCGCTGCGTGGACGTCGTGACACCTGCCGCCGCCCGCGCACCGCCATCGCCATGCCCATGCCGCCGCAATGCGCCTCCTCAAAACCCCCTTCTCCTCCTCCTCCTCCTCATCCCCACGAGCACGAGGTTTGCCACCGCCGCTGCCGCTTCTTGCCTTGCTTTGATCCGCCGCCGCGGGAGGCCTCTTCTTGATTCTTGATTTTGCAGGTAGGGGACGACATGGCGGAGGAGGCGCCGCCGCCGCCGCCGCCGCCCAAGCTCCTCTACATTGCCGTCTCCGACGCCGCCGCTCGCCGCGCCTTCCGCTACACGCGCCCCGTGCTTCAGGGCACCCTCCAACTCATGGGATGCAAGGCTCGCCATGCCTTCAAGGTATAATACCTATCTATCTTTCTATCTTCTTGTTCATCTTGATCCCAACAATGGAAAAACTGTGCCTGCTCTCTCTCTCTCTCTCTCTCCCGCTTAATTTCTGCCTAATCTGGCCCCGATCCAACTGGTGGCGATCTGATTGGCTCTCTCGTGATTCTTCCGCTTCGATTCGACTGGAAATTTTGCTGCTTCTCGTATCCAGCGTTGTGTATGGTTTGCACGTGCTGATGTGATAGATCCTTTTGCTCCTTTCTGTGAATTGCTTGCTTGTTCTTGGTTTAATTGATAGAATTGCATGCCGAGTATAGTATCTGGATGTTGTATGTTTTTTTTTTTTGGGGGGGGGGATGGATGATCTTGACAAAGAAAGGTGACGGGTTTTAGTGATTGATGTGCAGATTTGTTCTTAGCTCACATCCAGACTCTCTCAAGTCAGGTCTTTACACACACTGCTGTTGATTTGATCAAACTCTCTCACATCATTTTCGATATCTTTTTGCGCGAGGGCGTTCTTTGCAGGGGAAACCGGAACCTTTGTCAAATTCGAGCACCCAGCGCCTCACTTGGTTCTGATTCCGCGCAATTTTTATGTCCAAAAACCCAGCATATCTTTCAAGATATGTTCTTGTTGCATACTGAACTTGTCCTTTCGGAAATATACTTGTTTGTGACGAGTCATTGTCAGAGATATACTGCCATGCAAACTGTTGCCTAGCTGATGAGAATTACTGTACCTTTCTTGGTATTATTATGTTCTATCGACAAAGACAACACCATGCTGTATGATGTAGACCTGTTTGCCTTGCTTGATCTTTTTGCCTTGGGCCTGTAGTTTGATGGGTTGCCATTCTAGAAAGTATCTAGCAATTGACTTGAGTTGGTCATGGGTTCCCACTCGGTATGCGTTGTTCTTCCCTGACTTGGTCATGGCTGTTTGACATCTTTTTCCTTTCTCTGAAGGCACAATTTGGCTAGCTGCAAAAGAAACTAATTGCTGATGCCTACTTCTGTAGATCAGACTGCACAAAGTGTCCTTTTTTATTTCTCTCTTGACTTGTGAAGATAAGAAGTTTCTTTTTCATCTTTCTTTGGCATCATCAGATTAGCAAGAGGGTGTTCAATGTGATGAGGAGTGAATTCTTGGATGCATCCAAATCAGATACTGCAGATAATGAAGAAAATGCCCCTTCCCTTGTAAAAGATGTTGAGATGCTGAAGCCCAAAATTTTGGAAGCAACTCTTAGTAGCATACCCTTCGAGTTATACAAGACCCAAACAACCATCGTTGTTTCTAGGGAGAAGTTCCTAAGTGTTGTATGTGATGCCCTCTCTTCATACAAGTATGTGGGGCCAAACCAGAAGGCTGACTTTCTTCTTGCTTGCAGGTAACATGTTTTTCCTTGTTTCTGCATTTATAAATTCAGAAGTTACAATGAGTTACCAATCATCAGTTCATTACAGCCAATGGAAAGCTACCTGAATGCATTGAAATAACAATGGTTTTGTGCAACTGTGCATTTTCCAATTGTTCTGTTCAGAATTAAGGAGAGAAAGGAATCAGTGACAGTACTCTTATGTGGGACTAGCGGATGCGGCAAATCTACGCTATCATCTTTGTTGGTATGTTTATCACTTACGCGAACCATACAATTCCGGATGAGTGAATGCTCTACTGTACCAGCAACATAGTAGTAGTTTGTTACATGTTAAAGTATAATGCAAAACGTCTGTAGAACAAAATCCACTTGAAAAAAAAAATCCTTTCTAGACCTATCAATTACCTCATTGCTTTCAGAAGATTGTATCGCTTACCGAACAATGAATGATTCTGGGTCTTGATTAATACTTGATATGGTCTGTCTGTTTTTCTCAGGGTAGTAGATTGGGTATCACGACAGTAGTTTCTACTGATTCCATACGCCATATGATGAGAGGCTTTACGGATGAGAAGCAAAATCCTCTTCTCTATGCATCAACCTATCATGCAGGCGAATGCTTAGACCCTGTTGCAGTTGCTCAGGCAAAGGCAAAACGGAAGGCACAGAAGCTTGACATTGTTTCTCATCCTAATACCAATGAAGGCAGAGACGACACTTCAGATGATAAAGCTCATCATGGATCCTCCGAATTGCCTCCTAGAACGGAGTTGATCGGCAGCAAGCAAATGGCAATAGAAGGGTTCAAGGCGCAAAGCGAGATGGTAATAGACAGCCTGGACAGATTAATTACGTCCTGGGAGGAGCAGAAACAATCTGTAATTGTTGAGGGAGTTCATCTAAGCCTCAATTTTGTGGTGCGTTGCGTACTAGTTAGATATTTGCATCAATTACTTATACTTTGTTGCATACTAGAGAACTGATGTAGCCTTTTCTATTTTCATTTTCCAACAGATGGGGCTAATGAAGAAACACCCTTCCATAATACCATTTATGGTATACATTGCGAATGAGGAGAAACACATGGAGCGATTCGCTGTACGTGCAAAGTACATGACACTAGACCCAGCGAAGAACAGATATATCAAATACATCCGGAACATCAGAGCAATCCAGGACTACCTTTGTAACCGTGCAGACAAGCATCTGGTGCCCAAGATTAACAATACTAATGTTGACCAGAGTGTGGCGGCCATACACGCCACGGTTTTCAGCTGTCTTCGCAGGCGAGAAGCTGGGGAGCAGTTGTATGACCTCAACACAAACACTGTAGCTGTAGTGAATGAGGAATACAGGAACCAGCGTGCTGCTAACTCACTGGGTTCCAAGGGAATGTTTCAGTTGATACAAAGACAGGGATCTTCAAGAAATTTGATGGCTATCCTTAATACTGACGGTAGTGTCACCAAAGCTTGGCATGTGGATAAAAACAATGGCAATGGAAGTCTCGATGGTACAAGCAGTGACAAATCAACAAAAAATCCCATGTATGATACATTTGGGAAGGCGGAGCCAGTCAATCTCCAGTTCGGATCTTTCGGGATCAGTGCATGGATGAGTGACACAGGTGGCACCAGCCATACAGGAAGTGTAGATGACTTGAGAGCTGATGGCATTGAAACGGGCGGCAGATATTATTCCTCATGCTGCAGTTCACCAAAGGTGTCAGATTGCCCTTCAAAAGAGGTATGCATTGGTGTGTTTACAGTATGATAGGAGAAACATGCTGCCATCGCAGACATGGATCTATTCAATCCTTACATATGTTTGTTTCATCATTTGCATTTGATATTCCAGCATATAGTGCAAAAATTGGACGAGCTAGCATTAGATGCTCGTCTATATTCGCACGAATGTTTTATTATTAATTACATGTGATACAACACTGCCTTAACACTGGTTTGAGTAGATTGGTGATGCCATAAATTCGACCTAACAAAGACCCTGACTTTTCAGCTTATGGAGGATGATTATTCAGTTTTTGGTAGCGAAGAAGATGCTGATGATCCTCCTGATGCTGGAACTGACGAAGACCTAACTGATGAAGAAAGAGATATGCACGAGGTACCAAAAAAGCTCCCTGTATGATTCAGCAATTTCCTTTCTAGTTGTGATAAACACACAATATAGTTTTCAGAAACTATATAAAAAAGAATGCAAATAAGAAAAAACTATATCCATTGCAGCTGATAATTGTTACTACCATGCTTTCACTTAAATGCTCATGGCTGGATTTGAAGAAGATGCTAAATTCTTTTGCACCAATGAATTCCTGCAGATAGAAGCAGGCTCTGTTGATGAACACTCCACCAAGTCCGACGAGGAATACGACGATCTGGCAATGCAGGATGTGATGGAGAACGGTTACTGGTCCGACGACGAACAGGCTGCAAGCAGCACCAAGAACTCATCGAACCAGGAGAAGAACATCCATGGAGCAGCTGATGGTGATGTTGTTGATGATGAAGGCAGTGGCAATGACAGGTTTCACCACAATCTGGCCTTCTTCCTGAAGATGTCCAAGAAAGTAGCCGCCACAGAACTGCCGTGTGCATAGTGCCTCCGGTGTCAAAGCAACTGTTGTTGGTCCAGATGTGCTCTGAACTCGGTTGTTATGTATCCTGATGAGCTTACCTCCATGACTGTAACTGTAAGAGAGGATCTGCTGCTTGTCTAAGCAATACAGATCACTTAGAATCCGTGTAATCCAATAACTCTTGAAAAGATGAAATAATAAAGGGTGAATAAATAGTTTGATACAAAGTTGGAGATTGCATCCGGGAGAAACTCTTTTAAGGTTTTCGCTAGTTTTGTCTGTACATCTTCGTGGGTATGGTGGTGCCACCACCTTATTCACATCACAAGTCACTAAACCACAGTGGTATAGAAATAGAACATCTTCTCAAGAAGGGAAAAAAATGGTAGTGTAAATAAATGTGGACATTATATATGCTTTCAAATCTATCGTGCTAAAAACCCAACAATTCAGCAACCATCATCATACAAAAGATAATGCTCCCTCCCCTCCGTTTTAAATTAGTTTATTCTAAGTGTGCTATTTTTTATTATTAATTTGTAAAAATCCATATGGTTTAATAACTTGTGAACTATATATTACGTATTTCTCAGTAAATAAAAATATATATCTGTTGACGAAAAAAATCGAACACACCGGCCTGGGAGATCTGCTTAGCTCCTGTGCAGATCCAAAGATTGATGAGATACGGGCGTGCCAGTCAGTTTGATCTTGCAACTGACAAGATATGCAAATAGCAGATCAAAACAGCCGATCGGCTAACAAGCCGATGGAGTAGTTCCAGCCGATAGCCGATAACAGCCGATGCCGATAGCGATAGGGTTTAAGCAATCGGCTATATATCCAATGTAGATAATGATATAAAGGCAATCGGCTGATGATGATATAATAAAATAACAATATAGTCCTGTATAAACCAATCGGCTAGCAATGATATGATAAATAAGCACCGATCCGAGGGTTAAAGCACACATCAGCTGGAGGTCCGATATCATGAAATCCACAAGATTAGATTAAACAATGAAACCTTTATTGTCATCGGCTAAATCCAACTTATATGTATATGCAATCATTATGAGCCGATGCAACATCCAGATAACTCACCGGCTGAAACCCCGATGAAACCCTTATTGGCAATCAAGAAGCAGGCTAGAGATTATGGTTCTAAGCATGACTTAGTAGATCAAACTTAACTGATGCAACACTAAGTATGAAAAGAAACATAATACCTAGACAATCAAGCCGTTGACTGAGTTTTCAGGGTGGTAGATGTCTAAGCTAATCTAATCTAGCAACGTGATTTAGCCGATACCGGCAGAAACCCTAAAACGAGAAGCAGCCGATAGAGCTAAATTGACATGCTAAGACTAGATTAACATAAACATATCATAAATAGGTAGGCAAATATATCATCCAAACCAGAGCAATCCAAGAGGTCGAATGTACTGATGCAGCCTGAACGACGCCGATGTAGACGATACAATTGCCTGGACCGGCGGAACATTGGACTTATCCCTTCGCCGGAGATCGAAGACGATGCAGCCCCGCGTCGGGTGCCAAGTCTCACCGGAACGTAAAAACAAAAGTAGAAGTAAAAAGGGTGGCGATGCGCCGAATTGTATTGATCGTGAAGATAGATTACATAGACCCCGGGTGTACATATTTATACCCATGGGTTGATACAAGTCCTTATTGGACAAGAAAGAAACTAACCTAAAGATAAAAGGAAAAATATAAAGTCCTTATCGGACACTAAACACACTTTCCTAAAGATAAAAGGAAACTAACAAACTATTTCTAATTAATAGATAAACTGCCATGCCGCATCCTCTTTAAACTCGGTCACTTAGGGATAAGTTTTCTTTAGTAGATTGATTTCATTAACCGAATATAGCAGGAATCCGACTAATTGGCGACTTAATAACTCCCATCGGCTGATTCCGAGATGCTGCAGCCGATAATGATTCTAAGCCGATGACGTCTTTGCCGATTACTAAATTACCAAATTTCACTGTTAACACATGCCCCCCCAGTTTTGGAGTATGAGGACTCATGCTCCAAAATTCTCTTCTGTCTGATCTTGTAATCAGCTTTCATGAGCTGATACTGATGTGCTTGCCCCCCGAGCCAAGATTGAATGATCTTGGCATTGACTTCTTCAGACATGTGGATATAAAATTCGTGGTCCCACCAGGCGTGCCAATCGGTGGGACCATGAATTTTATATCCACGAATTTTATAAGAAGAGAAATGAGAAGGGGAACGCAGTGAACACAAATATTCATACTTTTAGAGCTGAAGACAATTCTGATAAACAGAGACATGCATTTGATTTCTGCAAAATGTGAGTTAAGTAGAAAACCTTTACAGAGATGAAACCTCATGAAACCTTATACACTGATGAAATTCAAGGCAAAAGGATCTACAGGTGTCCTTGCTTCCCATCATCTATCCTAAATCTTTGCACTAATTTCTTCCATGCTTTGCCTTTCTTCCTTCTTTTTATCTTACTCGAAGAGGGGAAAAACGTACAAATATACAGCTTCTTTCTTAAGAACAAGCACACTCTCTCCTTTTTATTTCCAGAGGCCCTCCTTTATTTACATCAAAGGCTTTCAAAGCTTAGCTTTTCCGATTTAACCCAACAAGACTACAGGTAAGGCTAGCCTCGCTATTTGTCTGTACAGGTGTTATTCTGTCAAACTAACCATTGCAATCTCACGAAGATGACGAAGACACTCCACTGCGCCTTTCTGAAATATATTTACAGAAGCAACAAACAAACGAGTCAGTAATAACCAGGAAACATGTAAAAGAGAGTGGATGAACTGTACTATGCATGAACATGGACTGCGAAATTCACCTCCTGCAGCAATAAGCTTCTCAACCCGTGCAACAATATGTTTCCCATAGGTGTATCTCTTTAGTGCATTCAAATGTACTTTGATACGTGAAAGGATCAATTCACGGTTCTGGTCATCACAAGTCTCCAAAACCTTCTGCACCACGTAGTTAGCAAACTGGTCTTTCATCATTGCCTGGAGAAGAAACATTTGCTTTAATCATTTTAGAGGAATGTGAGCCATGATATCCACCACAGCAACGGTATCATTTTAGAAAAGCAATATCTTATTCCAAGCAGTATGTTTCAAGAAACACTAACCATATTAATATATTATCACAGCAAAGCCTAAAACTCATGAAAATTCTACGAACGGAAACGATACACTTACGTAACTGGATCAAAACATACCTGTAATGGCTCATTCTCGTCAGTTGTGCCAAGCATTTCATTAATTAGAATCTGGCGCTCCTCAGGACTACCGAAGGAAAGGCACTTCTCAACAACATTGGAAGCAAATTTCTGTTGGCTCATCTTCACAATCTGCCCAGCCAGTTGCTTAATAATAGCAGAACGTTCATCTGGTTTCCCGTGTTGCAAGACATGCTACAAATATAAACAAGGAAGCTCTTTGAATAAATGGGACACAAAAGTAAAGTAACTCCAATGGTATAAACGAAAACAAGAGAAAGTACATCACATGGAGCGTATCTGCCCAATTTGGCAGATGAGAAGTCTTAACATAGGAAATACGTCCCAATGCTTAAACAAGTACAGGTGAAATTGAAGTTTCGACAGATAACATAAAATCAATAGGCAGTTACCTGGATAACATAATTGCCATACTGGTCTAGTGTCAACAGAACCACAGACTGCATGATCTCTTCCATCATGGTGCTCTGCGTATTTTCATCGTTACAGTGCTCCAAGACACGCTGGTGGTATCAAATTACAGGCAAGTACATTTAGCAAGTTGCAAAAGTAATATTTCAAGCAAAACTAGATATACATTAGCATAGCACCTGAATAACACGGCAACCATATGGATGAGTGGAAAGCTCAACCACGTGTCCATAAAAGGCAGATATAATGAACCGTATCCTTTCTTGAGGGATGCATTCTATGCATTTCTGGATTACATGGTTGCCATTCTGATCACGGACACATTTCATAATATTTCCATCAAGCTCCAAAGCCATTTGGGTTTGTTGTTCCACCTCAACCATTTCTAAAGCCTACAGCAGAATAGTGTGCATCTGAGTCTCTTCAGAGATAAAAGGTGTTGCTAACTGAACAGAGTCGGTCTTTCAACTCATTTCTAGTGATAATATGAGGGGACAATACACATACCTTCTGAATCACCCGGCAACCATACATTTGAAGAGACAGCTGCAATACATAGCCCTTGAGTAAGCTAGCCAGTTGTTTCTTCTGTGGTTCAGTCCCATATTCAAAGAACTGCCAAGCACAAGTAATTAGAGAGAACCAGTAAATGATAACATTTTTACATATCACTAAAAAAACATCATTTTTTTCCGAATACTGATGGAATAGTAGGGCTGCTCACTTTCTGTATAACATAGTTTCCAAAAACATCAGTCATCAGAGTTCGTGCTTGAGGAAGAATCTCTGGAAAAATGGTGTCCTTCTCTTCAGCAGAAGCCGTTTCTAGTTTCTGTTGTATAAAGCGACTTCCATACTGGTCCGAGCTGCAACAGGAGGTTTGGGTGTATCAAGCATCATATCTGAAAACAGCAACTTTACTCTGATGGATATACTATGAGAAAATTACCTGAACTCGACCACATGACCTACAATATCTAACAGCTCAAAAGATCTGGTTTTGTTGGTCTTAAATTCCTCCAGCAGAGAAGATCCATAACCATTATCAATTAGACCATTATCTGAATTCCAAGATCCCATAGGCCCTCCAGTAGTGGTCTTACCCACAGATGAGATACGAGCTAGCCTATCTCCTTGCCTAACATGGCCCTGAGGAGATGAGATAAAAGGGGTAGATGTTGGACTCGATAAATATGCCATTCCCCCAATGCCAAATGCAGGGTCACTGCCATAAATATTCGGGCTAAGACTACCAGACTTGCCCAGGTATGGCACGCCATACTGTAGCTTCTGCTGAGCGAGTAATGAGGCAATATAAGCTTTTTGGTATCCAGGGCTATCTAGGGGCACTGAACCAGAAAAGCTGCTTCCTTGGAATGGATTCAAATTTGTGGCTGCACCAAGGGGAGAGTCAGAGTTTGCCTGCAAGTATGGAGCATACATTGACTCCATTGGTTGGCCCTGAAAACCAGATCCCCCTTGATTCGAAAGAAGATTAACATATTCACCATCTGCACAGGAAAAAAAAGGGTCAAAACTCAAACAATAATAGGAGGGGATAGATTGGAGAAAAAGAAAAGAGAGAGGTACCAGCACTCAGTTGATTGTTCAGCATGGATGAACCAAAGCTACTTGAACGGATCTTATTATTCCGTACAGATACATCAATGTTGGAGTTATCACCATTAAGGTTCTGGTAGAGAGACACAGATCCAGTGGGGCTCACAAGAGATCCTTTATTATTGGCATTACCATGCGGTGATTGTATAGGAAACTTGCTCCTGCTATCAACTGACAGCTTGCTCATATTTGAATTATTGAAGTTACCGCTACCATTTGGAAAAGCTGCATATTCCAAGGCATTTATCGATTCTTCATCAGCATTTTGAGCTAACTTCTGCTGAGATAATTGTCTGCGCTCCTTTGGAACGCTAAAGAGTACATCTGTTTGATCACCAAAGTTCTGGTATGCACGATTTTGAACTTCAGCTTCTAAACTGGCCATCTTGCTACCAGAAAGGTTCATAGAAGATAGAGCCGCCGCAATGTCAGCAGTATCATGATTATGTGAAGCAACAGCCGAGCCATCAACCTTCTTATCAGTACTTCCCATCCTAACTCCAACTGGAGGAAGGCAAGGACTTGGAGTCCTCCGAATCAACTGGGGGTCAGGGGTGGTGCTTCTTGAGATAGAGGAGCCTACTGCAGAAGCAAAGTTATGAGAGATTGAAGAACCTAAACTTTGGACCCTGACAAGACTGGGTGAAGTGGATCCAGATCGCAAGCCATTCATGGATTCTGATCTGCTCTGCAGTTGCGCTCTTGATGAATCAGGTCTAATTGGATTTGGGCTGTCGAAAGCATTCCGGCTATTAGACCGTGAAAGATGACTGGCCGCAGAAGCAGGACGACTAATATTTTCCTGTCATGAAAAAACATTCCAAATGATAAGAAAAACAATGTGACAGAAAACTATGCTGCAATAGGAGAATGGTGATGCACTGTAGTAGTGGCATAACAGTATCTCTGAAAGAAGTTCCACACTGAATTATCGAGTGAAAAATACAATCAACATGTCATGAATGCAATTCAGGTATAGGCATATCTATGGTGGTTCTCATTCCCAAGGTTACCAAACATAAATGAGAGCTGTCTGAGTGATCTAAAGAACACAACATGATAGGTATACCATAAATCAATTTAGCAATAGCTGTCTGTTTGTACTCATGGAGATTCATGAAAAATAGAATAGAGCATATGTTCTAGTCGAGGTTTAAATATACGGTGATTTAAGAAAAGATAAAAAATCAATTCGAGGAGATTTTCCTGACCTGCAAGGCATCAGCAAAGCTCTTGCGACGGGACCCAAGACCACTGGAATCCGATAGCCCAATGAGCCCATCTGCACCACTCCCAAGCCACTCTGATGATTGCTGACGCGTGAGCCCGTTTCTTTCTCCTCCGCCCATCCTATCATTCACCAGTAAATCCTCTCCATTACCATGCCGTGCCCCCGGCTGCACCGAAAACAGCGAGCTTCCACCCCCCACATCCGAGGGCCTCCTCCTCCTATCCCCTACCCCTCCTGAAACAGCCTGTACTCGCTGAGCGACACGCCAATCCTCCTTCGACACCATTGGTGGTGGCAACCTTGGATTGAGGTGCTCATTGGAATAGTAGTACGACAGGTAGGCTGGGTGAGACCTTATCTCCTCGTCAGAGAGCACATCACCAACACCACCATTGCTGGGATCAACAAAGCTGTCGACGTGAACAGGCGCAGCAGAGAAGAGGGAACCAACGGCAGTGCGAGCACCCTGAACAGTGGGAGGAGCACTGCCACTGCGGAACATGCTGAGCTCATCGGCGGTTGCCGAGTGGTTCTGGTCCATCAATACTGCCTGCAGGTCGCGCTCAAGGTCCTCGAAAGTGGGGCCAGCCGCTGCCGCAGGAGATGGCGCCATGGCTGCGGCTTCTGCGGTTTCCTTCGTCACAACCTACTTCTTTCTTTCTCGCCTTCTTCTCCTCGCAAAACCTAAACCAACACCAATATATGACTCATATATTCATATATATATACTGATTGATACTAAATATGTATGGTAATCTAGGGAGAAATCTGAAGTTTTTGTTTAGATAACTAGTACATAAAAAGAACGATCAGAGACACCTTCCTTTCACAGAACTGCAACCTAGTAATAAAGAACAAAGAAACAAATTCCACCAGTTTCTTCCTACGAATTCTTCTCCCTCAGCAGAGTCGGAAAAAAAACCCCCCAAAGTCCCACCTTTAAGGAGACTCCAGCATCAAGTTGCGGGAGCACGAAGAAAACAGGCAAACAAAAAAGAAAAACCCAAACTTTGAGACGAATCCAGTCACAACTCAGATTGAAACACCGGGAAAGAATCGCACCCAATCCCCACGGGGTGGAAGGAAAACAACCAAAACATTTTCCTATGCCCCAGACTAAAGGAATCATCACACAAAACAACAAACAAACCATCGCCAGAATCCCCTCCGCCTCCCTCCTCATCTACCAACGATTCGATCGAACAGCAATAATAATAACAAAAAAACAAACCTCACCTTGATGAGGAGGAACACCAGAGAGACTCCCCCCTACGGAATCGACATCCAGAAAGAGCAGCGTCTCCTGGGAGGGATTGAATCGTATCGTATCGGATTGGGTTGGATTCGTGTACGGGGGAGGAGGTGGGGGTGGGGGTGATTTATTTAGGGTTTGGGGATTGGGGAATTTCTGGAGGCGGCTGCTGCTACTGCGGAGGAGGAGGAGGAGGAAGGATTAGCGAATGGGAAAGGAGGTCGAGACGCGAGACGCGAGAGAAGGGAGAAGACGACGCCCCCACAGCTGAAAGCGACGCGTTTGCTTCTTCTTTTCTCTCCTCTTGGACCACTCCCCACCGTCCGATCCCACCCCCGCACGAATCTCAATGCACCGTGTGTAGGAGTGGCATGATAAGATTATATGACCTAGCTTTAGCATGCACAAACAAACACAAGGTCGGTTCACACCGGCGGCGACAACGAACAGCTCAGGAGGAGATCTTTTTTTTTTCCTTTTTTCTTCCTTCCTTCCTCTTTTGTGCCTGAATTGGTAGATGGTTTGTGGCAATAACTATTTTAGGGTAAAAATGAGCGATTTGAATATTATAAAGTTGGAAACTAAATTAAAAACATATGCATTTATCTGTTGTTACACTTATTGGAGGATAACAGGACCTCAACTTGAAAAAAAAAAAGAGAAGCCTTTTTTTCCTTCCTCTTTTCGAGATCAGGTTCATATGCCTCAGTGTTTGACTGACAAATGCAGTTGCTGAATTCTGAATATCTGACCTGAATTCCCAACCCTAACAACCTGACATCTCTCAAGTTTGTTATTTTTCTCCGGTCTCATGCGTTGCATGGTTTCAGGAAGGACGGTTATACCACCATGGCTGATCTGATTCTGATCTTCTTTCACGAAACTGTGGTGATCATCCTCACTCTCTCTTGCGGTGACTGACATGTGGGCCCTCTATTCTATATGCCCTGGCCACTATCCAATCACAAAGAGTTTGTTTTCATTGACTACTATTGATTGTCTAGTCAAACCAGCAGATTAAGTGGAGAAAAAAAAAGAGAGATTAACAAGTCCTTCAGTCTGGGATTTGTGTGTTTTCTTTCTCTAAACTGCAGAAGCAGAAGGTGTAAAGATAGTGCTTTTGCCGTGTTTTTTAAAGTGCCAGACACAAGAAAGTGCTGAGGTTGCGATCAAATTAAGAAATCGTTTTAATATACGAAAACAAAAGCATTTCATGTTGTTTGTGGTTGAAAAAAAGTAGTATTAGTCCCCCAGTACCCAATGCTGAAGCATGTGGGCAACTAGTTGAGCTTATAAGAGGGAACTTGCTTCCACTAATCCCAATTAACTTTAAGGATAACTATACTTTGTTCAGCAGGAACATATACATACATGCTTGTTTTTCTATTCTGAACAAAACTAGCAACACCTGCTTTGCAAAAGGCTGACACTGTAGCTATCTTTTGTAGTACTAGTAGTTCAAGTCAATCACAGTTGTGCAGCATATGGATTTGGAACCATAACACTTTCAACATGCCCTCTGAAGGCTCATTGACTAAATATTATTGTCATCTAATGACTAATTTAAATGCTTGCCCGTACTGTGACAGTACATGAGCAAGAAGTCTTTGCCTTTAATTGCATAGATTTCCAAACAAGACACATGGATACATCAAGGACACCACAGGAATGCAGCCACAGGTTGTGAAATTCTGTCGACCCCAAATTTGGAGAGAACACGATTGAAATGCTGCCTTGTGTAGTAGTGCCTATTTGACTGTAGAGGTAGTAATTTCGTCGATTCGATACTTAAATATATGGCTCGATCTCTTGAAAGGAGTTCATACTGGCTTTTGATTTCTGATTTCTCCATTTGCTATACTGAAAGATTCTTCCTGTTGGACATCATCACATCATCATTTGCACTAAAGGACATAATGGATCATTCCTCCTGATCGATCATCCTCCGAACATCGTCAATTACTAGCCAGGATTTGTGTCCACCAATCACCTCAGCCTGTTTTTGAGAGTCACTCCACAGCTGTACATGACCCAAAAAAAAACCATCTTAAGGATATACAATGTCAATACATAGAGAAACAAACAAAAGCTTGTACCTGTATTGAAGGCATCTTCTGCACGAGTTCCGCGTAACAGATCACATATATTGGACAAAAGAAGGCATTAGATGTGTAGATTAATATATACTTGGGGTCCAACAAGTTGCCTAATGAATATTGTTGCACGACAAGATAGCAACGAGGCCAAATAAATGAAGGGTCCATCATTGATATGGTACTCTGTTACCAAAGCTAAAGGATAGAGCTAACAAAAACTTAGATACAAATTGCAGAAAGCCGGCAACTAGCAACAAAGTTTCCAGGGGCTCAAGAGGAAGCTATTTCCTCTAAAACAGGGAAAGAAGCACAATAAAGGATCTCTAAAAACTTCTACAAATAGCACTTCTTTTTAAATGAAATGTCTAAAAGTGCCTTAGAATACCTTTAAGAACTATGAAGCACAATTACGGTGAGAGGAAGAATGATTTCTGTTCATTGTTTACTAAGGATAAAACAAACATTGAATGACCAATGATTAAGCATGGCTAGACTTACTGTTACTCCTGCACGATTGACAAGCTTTTGAGGAACAGCATTGACATCGACACAGTAGAACCGAATTCTGCATAACACAAGTACTGACAGAGATCATCAATTTGGCGAGCTCCAGCGGTGCCTACTTTACTGGAAAATAATCCCTAACCTTGGATAGCATTCTGCTGCCAAATTCTCTAGTTTAGGCTTCAAATATATACACTTCCTGCACCAGCTTGCCATCCTACAAATTGCAAAAGCTAAGCATTATCCTGGTGCAAGACTGAAGAGTGCTATGTGAAAAACAATGTGACACCGGTACTTAATTTATCATTTTGTCCACAATCTCAGATATCTTAATATACATAAGCAGCCAATTGTTTAAATGGATAAAAAAGATTCATTTAACTCTTTTAACACAATATGGAAAAAAAAAAGATGATGAAGCTTTCCTTCAAGGTTAAAGTAACTAGACGCCACCAACATGAAAAAGGTCGATCAAATAAAGAACACATGCACACAAAATCATATATCCATATGTATTTTAGTTAACCAAAAGCAACTCTTTAATGAATGAAAGGCGAAACAATCATTTCAAGCAAGATGATGATCTAGCCCACTTCACCTAATAAGGTCAGATGCACCGAATGAACAATCACCTAATCGAGCCCCTGAATTTCATTCAGAACACTACCAAATTCAACTCTAAACTGACCAATTTCCATCCAAAAAAACAAACTGAACTTGCAGGATAGTACTAGTAGTACTACTACCCAGTAACCATGTCATCCAAGATCCAGGATTGGTGTTGCTACAACGATGCATTTATCAAATGAAACAAAATTTACTGCTCATCACAATCAAAGAGAGGAGGGTATTAGTATTACCAGAGAAGGACGATGGGGAGGCCGAGCTGCTGCGCCTCCGCGAGGGCACGCTCCAGCTGCTGCTCGCTGCCGATCGGCTCCAGCTCCACCCAGGTCGGCTCCTCCTCCTCCACCCTCTCCTCGGCCGCGGCGGCGGCGCGGCGGGGCCCTGGAGGGAGAGAGATCGAGGCGCACCAGGACGGCGATTTGGAGAGGAAGGAGATGCAGGGCGGAGGAGGTCGGCCACCGGCAAGGACACGACGGGACGGCGACGCCGCCGCCGCCGCTGCTTCCCCGGCGACGGTGGCTGCGTAGGCGGAGGTGGCCATTGTCGTAGGCTATGCAAGAGATCGGGCGCACCAGAAGGGCAAACGAGAGGTAGAAGCCGCCGGCGACGGCGAGAGGCGGCGGCGGCGGCAGGAAGAACCGAAGAAGGAAGCCGTCTGCAATACTAGCTGACACCAAGTCGTCAGGTTTGTGTTCTTTGTGGCGGACACGTGACACTGCAGGTGGGGCCCAACCACCAGAGAGACGCAAAACCGAGAGAGTGTACTGAACCATTTCCAAATCAACGGCCTCCTCTTTCGGCTTATGATTATCAGCCAAAATTTAAATTTTCAACTTTAAATTTAAAGTTGTTTTTAGAGTTTTTTCATCGAAGTTTATTTTTCAGCATTTACTTTTAAATCGCTAAGAACACATATATAAAAATTTTATTCACAAATTGTATTTCGTTTGCAAATATGTCGTTTCGTTTATTCCCCGAATAAGCGAAATTGACATGAAAATTCTGGTCAAATTGATAGTTTTGCCGTTCAATATGTCAGTACACAATGCTCAAAACTCAAATCACTTGATCTATCTACAGCTCTGCACACAAATAAATTGAAGCAAGAGAATACATGGAGATTAGGAGGGAAATGGAACATTTCACATGCTGTCATACAAAGATTCTGGTGACAAATGTGGAGCTCTCTACTGCAACAAGCAAATGGAACGGCCAAGAACTTTGGTCGCCAAATAAACTCGCAAATCTACAATGTATGTATGAAGTATGTACGTGTGCAGCAATTGCTTCCTTGTTGATCCGATCAGTTGTTTGTGATCTGGAACTCAGTGCCATCCTTGAGATGCCCCGTTGCAGTAGGGCAAAGCCAGCACAGGATGTTTGGGCCCATGATCTGTTACAAAAGGACCCAAAAGTATCAGCTAAATGGAGTGACAACGGAATAAAATTGAACATAAAGAATCTTCAGTGTTGAAGTTCTTGAAAGTGTAGCAGTTATCATGAATGATGATGGAGAAGGAAGATCTGATCTTATGCACTATTCGTGATTTCGTACCATTTGAATATTCTTTCGTGTGCCAAGATCAAAGCGGTGCCGATACTTCTGTCCACTCTTCTGTGCAAGCCATTTCGCTCTAGTTGCCTCTCGGTACTGAAGTAAAGGTGACAGTAAAAATCAAACATGGCATAAACCCACCAAGAAAAAAATGTGTTTGTCCAAAGAGTAATTTACCTCTATTGTTGTCATGTTATGACATAAGAGATATATGTGCCAGCATAACAGAGAACCTATTGTCAAGCTTAAGAAGAACAAAAGAACACCGACCAAGACCTGCATTTCTTCATTCGTTAGTCATTTGTTAGTAGTTAGACCAGAAAAAAGGGGGAACTATACCCAAAAAAAAATACATTACCGAGTAAGTGCATGACAGGATTTTGATGAGAGAATCATGATTCTTATAGGAAGGAACAAAGGAAAATTGGGGGGGGAAAAGTACCACAAAACTAAAACCGAGAGCAAATGCATATCTGCGTGACATGTTTATCCACAATATCTCAGTGACACCACTCGATACATGAAACTCCATCTTTTTTAAAAAAAAAAAATTGAAACGAAAAGCGGCAAAAGACTTGCCGAATATATTAGAGGGAATAAAAGGTCAGAATACATAAACAGAAACGCAGAGACCGTCTAGCGGTCGAACGGAGAGGCTTGTCAACTAGGCAAAAACCTCAGGATACAAGCAACTTAAAGAACAACAACATTTAACATCTGGACAAATTAATTTGGCTTATATTTTCCTTGATTAAGGAGGCCACCTGGTTCTCGTTTTGTGAAGAGTGACAGAAAATCCTTCTGTTTCGTTCTAGCCAAATATTCCACCACGTTATTGCAAGGTCTCCAAGAATTCCATCTTTTAAAATTCAAAATCATTATTTTAACTATAAACTCCCTTGTTAGACCAGCAGAAAGGAAAACCCACAGTTTTCATTATTATTCCATGAGTTTTATCTGCAATTTTGGATTATTCCCATCTATCATGTCTTTGATGTTTCTGCAGTAAATACATAATAAGCACTTTCAATTGAGTTGAAATCCAAACTCAAAACTCATAAGAGATCTAAAACAAACTATCTACTTCTGGCATGATACAACAAACAGGGATTCCTCAAAAAATTTCTTATTGACTCTTAAGACAACACAGTGGGAAAAACAATGTAGTGTGCTGTGTGCCAAAGGTTAGTAATGGTTGATAACTAAAAATAAGAGTAAACATATACTCATTATTTATGCAGCGCAGTAGCAGGGTGGAGAATTCCTGACTGTATAGTGAAATATTAATTCAGAAGAAAGGCCAGTGCACTTACATGTATGACCTTCACATAAGGAACATCGTATTCATGTTCTGTCTGGAAGAGATCAAATAGAAATACCACCTGGAGAAAAATGGAATGACCGTGAATGATGCTTGGCGAAGAATTTCCCAAATTTTATTCCAACTGATATCACTTACAAATGAGTAAAGAGACCCGATGGTTGCATTTAGAACACAGATGATAAATGATTTGTAGTTTGCATAGCCCACGCAGTTGTTAATCCAGACACAGTGATGGTCCTGCAATTATAATTAAAACTTGTTACCAAGTATTTCTAACAAAAGCTTCATTTTGCAACCAACAGAACCTATACCGACAAACATTAGCCACACTTACCATTTTAAGAACACACCTTTTGCACACCTTGCAATGGTGAGTTCGAGAAGGTTTGTACATGCAGCATTTATCGCAATACCTCGATTTTAATCCCTGCAGAAACAAAAGAAAAAAAAAAGGCTACCATGAAGGGTATTCTCGCAGCATCCCAGTGGTTGCAAATCAACTGCTTTGGTAACTAAAATTTTGGAATGCTCCAAACTACCAACCGATGCATCGAAGTCCTAACTAAGCATTGTGTGATGATGGAATCAAGAAACTAAACGGTTAGATGGATTCCAAATAAGATTGGATAATTTGGAGTGGAAAAAAAATCTACGTTAGCTTAGCTTATGGTTGGGAATGCCGCTACAGTCTAACACAAGAATCCTAAAATCCAAGGAAGCGGTAAAAGAAGATAGATCTCATCTCAGACCTGCCGCTGCGGGTCCTCGGCGTCGGGGGCGAAGGAGGCGGGCACGGAGCCCGGGTCAGCGGCCGCGGCGCAGAAGAAGGAGAAGAAGCACGCGGCGACGACGAGGGAGAAGGCGGCGGCGTGGGCGGCGCCGGCCGCGTTGCCGAGGCCGAGCCAGTGGTCCAGGAAGACGAACACCGTGGAGTAGTACACAAGGGCCAACACGGAGACCGCCCCGACCACGGCCGGCGAGGCCGCGGCCGCCGCCGCGCTTCCCCTCCTCCGCGCCATCGCCGGCGAGGTGATCCCCACCTGCGCTTCGTCGGGCCCTTCTCCGAGCTCTCCGGCCTCACTTCTTCTTCAACCTTTGCCTCCCCTTTTACTCCCTATTGAGCCTTAATGGGCCGAATCTTATGTGGGCTTTCATACGGAGTGCGACACCAACTGGGCCAATATTTATTGGGCCTAAACAACACAGGCTAAGGGAGATCTCTTTTTTTTTCTTTTACTAGAAAAAAATGGACGTGCGTTGCAACGGGTGAAGTCTATTTTAATCTTATTATTGTTATATGGTTTAGTTAAGATGAAATTCATTGTGGGAGTTCGCTTGGATATATATATTTTCAGAAAATCATGAGATGCAGTTAGGAGTCTGATCGTCTCAAGTTAGCATGTGAGTTTTTTAAACATATTTCTTATATGATTCCTTCTGTATTACCAAAAGTAAACGATCTTAAAAATTGACTCAAATACAGATATGTAAAAGCAAACGAACTTAAAAACCGACTCATACATGGATGACGTACCAAACATCTTCAATTTTTATAATAGTAGAGATAGAGAAGAGATATAGATTAAAACCAAAACATAAAATTAAAACTGACTCAAACACGGATTACGAACCGCGGAAACATTTTCAATTTTTATAACCAACTCAAACACGGATGATGGACCGCGGAAACATCTTTAATTTTTATAATAGTAGAGATTATCAAAACCAAGGAGAAATTAACTCATCCTACATGTAACAAAAACCAAGTAACTATATGCATACAAGAAATCAATTAGTATTAAATGCCAGCTTAGGTTTCGGTCAACAATTTAATTTAGCACTACAAAACTAAAAGACAAGCCATTTTTTCAAGTCTTAGATGCTTGGCCGGGACTAGTGATTATAAATATGTATATCTCATTTAAAAAACCAGAAAATAAAATAAGCTTAACTTTTTTATGAAGGAGTATATATTAGTTGATATATATTTTCTCTCTCAAAAAGATCGCTAACAAATAACTAGCAACTTTGACAACACTAAAAAAATATCAGATCATACATATGCTACAATCTTATATACTCCATCCATCCCATTTTAAGTGCAGCCATGATTTTCCATGTACAATTTTGATCGTCAGTCTTATTTGAAAATGATTTGAATTTTTTTGAAACATAAGTCACGCATAAAGTCCTATTCATGTTTTATCATCTCATAACAATAAAAATACTATTATAAAAAAATTTCAAATAAAATGGACAATCAAAGTTAGGCACGGAAAATTATGGTTGCATTATATTTAAAATATGACGGAGGGGGTAGTATGTAACTTCAATACAAAGAGACTGTAGAAATGACTAAAAACACTGAAACAACAAAAGCTACAATCTTATATAGTATGCAACTTCAATAAAAAAAAGACTGTAAAAATGACTAAAAACAATACGGAGTACCTTTGCATTGAATAATTAAAACAAAAGTTACATATATTGAAAAGAAAAACTACAGTTGACCAAAAAGTTACAATTGTTTATAGGATGTAACTTCAACGAAAAATAATGTGAAAATAGCTAGAAAGTCCTTTGGTTACCACGAAGAAGGGATCGGAAGGTTACTTATAAGGTCTTGTTTGGGATAATCCATCAATCAAGCTGATTTGGAGTGGATTATATATGGTCCTAATTTTCTCGATTTTTTTATGGGAATTATCTGAACAAGCCCTTTTATATGTGGAACTAGATAGGGAGCAAAAGCTACTCCGTGGTAGTAGTCAAGACGTGGAGATCCAGGAACAAATCTCAATGCGGATAAACCGACCAAAAATTCAACCAATTCCAATGATAAAATGTGGTGACACATGTATAGCAAAATCGATTTTGATTTAGCAATCAAATTGAACAATTGATTTAGCCCCCACAAAGAAAAAAGAACAATTGATTTAGCATATTAAGAAAAAGGATAGATGTATTATTGATTTCTACCGATATGCATGGGTGATGATTAAATTGGAATGGATGAAGTACTAGGATCTCGACTGCACTACTACTCCTAGGTTTATAAGTGCAACCCAGGAAAGATAAAGAAATTGCACCGAGGTCCTTGAAAAAACTTGGAAAAGGATAGAATGTTTATGGATTAACACTAATAATATTGTACTATTGTCGTTTGCTACCACATTTTGGGTACCATTGGTCGTTGTCATATATATACTGACAATAATAAATCTTTAAGGCTAATTAGGTACCAAGTACAGGTCACATTACTCACAGTATCAAGTTTGAATAGTCAACATTGGATCCACCAAACATGTAATTAATTGGTATGATGTGGCTAGCAGCTGGATCAAAATGTATGGCCGTTACCCAGGTATACAAAACGTACAATTCAACTAATTTTATAGTAGTTGGCAATTAATTTACCCATGTACCCGCAATCGATCCAGTCACACACGGTTACACATGCCGACATGCGTACAAAAACTAGTCCTCAACCAATCACACAAAAAGCAAACTGAAGAACTAAGAGCAAGCACTATAAACCTCTACACGTTACCTCTAAATTTATCATATATATAGAATTAGGTGATAAAATATAGGAGAGAAAATCAGTCACCCCTCATTCAAGGAGCAACCTTCGCTTAATCTTTAAGAAAAGTGTAAAGTGGTGTGAGAGTGAACTAATATTGAAATTTTTGAGTTAGATGCGATATGTTATACTTGTCACCTCTTAATTAATGAGTAGATGATATGTTTTAAATTAGAGGTGATATTCACCTCCACTATAAAACTTGCTCTAAGTTTATAGTAGTTGACAATAAATTTACCCCACCCCACTATCAATCAAACGATGGAGTCACACACCAAAGAGACATGTCCCACATTGTTTATTGATTTACAAGCTCTATATGTTACTATGTAAGTAAGTAAATTTGGTGATGGAGAAAAAAAGAAACATCATTGCTACACACCGGCTCAAAGTAACTCCTAGTATTTATTAAAGAAATTTTATTGTATAGTAGGAGTGAAGAAAAGAAAATAAAAGTAATAAAAATATTATTTTAATGTATTAATGGTTAAGAGCTCTTGTTGTCTCAATTATTATAGAAGGATAGTATCTAAGTGATATGTATTACTATAGTTCTTTCGTAAACGCATACACAAAAACAACAACAGAAGAACATGCAAAAAATAGAACATACTCCATGAAACATATAAATGTGCATATCAACTGTCACTGCATCATCCATGAAACATAGAACAAATCTAACATCACATCCATGCGTACATATACGTACAATAATATTGCACATGTCTTTGTCCCTTTTTATTTTCTCCCTAAGATCGAACAGTGTAAAATACAGCACTTGTACTATCCATGTCGATCGCCATTGGTGATCAGTGAAATGATCGAACGATCGATCCGACATGAATTAGCTAGGAATAGGAGTGTGCGATCGATTACATGTACACCAATGAAAACTATGAGCTACAGATCATTTACTATGCAGGACCAGTTCTTCATTTTTCGCAACATGGATTAATTAATTAATCAATTGCCATTAATTGTACGCCATCGTCGTCACGAACATTAGTTCAGACGATAAATCAATATATATATTCAGATTCAGGCAGCTGCCTTAATTCTTTGTCACTACTAGCCTGAACTCTGAACAGAGATACTTCATACTAGTAGCAAAGCAACATCTGCAAGAACAGCAGCAGCAATGGAGCAAGAGATTGGTTGGGCGGTTTGATTGGAGCAGCAAGCTGATCAGCAGAGGTAGACGAAGACTGTGACTATAGCTCGTGAAAGTCTGGGTGGTGGGGGCCCACTTGCATTGGGCTCAATGGGATCGGTACTAGGTTGTTGCCCACATCACAGGCACCCGGGACCCACCACCACCCATCCATCCATCACTGACTCAACTCACCTTTGCTTCCATCACAAAAATGATTAATTTTCATAGCCATACATCTCTCGAACGTAGTAGACCACTTTTAACATAGTTTTGCACTCTCCATTAAAATTATGAATCTATAAGTGAGCTAGCCACTTATTAGCTTGCTAACTTTTTTGTTTTGTCAAAACATCTGCGACCACATAGCAGGCTTGCTCACGGTTTGGATTCGGCACTCAAAAAAAATAAACCTCTTGTATGATTAAATGGTGGCTAGTCACGTAGACTATTCAACCTATGAAGAGGATAAGATATGCCAGCTGTGGATATTGACCGGAAAGGTCACGCAACTTGTAATTGAGACATTGTAGAATAGGCTAAGCTTCTTTTAATATCTCTTTGAGCAAGAGCTAAAGTGGCTCCTAAGAAAAGTGTTAGTGTACCTATTAAGTGTTAACTACACACCTAGATCCAACTAGCAGGTATCTCACCAAATATTCGCCGTTCGTACATATTTCTGTTACAAAGCATTGATATCTCTGTAGTAGTGCCATCACACTGGTCACGTGTTATTGTCATCTATAATATCTTGTACGATTAGATCTGTAATTTTCAAACAATTTATGTCAAGCACTATTACTGATCCACGTCACTCCTTTTGGCGGTACACCGTCTCACATGTTATTGTTGCCTTCTTATAGCCTTTTCAACTTGGCTAAGAAAACTTTAATTTAAAAGCCCGTAAAACCATTCGTAGAAACTAATCACCAAGACACGTTCTGATTGGAGAGAATACTCATCCTAGAAATGGTTAGTCCGATGCTAAGATGTTCTCCTAGGTTTTACCATTTGTGGGTATTGTAGCTAGCTCACAAATAGAGATGCAAAGTGATCATGCTAATGTATTACTCGTACAACGTAGTACAGTAGTAGGGCAGAAGCCAGCCACATGATAGGTTAAGCTCTCTTGGGAGGTTTCCTTCTTCCTCCTCGTACTAGGTAGGCTAGCTGTCCTTTCTTTTTGCCTTGAAATAAACAAACAATCATATAGTATACTTAAATCAAATCACTATGGATGGAGATCGATCGATCGAGCTGTATGTATGGTGATTCCCGTGGGCGTTGGAATCGAGGATTACAATTCTTTTGGACTCATCACACAACTCCACAGAATCCAGGGGCTTAAACTTTGCAACTTTTA